AGGAGCTTTGTGCCCCGTCCTTGTTGCTGAAGAAACCGCCCCAGGAAAACCACGACTTGAGCTTGCTGTTCGTCGTTGATCCAGGCTGCATATGCATTGCTAATTACAAACATCTCTGGGTCCTCTGCGTGCTGAGGTCCCATAGTGCTCCTGCTGTCTGTGATGCGTGTTGGGGAAAAACGCTAGTCCTTTCCCTTTGTCATGCAAAGACACTGTTTCTCAAATGTGTCACGCACTGGAAAATTCTTCACTGGCACGTTTGACCGCGTGCTACAATCATTTTCAGTCCGTCATTCCAGTGTTGGCTTGAGCTTGACAACTTTCCAGACCACGACATATGTGCAATGCATACTGCAGCTGCGGAGGAACCACCCCGGAGAAGGAGTTGTCGCGATCGGATTTCTTTTTCTCCGTTGGCTGCAGCATGGCGTACCGGATCTCCGTGCCTTTCCAATCCGGACACCCGAAAAACGAGTGTTTACGATCCGGCGTGCAGAAGTCCAGCTCGTCCGAAAACACGACTGGGGGGAAGTTGACCTGTAACACCTCGCGGCCATTACCATTCAGCCAGGAGCGGAGGTCGTTCATGTATGGATGTGGGCGCGCGGATATTGAAGGGAAAAACTCACCCTCCCCATATTGAAAAGGCATGTTTGTGTTGCTGATTTTTTTTTTAAAAAACTCTTCGCGCTTGGCTATTCCGTTGTTTGTGTTGCTGATTTGTGACCACGAATGGTCTCTGTGTTGCGTGAAGGCAACCCCACAGGCTCCGCCGCATTCTACATGCGGTTTGTCATGCTCTTGCTCCTACAGCGTAGACGTCTGTCATGCTAAGCGCCTAGGCCAAAACCTGTCTCCTCAGGCTTGATAAGGGCCTGCAGTCCTCGCCAGCAAGACAAATCTGATTTGTGTACGCACATCCAGCATTAGAAACTTCGTCTTGATATGGGGAGGGGGGATTTTTCATTCTGATAGCGGACAGCACCGCCCCGATCTCGTTGGCGGCGAGCCCACGCGACTGCTCCACAAAGGCCGACGTTGCAGCTTGGTACCCCATTTGGTGATAGTAGGGGGCATATGAAATGCAAATATGTAACCGGGATCTGGAAAGTTGTGATGCGGCACTGTGGACGATGCAACCGTTTCCGAATGGGTGCAGCCAAGTTTGCAGCACTACATTTCTTCATACGCTTTTGTTGGACCTGCAGTACCAATAGATAGAGATACACATTGCGCAAGATCAGAAATGTTGTAAGACTAGCATTTACAAGTTGCAGTTTTCAGGACCCAGACATGGCTGCAGCGGATAGAGAAATCCCGTCTAGACCGTGCACCGAACCTATCCTGTGTAACACCGTCCCCAGACCCTAGAGTTGTCATGCACAAATGGTATGCCAAAAATGAAAATGCTTCTAATGCGCAATCCGCTGAGGAGCAATTTGAATTTCTAATGCTATCTCGGGGATGTGCATGCGTCATGCTGGAATTAGCATAAGGTAGGTGATTTGTGATGCGGCTTCAGAACCTCAATCAGCACTACACTACAAGTCCAAATTTGTCATGCGCAACAGCCAAAACTCGCTGCTTTCCGTGGCAAAGTCGCCATCTTGACTCTGGGCTGGGGACGTTTTTATTCAGGATAGAATCCTGAAAGAATACACCACCGCTTTTCCGGTCCTGCGACGTGACCTCCGAGCGGGCCCCAATCGCCGTCAGAAACGGCAGGCTAGCGCGCAACAGGTTCGAGAGGGTGGCGTCGAAGTCAATCGTGCCCAGGTACTGGTCGGGCGCAGTTTGCTGGGCGGACGGCGATGCTGTAGTGCCGGACGTCGCAACGAAAGAGCTGCGACTGTAGGAGGATCCGTCCTGTGGTGCCGCGCTCGTGCCAAAATTAGGCTGCCACGATACATCAACTCCGAGGGCTTTATTGCCTTCACCAATCGCGGCAGAGTCCGGAGGCCCGAATTCGGTGGACTCGCCAACCTGAAGAGCGCTGCTCGCAGACGTTCTTGTCAGACTGTCACGAATCCAGCCCAGGGCTCCGCCCCCAGAGTACCAGCTCCCAACCTTTCGAGACCGGTCAAACCGAAGGCCAAGGGCCCACGCTTTGCAACCCGGCACAAATTTCTCCAGGAAGAACTTCGTCCACCCTATTTTCAGTTGCGTCTGCTGCTTCCAGTAGTGCCGTGTCCACTGCCGTGTGCCCCGCACGATAGGCGTCCCATCCTTTATAACCTGCTCAGGCGTGGTTACCATCTCAAACGTTACAATAGAATATCGAAATCTGTGAAGATGCAAGAGGTGCATTATCTGGCCAACTCTCGTAGGATTGCGCATGACAAGTTCCGCAGTCCGAAACCGCACTGCACAGCTCTGGCGAAATTTGTAATGCAGAAAGTGGAATGCTGTCCGAGTCTGTCATGCTCGTCATGCAATACAAAATCCAGATTCTATTGTAACGTTTGAGATTGTACCGTTTGAGCAGGTCATATCCTTTCCTATGAAATTTTGATCTGCCGCGGAGTCGATCGCCGCGGCCCCGGTGTGCTGGGTCGTGGAGGTATCAATCCCGTGCCCTTCTGCCAGTTGCACAAAGGAGCGCGGCCGCCGTAGGTTCCTGCGCTCCGGGTTCCGGCTGCCGTCGTCGTTCCGGCGTTTGCGCAGCCCGCGGGCACCTGTCCCCGCATTTTTGACGCTCGCCTGCGCGCGAGACGCAACGCCCCCAGACCGGTCGTGCTGTCCCTCGTCCTCAAAAGGGCCACTGTCGTCCTCAAAAGTGCCACGAGACTGCTCGCTACCGTCACGATTGCAGCCCGCCAAGGTCGCAGCGCACATATGCATTGCAAACACGTCTGGTGTTTTGTCTCGAAACAAGACCATGCTACGGGGTCTGGAAAAGTGCGACGTTTCTCTTGCACATCTTACATGTTGCCCCAAAATGTCTGCGATGTAAGCCCTAGCTGCACATCACAGATTTTCTCAGTGCGTCTTGATGCCTATATACCGCAGGAGGAGATGCACTGCTCTCCTCGTTGCAAAACTTCGGCTTGCCGCTCAGGCAACACAGATCTTTGGAGAATCCGAAAGCAGCGTCACAAGCTGCATTCTTCGACCTGATCCAGACGTAGAAGTAATTTGCAATCGATAGCGTAGCACGAGCGTCAACAAAAAACCACCGTAGAATGGACCTCCGCTTCTGCCGACGCATGGAGGCGCTTTGCGCGTACGGTGCGAATCAGTTGTATTCTTCCGATCGTATCCTGTGAAAAAAATTCCCCACCCTCGAGTCAACAACAAGATGGGCATTCTACATCTGCTACACAAAGTAATAGCTATCGCTTTTTGCGCATGACAAGTTTCTCCGGGCTCGCGGTGCAGTAGCCGTGTTCAGCTAGTGTAGCTGCATCACAAATCCATCCCCGTGTTCGGCTAGTGTAGCCGTGTTCAGCTTTTAGTGAAGCCACAAATCCATCGCGGCTTCATCCTGATTGCAGCTCGATAACCTCCGCCCAGAGAGCACGTATTGCAATGTAAAAGCAAAATCAAAAATAAAGTTTGGACAGATCACTGTAGCCGGAGCGAACTGCGAAAATTGCATTGTTTAGCCTGTGGTTTTGGCTGCGCATCGGACACGTCTTTTTTGTATCTTATTAGGCTTAGGCATGTTGCAGATTTGCATGGGCTTAGGCATTAGGGTGGGCTTAGGCATGCATTATTAGGGTGGGATTAGCATTCGGCATGCAGATTTGCATGACAGACAGGAGTGGGAACGTTGGCCCTCAGGATAGACCACAGCCTCGTGGAAGATGGATGAGGGTGACGCGGTCCATCCTGATTTGTTTGGGTGTTCCCCGTATGCATTGCAAATATGTCTGGGTCGGCCTGGAAGGATACACCAAACTTGTCATGCAAAGAAAGCCCGAGCACGGACAGATTGTGTTGCCTGAACGCCAAAGGTTGATGCCCATTTGTTCTTGCTTACACAAATACCAAACTAGAAAAATTCTCATGCGGGTCAGGCATCAAGAGGCGGGCAAGACTCGTGATGCTTTTGTGTGCATTCCAGCTGACTGTGTCTGTCTCTGTGGTCCAGAAGATGCATGACAAATGACATCCAGACCCAGATGACATCATATTTGCATTTGATACAACCGCGTACATGAGTTGTTGTCAGTCTGACATAAGTAAACGCGCTCTGCTCTCGGTCAAATGCAAATGCGTCTGGATCTGGAACAAGGGTGTGATGTTTGTCAACATGCTTGGCTGACAGGAGGGAAAAACCTGTCGTGCCTATGCGTTCTTTGTAGCCATGCAACATTGCAACTTCTGATGCGGTTTACGGACGACCTAGCAGCTCAAACATTTGTCATGCGTGACTCCTCGTCCTCACCACGTAGAAATTAGCTTCATAAGTGTCCAGAGGACGTCCGAGACATATTTGCAATCCACACTCTCAAGAAACCGAGGAGGAAACGGAAATGACGGACTTTATCCTGTGTAAAAACAAATACCCATACACAACAGTTGTCCAGAACCGGAACCAGATTCGCCCCTCCTGCAGGAAACTCGTGTAAATTGCGCCTACCCACCAGAAGCCGAAGCAGGCGCATTTCCACTAGTAGTTGTGTCTTGACATAATGTTCAACATTCCTGTAGACACGACAAAACCAAACGATGGCTTTGCTGTGCTGCGGCTACCCTTGCTAAGCGGCTGCACAACACTGCAGTAGAGAAAAGGAATTTCTTGTCGTGCGCCATTTTGTGCTGCAGAGCTTGCAACTGGCGTCGGTACTAGTACATTTTCACTACAGGAATAGCATGGGTACATTTTTACGACAGGATAATTTTTTTACACAAACCGAAACAGGCAACGAAACTTCTGTCGTGGCACCAAGCGCTCGTACTGATGAGAACATCCTGGTGGCGGGTGCAGCACAATGCGATGTTTATCTGTTGGAATGATTTTATTTTCCAACGTGTGCTCATCTGATTCGCAGACCTGCAGCTGTCGAGGTGGTTTTTTGGCTATAACTTGATTGTTTTTGTAAAAGAACTCCGTGTTTTGAATATCGCAAGACCAAGATGTTTTTTGTTGGTTTTGTTGGGAACAATGCTATAATTGGAGTCGTACGTAGCCATAATGATAAGTATAGAACAAAAAATTTTAACGCACACCTCCAGAAACCTCCACCAACAACTCCCGCGACCTTCAACCCCAACCCCCGAAACCTCCCGACCAAAACCTCTGCGACCTTTCCCCGCGGTCCCCGAAACCTCCGACCTCCGGGTCCCGGGGTCCCCGAAACCTCCGACCTCCGGGTCCCGGGGTCCCCGAAACCTCCGACCTCCGGGTCCCGAGGTCCCCGAAACCTCCGACCTCCGGGTCCCGGGGTCCCCGAAACCTCCGACCTCCGGGTCCCGGGGTCCCCGAAACCTCCGACCTCCGGGTCCCGGGGTCCCCGAAACCTCCGACCTCCGGGTCCCGGGGTCCCCGAAACCTCCGACCTCCGGGTCCCGGGGTCCCCGAAACCTCCGACCTCCGGGTCCCGGGGTCCCCGAAACCTCCGACCTCCGGGTCCCGGGGTCCCCGAAACCTCCGACCTCCGGGTCCCGGGGTCCCCGAAACCTCCGACCTCCGGGTCCCGGGGTCCCCGAAACCTCCGACCTCCGGGTCCCGGGGTCCCCGAAACCTCCGACCTCCGGGTCCCGGGGTCCCCGAAACCTCCGACCTCCGGGTCCCGGGGTCCCCGAAACCTCCGACCTCCGGGTCCCGGGGTCCCCGAAACCTCCGACCTCCGGGTCCCGGGGTCCCCGAAACCTCCGACCTCCGGGTCCCGGGGTCCCCGAAACCTCCGACCTCCGGGTCCCGGGGTCCCCGAAACCTCCGACCTCCGGGTCCCGGGGTCCCCGAAACCTCCGACCTCCGGGTCCCGGGGTCCCCGAAACCTCCGACCTCCGGGTCCCGGGGTCCCCGAAACCTCCGACCTCCGGGTCCCGGGGTCCCCGAAACCTCCGACCTCCGGGTCCCGGGGTCCCCGAAACCTCCGACCTCCGGGTCCCGGGGTCCCCGAAACCTCCGACCTCCGGGTCCCGGGGTCCCCGAAACCTCCGACCTCCGGGTCCCGGGGTCCCCGAAACCTCCGACCTCCGGGTCCCGGGGTCCCCGAAACCTCCGACCTCCGGGTCCCGGGGTCCCCGAAACCTCCGACCTCCGGGTCCCGGGGTCCCCGAAACCTCCGACCTCCGGGTCCCGGGGTCCCCGAAACCTCCGACCTCCGGGTCCCGGGGTCCCCGAAACCTCCGACCTCCGGGTCCCGGGGTCCGCGAAACCTCCGACCTCCGGGTCCCGGGGTCCCCGAAACCTCCGACCTCCGGGTCCCCGAAACCTCCGACCCCCGGGTCTGCGGGTCCCCGAAACCTCCGACCTCCGGGTCTGGGGGTCCCCGAAACCTCCGCCCTCCGGGTCCCGGGTTCCCCGAAACCTCCGACCTCCGGGCTCCGGGGTCCCCGAAACCTCCGACCTTCGGGTCCCGGGGTCCGCGAAACGAAACCTCCGGCCTTCGGGCTTCGCGGTCCCCGAAGCCTTCAAACTCCGCGGTCCCCGAACCCTCCGACCTTCAGGTCCCGCGGTCCCCGAAACCCCCCAGCGACCTCCGGGCCCCGCGGTCCCCGAAACCTCCGAACTCCGGGCCCCGCGGCCCCCGAAACCTCCGACCTGCGGGTCCCGGGGTCAACGAAACCCCCAGGCTCCGGGGTCCCCGGAAGGTCCGAACTCCGGGGTCCCCGGAACCTCCGACCTCCGGGTCCCGGGGTCCGCGAAACCTCCGACCTCCGGGCCCCACGGCCCCCGAAACCCCCGGGTCCCCCGGTCCCCGGATGGAACCTCCGGGCCCCGCGGTCCCCGGAACCTCCGCGCCGGCGCGAGGCGGGGAAGGCCGCGGACCAATGAGTCTCGGGGCTAGGCAGGCCGCTAGGGCTCGGGGCCAGGCAGGCCGCTAGGGCTCGGGGCTAGGCAGGCCGCTAGGGCTCGAGGCTAGGCAGGCCGCTAGGGACCGAGGCTAGGCAGGCCGCTAGGGCTCGAGGCTAGGCAGGCCACTACCTAGGGCCGGCTCGAGGCTAGGCAGGCCACTACCTAGGGCTCGAGGCTATGAATGCAGGCCGCTAGGGCTCGAGGCTAGGCAGGCCACTAGGGCTCGGGGCTAGGCAGGCCGCTAGGGCCGGCTCGGGGCCAGACAGGCCGCTAGGGCTTGGGGCTAGGCTAGGCAGGCCGCTAGGGCTTGGGGCTAGGCTAGGCAGGCCGCTAGGGCTTGGGGCTAGGCTAGGCAGGCCGCTAGGGCTCGAGGCTCGGCCGCTAGGGCTCGAGGCTCGGCCGCTAGGGCTCGAGGCTCGGCCGCTGGGGCTCGAGGCTCGGCCGCTAGGGCTCGAGGCTGGGCCGCAGGGGCTCGAGGCTAGGCCGCTAGGGCTCGAGGCTGGGCCGCAGGGGCTCGAGGCTAGGCCGCAGGGGCTCGAGGCTGGGCCGCTAGGGCTCGAGGCTAGGCCGCTAGGGCTCGAGGCTAGGCCGCTAGGGCTCGAGGCTAGGCCGCTAGGGCTCGAGGCTAGGCCGCTAGGGCACTTCCGCTGGAGGTTCAGAAAGACGGGGGCGCTTGAGGCGAGGGCCAGAACATTAGAGGCCCGGCTGTGTCTGCACAACTGGGACTGTCGCCTTGCTGTGCGCCGGTGGGGAGTGCGTGAGGGTGCGGCGGGGTGCCTGCCTGGTCGTTGTTGTGTGTTGCTTTTGGTTTCTAGTGCGGAGTGGGTCAAGGGTAGCTTGCGACTAGTAGAAGTAGTAAGTAGATACTTCTTTGGATGTTTGCATACTCTTTGCGATGGACTTCTTGTTCTTACATGGCACGAGTATCGCACTCGCCCTAGAAGTTCTGTCGTTGGATAAAACCCGGTTCGTCGTCGTCCCTAATCAAAATGAAACATCCCCCTCCCGATATTCAAAAACAAAACCAAGTTGCTGTTGCAGGAAAAAAAATTATACCCTCTGTCTCGCAGTAAGGGACTGCAGCCAGGTCCTCCGCCTGTTTAGGAACATGTTGAGGGTCTAACTCTTTAGCATGGAAAACGCCTACAGCCCTGTTCTAGGCCCAGCAGCATGCGAAATCGCCTCCAAAGAAAGGCGGCCCACACCTCTGCCCTTGCGGCCTTCTTGCAAGACAAAGCTGATCTGTGGGCACAAAGAAATCGGCATCGCATATCTTCCATTTATTGAGTATGGGGAGAGGGAATTTTTCCACACAATATCCCTCAGAAGCGCGCCTTGGGTTTCTTCGGCTTGTGGTTCTTGGACCAGGCCTGCAGCATCTCGTCGCGGTCCTCGGCCGGGGCGTGTTTGATGTAGCGAAGCGGTTGGACGACCGCCCCCAGGCGGGTGACCACCTGCGGCTGGATCTTGTACTTGTGCACACTCCCCGTGTTCCACTCGCTCCCCAGTGCCTTCCCCATATCCAAGAAAAAAACATTGTTGGTGTAACTTTATGTGATGCGCGACATGCAACTGATCATGATTGCGTCTGTCTTTATGCCGGTCGTGCAATGTAGGGTCCATGATTGAAGCGTCGTGTTTTGTTCACGTAGACGTACTACTATCTCTCTGCGCATAACAGGTTTCATCTGCTATCTTCATGATCTTGCCATTTGTAATGCTGTTCCCCCAACATTAAGAGAGTTACACCTACAACCTTTTTTTCTTGGGTACCCAAGCGCGGTCTCGTACTGCTCTTTCGACTGGAACGGGTGCGGCAAGTTTTGCACTTCGTACTTGTCGCTGAAGGCCTTGCTGGGCTGCCCTTGGTTCAATACCGTGACCCGCGTGTTGCACGCGGTCGCGGGCTATCAAAGAAAAAAGTATGTCTGGGTCAGGAAACTTGTTGTAATGCTAGACGACAGTCCATGGCTTTTCTCCTCGACGCACTGCACTATTACGCAGCCAAGCCTGACAAAGATTTGGGCTACAATGTGTTGCATACTTATTCCGCAGGGCAAGCTGCGCTTGTTTTGCATGACGGGAAATAAGCGAAAGCGGGTCTAGTCTCTACTTCGTGCTGCCCATGCATCACAGGGTTTTGAGTCGTGCTCATGTAGTCGGACCACGGGCATGTTGACAGATGATCTGGCAATGTCCTAGACCCAGACATGTTTGCAATCCGTACGGGGTTCAGCGTGGTTACCACCTTGCGCCGCTTGGCCGCGGACGTTGTCTCCAGGCCCACGCCTGTATCCTGAGTAAAAACGTACCCACGCCAGAGTTGTAATGCAGATTTTTTTTTTTTTTCATTGGGCCCCACGCTGAAAAAACGCATATAAATTCATCACTATTCTTCTAGGAGGCCAGTGGGCGTTACTTAACATGTGACGCAGTTCTACGAATTCACCTGCCTGCCGCAGCAGGTCAATCAGGGCCGACACCTTTCACACAGTTAAGCAGTGCGCGTGTACACCATCTTTTTTTTTTGATTTGTACCATTTCCGCTCTTGTCGTCTGGTCCGTCACCAAGGTCTCGCTCCATTTCCGTCAATTCCCCCCCATCTGTACAACTCTGCTGGCAAGGCAGAAAAAAAAAACGCAGCCCCTGTTGGAATAATTCAGCACAAAAAGCCCACACAGAAAATTCCTGCACCTACCTAGGGGCGACTAGGCAGATGAGGTGTGCCGTAGCAAGGCGCGTTTATGTGTTTGAGTCAAAGACATTCAATACTAAGCGGGAAACGCATCAGGGATAATGTGCGGGGTCCGCTAAAAAAATATCGCGAAGGCGGTAATGGAATAGCACTACTCTAATCTTTGACGACAATCTAAGAAGTGGGGGACAGCCGAAAAAAAAACCTACTGGATCTTTTGCACAGTGTGCGTACGTCTACGATGCGGATCCTTCTTGGGTCGGCAACGACAGCGAGGCAACTCTCCTCGCTGCGTTCCGCCTCTTTTTGTCAGTGCACCCGAATTTATATTCCCCCCGGGGAGGGGGTGAAAATGCAGATTTGCAAAGACAGGAAGACTTGTAATGCGCATCCCCATGAGAGCCATTTCCAATCGTGTTTTGGAATTTGTGATGCTGTGAACAGGGTGAGCAGGTGAATCTGTGATGCGGCTGCAATTGCTAACCTGCACTACACTGCATAGTGCAACTTGTCATGCGTGACTCACAAAACTCCTCGGTTTGTGTTGCAAAATCCTCATCCTGACTCTGGTGTGGGTACGTTTTTACTCAGGATAGCCTGCCCAACTGCCCCAGCCCGACATCTTGTTCGCCTGTTCCTCGGCGCGGCTCTGCCGGTCTATCAACTGTAAAAATGTCTGGGTCTGGAAGAATGCAAGTTTGTCATGCTTGTCTGGCATGACTCGAGAATCTGTGTTGCATAGGCACGACAAGGCCCTCTTACCTGTCATGCAAAAACGCAGTTTGCCATGCGGAATGCGTAACACATGGCAGTCAAAAAATTTGTCATGCATAGCTGCGTATTGCAGTGCGTCTATCATTCATTTTTAGCATTACAAGTTTCCAGACCCAGACATTTTTGCATTTGATACGGTCCTCGCGCTGCTGATTGATGTCCCGATCAAAGTCCGTCTGGTTGTCTTCCCCAAATTATTGCGGGGAAACATCATCCCCCATCCCCATATTCAAACGGCACGGATTTGTTTTTCTAGGAAAGGAGATTTCTGGTGATGAATTTGTTAAAAACAGCAGTAAAACAAGTCGACTTGTTGCATTCTTGCTAGGAGGCAAACAGACATAAAATTGCGACCTGGGTTGCAGGCAACTAATTGCGGCGCTACTCAGGCACTTCAATGGTTTTCTGTCATGCGGAACACGCAACGCTTTTGCTTTTCCATGCCAGACAAAATGGGTAGAGGCCACGTCTGCAGTAGTACCCTTCACATATGCCAAACTGCTATGTCATCCTCATCTTCACAAAACGTGCTGATACAAAGAAACGGGAAATTTGTTTGAGTATGGGGGGATGCCGTTTTTTCATTTTGATACAAACGTGGCAAACGCGGAGCGAATCAGCTGTGCGTTGTCGGCGTCCGCGCGGTCCACTTGAGCAAAGGGGTTCTTATGCATGGCAAATCATGATTTCTCTGGGCGGTCTGACACAGTTGAATGATGCCGCTGTTGTTCTTGCAAAATGACTGTGCATTCTGTGATGCCTGTGATTTTTGCAGCAAAGCCGGTGCTTGATTGTGGTTTGGAAATACAATTGCTGTTGCTCATGCAATATGCACGACACGACGGCGTCGTGCGACAATTTGTCATGCTTAATAGCCACCGCTGGGTAACAATCATGCCAAAAATGTAGCCTAGCCTAGTGCTGCTCATCTAAAAATTCATTGCGCCATCGCTTAGAATTAGAGTTTAGGCGTGACACAGACTCAGACAATATCAACAAGAGTATAAAAATAAAGTAAGCAGGACTTATATCCTGGACCCAAAACTTTCATATTTGCCCCGGATAATTTTTCACCTGCTGCAAATCGCCCTCGGAATCCTCGCTGTCGCTGCTATTATCACCCTCGCTTCCACGATCCTCGTGAGGCTCGCTCGTGAACTTCGCTGGTGCAGATCGCTCGCTGGTCCCTCTTGCAGGCGGCTGGCCAGACGAGTTTTCACCACCTTCCGGGTGTGTCTGCTGCAGTTCTTGTGCCGTTCGTCCTTTTTGGTCGTGTGCTGGAGGTACAACGCTACCTGCTTTTTCTCGCTTCACCGTGACTACTCCCGTGGCTTCACCGCTTCTCCTGTTCGCCCCCGTCGTGCTGGCCCCCGGCGCGATGAACAAGGTGTTGCACGAAGACGTGGTCCTCCCTGTACTAGAGCCAGAAGAGGTCCTCGTCGCTCCTGTAGTACACGGTGGAGATGTCGACGACAGTATCACGGCACCTTCTTCGCCGCTCCCCGGCGCGCCGAGCGCCTTTTCCGCCTCAGCGAGTTCCTTGTGCGAAAACGCCTCGTCTTCGCCTTCCTCGTCACAGGAGCTCGTGTCGTCGTGGTCACTGCGCTGATCCACCTCCTCGTCCTGGTCCTTTTTCGTCGGCGCGGCTTCCTCCCGCCACCTCCCGAGCTCCCCCAGCAGCGCGGCGGCCTGCTTCTGCGACTCCTCGCGCTTTTTGGCCATTATGGATGTGTCAGGATCGAAATCGACAAAATCGAAAAATTTGTAATGCGTAAAATGTACGGCAAGGAAGGCCTGTGTTGGGGAGTAGGCAAATGAGACCGATTGCAAGCCTGATTAGGGGAAGGCGATGTGCTGCCGGAGCAGCACGCCAGGAGCAGTCTTCTTTGCCAAAACAGCATGACAGCCTGGATTTTGGCGCTCCCGAAATTTGTCATGCGCCACTTGGAAATTGAGGCTCCAAGTGGTATCGATTTTGTGCATCACAAATTATTTCGATTTTGTTGATTTCGATTCTGACACTTCCATAGCCATGGCGTCCTGCATAAACTTCAGGCCGAACAGGCCCTTCTTCATGGTGTCGTCGCCCGGGGTCTCGTGCAGCTTGAAACTCTCCTCCAGCTCTCGCTTGGCCAGCTGCTCTGCTTTCTCCAGGGGATCCAAATCTTCGTCCGACAAATCTAGGTCCTCGTCGTCTGAGTCGTTGTTCTGCTCCTTCGCCTTCAGAGCGCGCTGCAATGCTCGCTTGTCATCTTCGGCTTTCTGGGCCTGCGTGGAGATCACTGACCGCATCTCCTTGCCCCCGAAGCGTTGCGCCGCCCGGGCCCACTTCTTGCGCGCGTCTGCTCCCCGCCGCGACCGCACCTCTGCCAGCTTCTGCTCCCTTTTATCAACCTGAAATACAGTGCCCTGCCCCCAGGAAAAGCTGATGTTTCTGATGCTAAAATGGCTGTACCGATGTTGTCACCGTTCAAGAATAGATTTTCATTCATAGCCCGAACGAAGTAGGTTACGCACCTCTGAAGCATGGCGCTTCACAATCGTTCTATGCGGGACAATAAAGTTTATATTTGACGCGTTGTTTTATTTTCGGATGATGTAAGTGGTAAAATGCATATCCATGACCAATCAAGAATTTTCCGTGCAGATCGGCAAAAAGGAAAATCTTTCTTTGTGGAGGGGTGCCCAGTACCATAGGCGACACCTGTACTAGTCACCTGGACCTGTCAAGTGCTGACCGCATTAATACATTCCAGATCCAGAGTAAAAAGAAGTCGCATGCCTCCTTTCATTTTTCGAGGTGTGACCTTCACAATTCAAATACAATTTTGCAAAATGTCCTCCGGGTGCGGGGCACTTTTCGATTCGATACATCTCACGCTTGATTTGCGCCGCCAGCTCTGGATCCTCCTGCTCCAGTCGGGACAGCACCTATTTCATACATCGTAGGCACTACGTAAAAGTAAAACTAATACTCAGCTCTTGACATAATTCACCTCAACATAAAAATATTCCCTAAAATCAGAAATTTTGCAATTTGTCATGCAAGACAGGCAGTTTGCATTAAATCCGTAAAAAGTGTTGCACACTCACACGAGAGTGTCCAGTCGTCCGGTGTGGTCAACATTCTATATACGCAGTTTTGTAGCAGTAAGCAGAACAAGAATATGCGATCCAAAAGTACTTTTTCGCGTTCCTTGTTGTCCATGCGTTTCTTAACCCGGTGGAAGGACTTTGACTTGATTTTTTTCAATCTCTTCGCCCGCGTGAGCTCGCGCAGCTGCAACGCCCGCAGGTGCGCCATCTGCTGCGTCCGCTTGGCTTCGCGGATGGCCGGGTTCGCTCCCGTCGTCTGGCCGTCGCCATCGGCCAGAAGACCGCCCGTGCCGGTGCCATCCAGTCGTTGCTCGTGTCGTATCAAAAGCAAAAAAGCTCCCACCACGTCGACCCCATGCACAAAGCTTTACGAACTCGAAACTCGTGGCATAGCACGTTTATTTCTTGTATTTCCTATGTATTACTTAAATAAATACACCTTTCGTGTCAGACGGAACGAAATCTGAACTGCCGTCGTGGATAGCAGCCAAACTTGCTTTCTTGCCTGTTCAGTACGACAAGGCAAAGCCTCACACACTGTCCACCCAGAGCCAGACTATTAGCATGACAAAAATTATCTTCTCTCATCACAACGCGTTACAAGTCCCCCGCTGCAACACAGGTTGATGACAACTGAAACTGTAAGTAATTATACGCATACCCAGCAGGGAAATGATATATCCTTATCCTTTTGAGTGTGGGCGGTACGTAGGGGAATTTTTGCTGACGATACCCCGTGCTGCCATTTCCAGCTCTTTCGTCTCTGCAAGTGCGAGCGCGAGGTCGGCCTCAAACGAGTCCGTCTGCTCGCTCCCCTGCTTGGCTATCGAATTCGCGGCTGTTGTAGCGTTCATTTCGTTTCGTGATCTAAGGTGAGAACGACCTTTTTAGCAACATATAGATGTTGTTGACACGGTGGAACCAGGGCCATATGTTGTCTGACCCACGAGCGTAGTACAATGCAATCACTTATTCAAATATTTTTATCCCAATCCTGCCGAATTTCCTTGCGCAATCGCAAACAAGTGTTTACAAGCACTCGCTGGCCAGATTGAAGATTCAGATATACTACACGACAACAACGCTGTTCTAATGTCTGACTTGTTTGCAGCTGCCGTACAGATTCACACCCCAGTATTTGATGCATGGAGGGGGCCAGTACCAATTTACGATGCACGTCTACAAGTTGCATGGACTTGGACGCCCAGCAGAGTAATGCAGATATTATGATTCCACCTATACCTGTTTTAAACTGGAAGCTCGCAGCGAGGCTTTTCGTCGACCGGTTCTCCAGCAGGTCCTCGTAATCGCCAAAGAGCAGCTGACTCGAGTTTCGGTTCGCCCGCACTTGCTGGTCCCACTTGCGGGCGTCCCGCTTGGACGCTTCGTAGTTTACCGCCCGATCTTTGCGTGCCTGCTTGACGTCGCCCAGTACCTCCTCGTGTTCCAGCTTCTGCGCACTCTCCTCCAGCTTCAACAGCTGCCGCTGCACGTTGCCCAGCGCCTGCTTCTGGGCCAGTGGCTGCAGAAGCTCCTGTAGGTTCACCGCATCCGCCTCGTCTACGTCCTCCCCCCCGAGCAGGTGCGCCATCGACTCCGACACGTGCGCGAGCCGGTTGCGACGCGGTCCACCAGTAGCCTTGCCGTGTCCGTCATTCTCGTCGGGCGACGTCCCGAGTTGCGCCGCCACGTCCTGCAGTAGTTCGTCGTGCTCGAGTTGAGCCGCAGTTTCGTGTTCCGCACTACCGTCATCGTCAGAAAAACTGCCCTCCTCGTCGCTTGCCCCCGCATCAGGAGCAAACTGGGGCAACGAAGATTTTTTTGCCACTCGCCCCTTCTTGTTTTTCGCCTCAGCTGACGTGCTGGTCGTCGCAGCTCCCTTTGCCTTTGCCTGCATTGCGTTCATGAGCGACATGAGATCCCCGCCGCCGGCTGCCGCGCTGGCGAATACATCGTCGTCGTCGAATGCGCGGTCGCTGTCGCTGTCGCTGTCATCGTCCCGCCCCGTGCTCGCCTTGCGTTGCCCCCTGGTTTTCGTTTTTCTCTTCTTCTGCGGTCCTTGGCGCTCGAAGATGGTGTCGATCGTTTCCCCGTACTGCCTCTCGTCTTGTGCGTCGAATACGCCGTCCTCCTCATCGATGCTATCCTCATCATCAGACAGCTGTGCAGTCGTCCGCTTCTGGGTCACCGCTGCACAGGAAGCTTTACTCCCCTTCGTATGGCGCCGCGCCGAGCCACCTCTGGCTCCCTTGGCCGTGGCCTTCTTCTTCATCATCCCCTTGGTTTTCGCCATAACCGCTTCGGCAGCTTCGAGGACACACTGGAGGAGTCGTGAAATAGGTTTCGCCTTCGCGCTGCAGGAGATCAGGAAAATAAATGAAAGTCTTATGTTGACATGCACATCACGACGCTCATCTGAATAAAAGTACTGACGTTCAGGTTGTCGAGTACGAGTTCTTATTTGTATGCATCAATAAATCGCGTTCTCTTCTAGTCTAGTGTAAGAAGAGGTTTTCGATTGAGATTGTTGCATTCCGATTATTTCTACTCGAAGAAGAACTTTCTTGGTTGTACAACTTGTCGTGCTCTTGCCTGGTCAGAGTATTTTTCATTGCAATGTTTCCGCGAAACAGATGACAAGTACAAGATTTAATATTGCATCTCTGCCAAAAAATTCGTTGCACTTCGGATCAGACCCATTTTCATTTACATTTTCACGCCCATCTGATTTTGCAACGAGTTCTATTCACATTTTTGAAGAGCCAAGATCTTCATAGTCGCACCTTTTTATACAGTGCGAGGAATTCTGGTCCTGCATGTTGCTTTATTCGAGTCTTCCGGCGGTACTTACAAAACAAAGCATTTGCATTTTCGGGTGGATCTTCAGAAAAAGCAGAGAGATCCTGTTCTCAACCTCCGCAATTTTTTCATCACATACATGATTTGTTACCTGCTCATGCCTGGTCGTCTGCTGATCCATAGGTGCGTTATTTTCATGATTCGCCAGAATTTGACTCGAGTGGTTCGTGAACTTGAGCAAAGAGAAAGATTTGAATTTGTTTGATCATCTTGATCTCGTAGCGTATCCGCGTGAGTACGAAGTTGCATATCAACTGCTAGTGTGTCTGGGTCGTTACTGCTTTTTTTGATCACCAAAACGACAGTACATATTCCTGTACGAGCCTGCGCGGCGATGAACGCGGCTTATTCGTAATGCCAAGGCGGGGATAAGGCGCGCATTACAATCATCGCAGAAGAACCTCGACCGACGCCTTTTACTACTTTTATCTACTAATCATGAAGGACGAAATCTGGCTCTGGTTCTGACTCTGAGTTCATCTTTCGAGCTGCATGACAAAGAACGAGCCCAAGTTTACTTTCCGAAGACACGCCAGACACATTTGCACTTGATGTTGCAGATTGCGAACCGTGTACGGTCCACGAGGTCATACCCGTACCCGAGTTTTGAACAATTATGAAAGAAAAAACTGCGGAAGTGCATTAGTGTCTGTGATGCAAAATGCACAAGAAGTATAACACTGGTATTGATGCGCCGCCACGATATCCATCAGACTTGGTTTTGGTTTATGTCATGCGTCATACTAACTTAGCTCTTCCTTACTCGCGGCGCAGGACAGTAGTAACCTTTGTCTGTATATTATATAAATGTAGTGTAAAGCAGATGCAGATTTATCGTGATGGCGTTCACATAAAAAACCGAGTCACTCGACTAAACGCAGTTTTTTTCTTGGAGAATAATTTTTCCATGCTCGTCATTGTTGTGGCAAGATATCGTCTTCCATCCATCTCTACCAATTGCAAACATGTCTGGTCTTCTGGAACGATGGAAACTTACTTGTGAGGCGCATTTTTTCAGACCACAAAAAAATCTCCAATCCACCATGGACAGCGAAGTAAAACGCAGCCCAGTTCTTGCCTTCAAAATGATCAAGAATTTGAATTTCTCGTTATGGATTGTAAAAATGTCTGGGTGGTCTGGAAGAATGCAACTTGTCATGCTAAATCTCAAGCATGCAAAAATCTGTGTTGCAGGATTACCAAAGGTCGTCCAGTTTTGCACAAGTCGGGAGGGAGTTTGTCACGCAGGATAGGCATGAGAGAGATCGCACAGAATCTGTCATGCTAGGTGCTGCATTCCAGACCTCATGGGTCATGGTCATGGAATCAAAGCTGCATGACAAATCGCGCATTCTTCCAGACCCAGACATTTTTGCATTTGATACTCGTGCCGGATAGGCACTGAGGAACCTCCTCGAAGCGAGGACCTGTGGTGCCATTGCCTGCATGCTAGAGCAGCTTCTGGGCGGTCAGCGTCACGCAGATTCCGCATGACAGCCAACTGCATTTTTCCAGAGGACCCAGACAGATCTATTGCACTTGATAAAATAGCTTCATTTCTGTCGTATAATCGCACTTGTAGTTCATCTTCAGAGCGACGTAGCTGATTGCACTTCGTAATTGACGAGGAGGATCCTCGACCCCGCCCTGCTAAGGGAACAGAGGGCGAACAAATTGGACACCAAGAACCCCAGCCAAAGCATGGGAACAAGTTCGCAAGGGTAACGGATTGGGTATGGGTACCGCCAGTGGCAAACGACCCCTGTTCCCAAAGCAAGGCGAGATCGAGGACAGAAGGCATATCGATATCGTCCAAAGAGAACGGAAATAATGCGCCAAACGACGCCGCCGGACAGTGGCGACCCCGGCCACAAGATCAAGATGTCATCTTTCCCCAAAACAAATGCCCGCAAAACTACTCCCCGCGGAAACTGGCCTTGTAGCAAAACACCGCGACACCGCCTCCGTTGGGGCCGGCCTCATGGCGAGCATGCGCAAACCTGTCACTCTGGGACTGCCCTCAAGACAGATGTCTCGCACTCTAGCGAAGCTTCGGCGAACGCAAATAACTGTCCCCACTGGGACTGCCCTCTAGGCAATGCTCCGCACTCTAGCGAAGCATCGGCAAACGCAAACTGCCCCCGCTGGGGCTGCCCTCTAGGCAATGCTCCGCACTCTAGCGAAGCATCGGCAAACGCAAACTGTCCCCGCTGGGACTGCCCTCTAGGCAATGCTCTGCACTCTAGCGGAACATGTAAACCTGCGTGTAGAGACAAAAATAGCTGCGTCTCACAGCTCAAAACGCACTCCAAACACCGCGAACGGGAGGCACCCTCCCGCCCCTCTCGCAGGGCAAGGGAGTCCAGTACCTCCAGGCATTAGCTTCTAGGGATCTGCCAGCCCATGAACAAACTAGACCGGAGGAACTCCTTCCAGTCACTCCACGAAAAGAATCTACCAGGGTAGATGTGTCGATAAAATAGCTTCATTTCTGTCGTATAATCGCACTTGTAGTTCATCTTCAGAGCGGCGTTTTCTGTGGCTAACCATCAAAATCGGCCATTTCAGATGCGGCGGAGGTGCCGGATTTGTGCCCACAATCCAGGGCAAATGGGGATTTTGTGACATCCCTCCGCCCGCCTCTAGTGCGGTTTTTTTTTTCACAATCCCGACGGTATGGCGCGACCACGCGCCCGCCGGACCGCCCTCGGCGGCCAGTTTGTCAGCCTGCCGAGGGTTCTCGATTTTTTTTAATTTTCGCTCTTTTTTCAGGTTTTTAGTCGGCCGAAGGGCTCTGCACATTTTCACCGCCCTCAGCTGACTGGCAGTTTTGAAGCCTGCGGAAGGATTGCGCTTTTGCAAGATTTTTCCTCTTTTCCCATTTTCCAAGCGGCCCGGGTGATCTGGACAAAATCCGACGATTGCTCCCACCCACGTTATGCCGCGACTTTTTGCCATTTTTTCCCAACTTTTTCCAGTTACGAAGCGGCCCAAGGCTTCCGAACAGGTCGCGGGCCTGCTTCTCCAACGCAGCTGGCCAGCGGGCGGAGCAAAAAATAGTCCGTCTCTTTTTCCGATATCAAGTGGGCCAAACCGCAAAAATGCTCTTTTTTCACCTTCTCCCGCTTGGCTTCTGCCGTTTTGGCAACATTTTTGACGTCCTGGCCATTTTCCCATCTGGTCCGCTTTTTTTCCCTTCTCCCGCTTCATTTCTGGCCATTTCCCTGACCTTCACGCCTCCCGGCGGTTGCCCTATATGGTAACGGCAACTGCCTTCGCGCTGCGTTTGCTAAGCAATATCGCGCGCGCACGCATTTGGTTACCAGATAATCGCACTTGTAGTTCATCTTCAGAGCGACGTTTCCTGTGTTCATTGATATCGAATTTGGTAAGTGGAAGTTGTGCCGATTCTGCTGTAATAAAATAAAACATACTATATTTTCAAAGAACCTGTTTTTTTCGTTTCGGCAGACCAATTGCAAAATCTGTGGCTAACACGACGACATCGACAACCCGTAGAGTAGTTCTATAAAAGTGTCACCAAATAAGTAGACCGTGCGGGCGTGCAAACAAATTTTCGCAAGATGAAAGTGCGAGTGGGTGTGTATTTCTGTCTGTCAAGACCAAGAGTCAGGATTACTTAGCACGGCAAAAGCGCATGGCAGCATGAGCAACTCTCTTTCATTTTTTAGTTAGATATAAGTAATATTGAAGGGCAGCACCACCGTCACCAATTACACAAGGCGAGCAGGTGTTGAGATCTCCGTCGCGCTACCACCGGACGAGGGCCAGCTGGTACCGATAGAGGCAGGGAAGCAGCTCATACAGGAAAGAAAACCGCCGCTACGCTGCGTCTGCGGCTGGATTTGCACCTCCTCGATAAAGCAAGGTCGCTGGTGGCCTTGCTCGACTTTCAGCACTATCAAATGCAAAAATGTCTGGGGCTGGATCAGCCTGGGAGTTTGTCATGCGCCAGATTTTGCGTCCCCCATGAGGTTTGGAAAAAGAAACGGGAGAGAATAAATATTAGCATCACATGGTTTATTGTAAGGCCCTTACAATGCCTATTCCGCATCAGCATGGCGAAAAATGGGTATCTGCTGCTCCCCGCGCAAGACCAATTCGTACGTGTGATCTACACAATGCATCACAAGGAAGTTGGATCTCTTCCAGACCCAAACGTATTTGCAAATGCCATATTCACCGAGGGGGAGCACTCTTCGTGACTCGCGCACGACCGCGCCGTGACGAAGCTAGCGCAGGAGGAGCTGCAGGAGTTGCAAGGATCCCAGATGCTGGATCCCGCTGCACGCCGGTCCCGTTTGTTCCATGCGGCAGCGGTTGCTACCTCTCGCAGCTGCTCTGCCACCCGAGCTTCCTTCGCCGGAATTTGGTCTGGGAAGGTTAAGCCGCCACAGTCTATCCAAATTGCACAGCCCCTTATCTCCCTCATTTCTTTGAAGGACAAGAACACCACAACAAAACATCATCATCATCATCATATTTGTGCGTGTCCGGGATAAACATTATCTTTTCTCATTCTAATGAGTGGACGGGCACCCAGTACTGCTGTGTGCGGAGTGACAGGAGAGTCACTCACTCTGGATAATGTTGTAGCGTCAGTACGACATCAGTAGAGTTCCATCAGAGCAGGATGATTACAGTACTACAACTGGTTCACTATGATTGCTCCGCAGGAGCTTCTCACACGCACCATGTCAAAAGAAAACGAGCAGAGCAGAGCTGGCAGTTGTGCAATTGGCATAGTTGCATGACAAAGGAGAGAATTATGGAGGGGTTGTGCACTCTCCTACTGTGAGGAACCTCCACCTTACCTGGAACGCAGCCCGGGTTAAACTGCAGGTCTGATGCGGGGTAGTACTGCGGATCAAGACGGGAATAGACGACTCTTCGGCTAATCGCCCGCTCAGGTGTTACAACGACTCTGTCGTCTGTCTCTTCAACTGTTCCAATATAATGTATGAAATTTTCATTCGGAATCGGAAAGGTATTAAGTCATGCATACCACTCGTACTATGTCCACTTTTGTTTACAGGAATGCGCATGACCCGATTTGGAAAGGGAAAATTCGCACTCGATCGTCCCTCCCAGACACTGCAAAAGATAAACTAAAGACATGTCATGCCTTACGTTACTTTTTGATTTTGTTGGTCCACGATTTTCACAGGAGGAGGTGGAGTCTTGCGCGTTCATTGTGAAGATGGCAGAGATTGCGAAACCTGAGCGGGCGATACGGTTTGTCTGCCGCGTGTCGTCGTTGTCCACCACAACCCAAGGCTCCGCTCGCCGAGGGCCGGGGCCGCAGTGTCTCCGGAGAAACTGGCTCGCGTTGAAGATGACAGCGTGGCATGCGTACGGCAGGTTACTTGCCGTGTGCAAGAAACCTAAGAGAAGAACACGAGCGACAGCACCTTTTCTCCGTGAGGCCGAGAACATTTTAAGTATTTGCGAAAGCTTCTCCCTCGTTCCCGCTTTTTGTTCCGACACAATAACCCACCAGTTCAAAATGACAAACAAGATGAATGACAGAAAACCGCAATGGAATTCATTTCTAACGAACGTTCCATGTTCCACAACACATACTTGTGTTTGCTAGAAGGACGGAGCGAATAACGCAGGAAGACGGAATATGGGCATCGAGGTATAAATTCTTTTTACCAAGAATAGCCGCGTCCGCGGAGGTAGATAGTGAGGTCGCGCCGGGATTTTTTGACTGGACGGCGCCGGGGTTTTTTCTCTTTTCAGAGACGAAACTTTTTCCCGCACGCTATGGCCCCGCAAGGGCCTCCGCCAGGGTCGGCCCTATGGGCCCCCAAATCGGGCCTATATCATGCGGGCTAGCTTGCTGCTTTTGGCGAAATTCGCGCCCTTTGGTTTTTTTTGTTGAAAAGCCGCGCCCCTGCCGCCCCCAGAATCGAAACGCTTGCCCACATGCTATGTCCCCCGAAGGGCCTCCGCCAGGGCCGGCCCCTTGGGCGCCCCAAACCGGGCGCATAGCATGTGGGTTAGCCCTCAGATTTTGGCGGCGTTCGCATTTTTTTATTTTTTTTTTGCTGAAAAGTCGCACTTTTTGCCCTGCTCACCGCGTTACAAGTGCATGATTTTGGTGGCCGGCTTTGCGACCTCAAAAAGTGGGCAAAAATGGGGCCCACACCATGCGGATCCGTGCTTTATCTCGTCTTGGCATTTTTTTGGCACCCCTTTTCGGGCACCCCAAACCGCCAGAAACCGAGGCGGTGGGCGCCTCAGACGGGCGCCGCTTTCGCTGGCTCCCCTGCGTCGTTTTTTCAAGCGGCGACCGATAGAACCCGCTGGCGATTTGGTGCCGACACAGCCAAAGCCGCTTGATAATTGAAAACTTTTTATGTCCAAAAACGCTTCCGGCCACTTCAAAACTGCCGGTCGTTTTGCGAGATGGATGTCAAAAAAACTCCCCGGTTACAGCCGCTCGATGACCTGCTCACTACATACCACAGTAACCACCAAGGGAGCAGCGTTATTTGATTGAACACTTGCATGGGATTTATCCTGAGTAAAAACGTACCCACACCATAGTTGTCATGCAACTCTGTATGCTTAAAATGTTTCTCATGCAGAGCCCCATGAGAAGCGTTTTCTAATGCGGTTTTGAAATTTGTCATGCTCCAATCAGCACGAGATACTAGATCTGTAATGCTGCTAAACTAGCTCAAACAGCACTACACTACGCGGACAAACTTGTCATGCCAAACAACCAAAGCTGGCTGATTTGTCTAGCAGATTCCCCATCCTGACTCTGGTGTGGGTACGTTTTTACTCAGGATAGGGATTTATCCAACACAGCAGCTTCGGCTCGACGGATCCACACGCACACCGCAGCTGCACACCGATATCCTGAGTAAAAACGTACCCACGCCAGAGTTGTAATGCAGATTTGCAAAGACAGGAAAACTTGTAATGCGCATCCCCATGAGAGCCATTTCCAATCGTGTTTTGGAATTTGTGATGCTGTGAACAGGATGAGCAGATGAATCTGTGATGCGGCTGCACTTGCTAACCTGCACTACACTGCATAGCGCAACTTGTCATGCGTGACTCACAAAACTCCTAGGCTTGTGTTGCAAAATCCTCTTCCTGACTCTGGTGTGGGTACGTTTTTACTCAGGATAACCGAATAAACTTGTTCTGCGTATTACATACCATGTCATCACTGAAAGAACTGTGGCGCGACTCCGTCCGCTGCTACTAACTTCTGCTGGTATCATCTGCTGGGGCTGTTTATGCATTGCAAATTCTATCGATCTGGGTCGCTAAACGCTTTTTCGTTTAACATAAAAATTCCCTTTCTTATACTAAAATCTGTATTCGCAAGAGGACCAACAAATGCACAAGAAGATCCTTGTTACTTGTCACGCAAATAAAACGCAGTTTCTCATGCAGGCTACGCAATTTTTATGCTAAGGAATTCCAACAGTTTCTGACTGATGCTTGACCTCACAAATTCAAAGCGTTTCAGAATCTACAAGTTTCCAGCATGACAAGCCGCCAGAGGACCCAGGCGTATATATAATCTGCAGTGGATAATGTGCCACTGAAAGCAATTTTTCTAAGATCAAAAATATCCACTCTCTGTGCGGGATTTATTCATTCTCCGTGTTCATCGTTTGCACTGATGATGTTGATCATGATCTTGATACACAATGACTTCATGTTTCGGCTTCACACACCGCATCATAAGCAGGGTTACTGCACCCAATGCTGCGTTTTGTTCCACTGCGACGCGATGTCAGTCCAGACTGACAGTTTCGTGCTCCTCATCCTGTATGCCCTCGTAGACGAGATCCACGTGCTCACCTTCGGAGATTAGCGTTTCCGGTGTGCATATCACACATAACAAACCAGCCAGCACACGAACAGACTGGTGGTGCGCAGGCATAGATTTCGTTGCTGATCTGCAACACCTATAAACTACTAATTAAATGCACTAGAAAGGTTTGTCCTGCTCAGGCACTTGCTCTGCTCAAGGAAGCAGTATGCATCTACCGGCCCTCCAATGAGAGAGACACTGTTCTTCACATGTGTAGTGGTTTCCTCTACCTATTTGGCTGCTTGGTGCCCTAATCATCATTTTTATTGCACTTACAAAAGCGCCGTACTACAATGTGATGCATTTTTATCCCACGAAAAAACTGTTTCACTGTGGTGATTCTGCAAAATCTGCATCACAAGTTTGTTTTACGCATGACACTAAAAATCTGTCATTCGGGGTTCCTAAGGGAAAACACAGCTAGAAATCCATTGTCTTGCATGTGTAGCATGACACACACTTCTGCAGTCCATTTTCTGCATCACAAGTTCACAGTGAAACAGTTTTTTCTTGCGATAATTTTTGTGCTGTGTGATACTGCACCACACGTGTTTCGCGTTGCGCTCCCATCCTGTTTTTATCACGTGCCTTCAAGGTAGTACAAAGTTGTACTTACTTCTTGGCAATCAACAAGAGCAATGCCAATGCTGTGAATGGAAATTATACAATCGAAACTCAATCTCAAAATGAAAATCCGCATGACAAAATCAAGAAGCGGTTAGTGCCCGGCTGGATTTCTTTTTCTCACGGACGACCGAGACCATGGTCATAACTCATTTTGCAAAAGATTATTGAGTAGTTGTACCCATGTCGAACGGATTCACTTTGTCCACATTTTTGACGTGCTCGCTGGTCGTGAGGTTGTACAACGTGATGCCGCTGTGGTACAAGGCCAAGAGGGCAACTCCGCACCACGCCACGAGACAAAACAGGTAGAACAGGTAGAGCGTCAAGTTGTCTAGATTGGTCACATATCAAATGTAAAAATGTCTGGGTCTGGAAGAATTCATGTTTGTCATGCTTCCTTGTCTGGCATGACCCTTAAATCTGTCATGCACGTTACCCAAGAGCTCCGCTTTTCTGTGATGCAGAAGCGCAGTTCGTCATGCAGAATAGGCAACACCTAGGAGCTCAGAAACTTGTCATGCTGAGCCAGCATCTGTAGCCTCATCATGAGACGCCACCCAGCATCACAAATTTCCAGAGGACCCAGACATTTTTACAATTGGTATCACACACTCGAGGAAGCTTTTTGTCCGTGCAGACTGCGTGATCACGTGGGCCGCGTATTCAAGGGAAAAGTCCCCCCTCCCCATATCGAAAAGGAACGCCTCAGAGAATTTGTGATGCTGATTTGTGACCACAGATATTGTCTGTCTTGCAAGAAAGCAACGGCAGAGGCTCCGCCCCATTATGCAGGCGGTTTGTAATGCTGTTGGGCCTACAGCGGAGACGTTCCGCATGCTAAGTGCCTAGGCCAAAACCTCGCTACATTGGCATGATATGGGCCTGCAGTACTCTACTGCAAGACAAATCTGGTTTGTGTACTGAAATCCAGCATCAGAAACTCCTTTTTGATATGGGGTGGGGGGATTTTTCCTTTTGATACCGCGGATACGAGCACCAGGGAGAGCAGCAACGTGGTGGAATAAATCAACACCAGATCTATCGCAAACAAAAACTACTTCTTGAACGTCTTCACTATTGTCATGTACTATAAGTAAACAGTAAACTTGTGCAACGCAGTGTCTGCTCTGTTGCTCGACATGCCTGGCAATATAACAAAGGGCCTAGACGTGACCGGGAAGGTCACGGACGGCAGGTGCCCGGGGGCAGGTCGCAGCCTTGTTTCCGAGCTTTGTTTCAAAAAGTTGTGGCCGAACGCAGGACCTGAGTGCATGGTCAGGAGCTTGTTGGGACCTATTTTTTCTTCTTAGTCCGGTGCGGGCGTCGGGCGCCGGGCACGGACCACCGCAGCTACGCATGCTAACGCAAGCGGCGCGTCGTGGTGTAAACGCTCATTGAAGCAGCATGTTGTAAGTAGCCTCATTCCCGCCCGGGGGCGGTGTATGTCAACGGGGAGGCCGGCTACGCGGGCGACGGGCGCATCTTTCGCTGCAGAGCGTGCAGGAGCTACAGACGCGCCTCATCTACTTTTTCAGCAAGCCGGCCGCCACCCGTGGTCGCGTGTCGCCCGTCCGGCCGGACGTGAGCATGAACTCACCAGTCACGTCTAGTTTTCTTGGGACCCTCTGGTCCAAAACAGTGGATCGATTCGTCGGTGTGTTTTCCCTCAGCAAAAGCGCAGGGTAATTCTTTATTCGGCATGTAGGGTAAAATTATGATGCAAACGCTGCCAAGTCGTTCTTACAGTGGAAGTAAAGTTTTTTCGTGCGATAAGATAGAAGCGATAGTTGAAGAGCCCAATGCAGTTCCCGAGCCAAGTACCTGAGGTGGAAGCAGGAGATAAATCATATTACTTCTGCTCTCTCATGACAGCGCAACATACAACGAACACGTGAATCAAATTGCTACAAACGCACATCAACGGGTCTATAGATCCACCACTGCAAATAAGTCTGGGTCTGAAAGTAGCATGTAGTTGATTTTTTGCCTTGTTGCTGAGTGTCGCGTGAGATGTTTCTATAGGGGTAGGGCAAAAAAGCATGACAAATTGTTGAATCCTTTTTGCGACTTTCTGGGTCATAGGTATTGCGAGTTGCAAAGCAAGTTTCGCAGCAGAGAAGAAATCTCGCCACAAAACGCGAATCACAAACATCATCCTTTTTTTGGAAGAAAAGCCTTACAAATCAGATTGGTATGACAGCAAAAAACTTGTCATGCGCAGATATGAAGTGAAACCACTTATGAAACTAGCCTACGACTCACATTCAGCCTGGCAGGTGTAGCTATCGTCTGCGACAAAAAAATTCTGTTCTTTTCTATAGATAAACGGAAACACCAGCATAGACATATCGTCATCCATAGATAGACTTACAGTGGTGGTCGAAGCGCAGGACGCAGTTGTCGCAGTACGCACACTGCTATGAGAGTGAACAACTTCCGCTCCCCGTCATTTGCCGTCATCAGCACCATATCAAGCATCAAAATGACATCCACAATCACAAGCAACAGCAATCATGATAATTCACTCTTTTTATGAAAACAGCTCTACGCTTCAAATGTAGTCCTGTTTGACTTTGGACTTGCGAAAGGTTTCGTGTGTAAAAAAAGTGCCAAGAGGCGAGCACAGCATTGGATCTGGAGGATGTGGGCTTTTGCATGACACATGAGGAGGATTAATTTCCTTAGGGAAGCCCTGCTGTCAGCCTTCCAACATGACAGGAGGTGGGGAAGACGAACTTGTGCATTCTCATAAGTGCTTGGACCGCGGCGGGCGGAAAATGTCGCAAGTCGGACACCATTTCTGCTTCACCACGCACCCCCGGACTAGCATCAGCCTTGGCGGCAGTGTATCAACCAGGAAAACTTTTGTCTCGTCATCTTGCATGCGATAAGTAGCCAAATTTTTTGTCATTCTTAGGTATAGTACCCTGACCCAAGATAAAAGTGTTTCATCTCCGACCCTTGGCGCTGGTGGAACAACTTTATGTCTCAGGCTAGTCCACTTGCTCATGCATGACCATAAACATAAGATATGGCATCGCTTTAGCGAAAATTTTTCAGGTGATAGAGCTGTCGCCCGCGGCGCTCGGACCTTGGTGCGCGCGGCAGGGTTATCCTCTGCAAATGTGATGTCTATCCAAGAAAAAAACGCTGTTACTGTAAGTTTGTGATGCGCAACATGCAAAGTGATTGCGTCTGTCATGCTTGGCATGCATCGTAGGGTCTGTTAAAGGGCGTTTTCACGTACTATCTGCGCATGACAGGTTTTTGCTGTCATGCCAAACAAATTTGTAATGCTGTTCCTCCAAAGAAGTATACACCTACAATGTTTTTTTCTTGGATAATGTCCGGGTCTAGAACAATGTCGATCAGGTCGAATCTTGGAATAATTATGAATGTCGAGAAGTTTATTCTTGCAGTGTAGTTCCAGACCCAGACACGAGCAGTTGCGAGGCATAACGATTCCCGGGTTGCTGAACGCGGTCAGGATCTCCATGACGAGCACGAAAGCTCCGAGCGTGCACATGAACTTCAAGTAGAATCGCGACTCCGCCACATCAACGGGGTCGTCCACCTCAAGTTCTGAGGGCGGCTTCTTGTGTGCAAGGGCACAACTCCCACTCCCCCACATGTTTCTTGCTCTGCAACATGCCGAATCTTCCTGTCTGAGTCTGTCTAAGTGCATGTATGTAATAAGTTTGCTCAATTAATTTGCATGAGAAGTTCTGGAAGCGCAATCGCAAACTGCACTCTCTATAGTTCGCGCGCGGAGGTGACTTTGCCATGCAAAAAATGCACTTTGCCGGTTGTTTGTGTTAGTAGCTTGTTTGTGTTGCTAGACGTAGACATCATGCCCTATTATAAATAAATGAGGGAGACGAGGGGGAGAGGGGGGGGTTGTCCACCATGATATCTCGGCTAGCAGCGACTCCGACGAGGAATCAGAATCTTCGGCTATGGTCGTTCCGGAAGACGTCGATGTTCTGCCACGACCTGTCTTGGAGGTCGACCCCGTTGTAGCGAGGAGCGCTGAGCCTTCTATCCTTACACCTGAAGATGTTACTTTCTCGCCCATTTTTCGACTTTGCAAGGACGTCTGCTGGTGCTTCTCGTCGTCAAACGCCGTTTTCAACAGGCTGTCGAGCGGTATCCAGTGCGAATGAAAATATGTCTTGGTCTGGAAAAATAATGCAACGTTTGCCTATCATTCACAAGCATATTTTGGATGACCCGTGAGGTTGCAATACAGATGATCTGTATCGAATTCAAATGCAGCACCACAAGTCGCAACCTTTTAGACTCAGTCCCAGACACTAAATTGCAATCCATAAGCAGATACAGCAGCCAACTGCTCTGGCTGCCGCTCTTGATGTTGTTTGAGAGTGCACAGCCCCCCCTCCCCCCCATTTGCGTGGCATGATCTTCTACAGCAACACCAGCAAAAGGACAGCACGAGCTTCCCTCGCACGACACGTCTGCACGCAGAGTGAGATTGTGGTGCTGCTTGGGATCCGAGATGAAATTTTCATGCGTGAAACAAGACTGGCAAAATCATGCAAGGGGTGGAGCAATCGCATCGGTGTTTATGATTTCTTGCATGATGGGAGTAAATGAGAACGAAGAGAGGAGCTGTGCACTCGCATACGTCGGTCTCAGTTCGTAATTCAGCTCCGCTTGGAAGGACAACATCTGTCACACGAGATGCTCTCCGACTGTCGGACTGGACTGTCGGACTGGCCGTCGTTAACGTTCTTGTCATCTCCGGTCCAACAGCATCGTCTGTGGCTCGGTCGGCTCCTCCCACTGTAAATTGCGCAGGTGGTCGCTGCTGGGCTGCACCCGAGGCGGCTACTACAGCTGTGGTGCGTGGCAGGGTGTGCTCAACCTCTGCGGGCGCCGCGGTCCTCTCTGCCCTGTCTGTTAGCCTGCTTAGCCCCCTATCGAAGAAGAAAATAACACCTACATTGGTGCATCAAGTCTGAGATGCAGAAAATATGTACTTGTACAGCTACGGTGGAGGGAATACTACAACCTTGATAGCGTCTTCTCACGGAAAATTAAATCCGCTGTACTACCTGTGCATGACGCGTCTTTTTTCTTTTTATGCAGAGCGAATTTGTGACTGATGGTGTTCAGTAGCCCAAGAGACCTACACCAACACAGTTTTTATAACACTGGATACGCCCTTGTCTCTCCCACTGCAGATGTGGAAAACGGTGCTTCATGTGTCGCAAAAAAAAACTGTGTACGCAGTCTCAACACGATACTGCCATGCTCGCCGGGTGAGAGAGGACGCGCCTTCTGTACCAAATATAGCCGCCGGGGCGGAGGTAGTGAGGTCGTGGGCGTTTTCTTGCCGGTCGCCGCCTTGGTCGCGGCTTTGATTTTTCTGGGCCCGCCGTACCGCCGTGAGTAACGTTAGGCCCCACGGTATGGCGGCCGCCTGATAAGCGTCGCAAATTTTGGCAAATTTCCGAAATTCCTTTCCGAAAGCCAGCCCCCATGCTATGAGGCCGATCCGGGCGCCACGGGGGGCGCCCAAAAAGCGACGAAAAATCGGGCCCATAGCATGCGGATTGGCTTTGCGCGTCTGGCGCGCTTTTTCTTTTTTTCGTTTTTATATTTCTCGCCAGCGCGTTTTGCAAAGCTTCCCAGGCTCTGAAAACGGCGAAAAGGCGGCCGCTTTCGCGGCCGCCCAAAATGCTCCGAAATCGCGGCCGTGCCATGCTGTTTCGCTGTTCTGATTTTGGGCGCGTTTTTTGCGCGCCCCTTTTTGGGCGCCCCAAATCGCCAGAAACTAAGGCGGCGGGCGCCTCAGAAGGGCGCCCCTTTTGCCGGCTCCCCTGCGTCGTTTTATCCAGTGCGAATCGATAGCTTTCGACCGGGCTTGTTTGACAACAAAGCCCCGGCCGCTTGATAATTGAAAATTTTTTATGTCAAAAAAGCCTTCCGGCCGCTTGAAAACTGCCGGTCGTTTTTCACGGGAGCTGTCAAAAAAACTCCCCGGTTAGAACCGTTCGGTGACCTCACTACATATTACATGCTTTCCCTATCCGTCCCTTGTGTCTCACGCATGACAGATTCTGTGTTCCGTGCTGACCGTATTTGTGTTGCTGAGTCCTCTGCAAAGGTTATTCGTTGAGACTGAAACTACATATTTTTCCTGGCATATGATTCGGCTGCGGCAGCGGTTCCAGTGCTTGCTCTGACTGCGGCGTCACAACCCGCTGTCGTTCTACGTCTTGCAATTCCGCCCCCGATGACGAAAAGGCGGACCTCTGGCTTGAAAAAGATGCGTCATATAGCCCGCTCAGGTGCTGCAATAGCATGCTGCAATTATGAGGGCCGGAGTCTTTTGTTTTGCGTGAAAAGTATGAGGAATATCCAAATCTCCCCCCCTGCCGCTTTCACAAACTTAACACAAGTTTCCCTTGAAGATCCATGTCCAGTTTAAGAATCTCAAAAGATGAACTTGTCATGCGTATCTTAACATTACCTGTGGGGTTACTTCTACAGTCGAGATCATGACCTTGATGTAGTCTCTGAAAACTACGGAGTACAACTACGGTCGACATTGCAACACCTGAGCGATTTCTATGTCCTGCTCGTCTCTCCTGCGGCTTTGCCGTTCATCTCTTGACGAATCTTGACGATCACCGTCTTGAGCAGCCGTGTCTTGTTTTTCGTTTTCATCGTTCGGCTCCAGCTTTCGCGAATCGGACGACTTCGTCGAGGTCGTGCCAACCGAAGTAGATTCCTCACCCGCAATTCCAGCAGATGATAGTATCCCACAGAAAAAGACCGGCAGGGCATATTTGTATAATATGCAAAAATGAATAGACGAAAAAATCTGTATGGCATGTCTTAAACACGATGCTATGGGGAGTGACGGGGTCGCCCATGACAGATTTTCATTTTGCTGTTAATCATAATTTCTCATTGCATTGCAAGTATGCCCTGTCTGCTTTTTTCTCGGGGATAGATAGCGCGGTGTACTCCTGTTCTGGCCGTGCTGGCAATATCAAATGCAAAAGTGTCTGGGTCTGGAAGAATGCAACATTTGTGATGCAGGTTTTCCATGACCCATGAGGCCTGGCATGCAGGACCCGGCATGACAGATTCTGTGCGCTCTCTCTCATGCCTATCCTGCATGAGAAACTCCCTCCCGACTTGGTCAAAACTGGACGACTTTTGGTAATCATGCAACACAGATTTTTGCACGCTTCAGATTTAGCATGACAGGTTGCATTTTTCCAGACCCAGATATTTTTACATTTGATAGGCAATGGGTCATCACCTCCATTCTCGACGCGATCTTCAACACGAACGCATCCTGCGGAAAAACGTCCCCCTCCCAGAGTTGTCATGCAAATCTGCATGCCAAAAAAGTTTCCCATGCGGCGCCCCATGAGAGAAGCATTTTCTATTTGTGTTTTGGAGTTTGTGATGCTAGAATCAGCATGATATGCTAGATCTGTGACGCTGCTGAACTAGCGAGACAGGACTACACTATGAGAGTAAACCTGTCATGCGAAACAGCGAAAGCTGGCTGATTTGTCTAGCAGATTTCCCATCTTGACTCTGGTGTGGGGACGTTTTTCCTGAGGATAGAACGGGCCCTTCTGCTATCCGTGCGCTGCGTGAAGATGTTCTCGTGCTGCTGCCGGGGCTAAAAACACTCTGGTCCACCGAGGCCCCGGCGGACGAAGACGATGCTGGTACTCCTGCGGCAGGAGCTGCGACAAAAGTAGGTCCTTCCGTCGCAGTCGGCCCAGGTCGTCCTCCACTGCTCGCCAGGAGATTTATGACTTCCGCCGCCCGGGGTGGTTCTGCGCCTTCTGCAGCCCCAATGTTGCTCCCGACGGTACTCTCGGGGTGACCCGGCGGCCGCCCCGCGGGGGGCCCTTCACTCCAGAGCTGGGCGTCGACGCCGCAGCAGGCGTACCAGGGACTGAGGGGTCCCACCCCGGGGTATCAAAGTGAACAAACCGATTGACGTAGAAGAAGAACGCGTTGCAGTATTGTTCGCTTGTCAGCCTTCTTGTCTGCATTCCGATGTCAACGTCCTCAAATTCACATTGATACAACGTTATCAGAACAAGCCAACTCATGCGAAAAAACTAATCCTGCAACGACACGCACTTCCACACTACTGTGGGGAGAACAACATCATCAACATTATTTTTCACTTTGCTACGTAGACCGGGGAAGTGGGACCCTCATCGGGAAGGTAACGGTCATCTGCGAGCAGGTAACTGGGGACAAGAAAGTAGAGGTAGAAGGCGAGCGGGAGCGCGGACAGGGAGAAGGTTCGCAGGAAGGGGAACCATTTCGGGCCGGTCACGCAGAACCCCTTGCAGTAAATGTTGCTGCCGCCCCCGTACTCGCATCCTCAGGAAAAACGTAGTACTCGTCACCCCATGTTAAGTATAGGTTGGGAATCTGGTAGACAAATCCAGAACCTTTGCGGCCTCCGCACGACAAAAACAATGCCGCATGAGACATCCGCCTGGAAATGGAATGCAAAAGTGCATGACAAACGTGGGGTGAGTAGGTTTTTCAGATGGATAACTCGCTTTTCTTGGTGAGGTACTCGCGGAACGGTTTCTCCGGCACGTTCCAGCAGCCGTATGCAAGAAAAAAGCTGTGTGGGTGTAGGTCTGTGATGCAGAACTATGTACTTAAAACAACTATCGCTTACCATGCCAAACACCCTCGAAAAGAGCCTCTATTCACGTCATACGTTGTCACGTACTAGCCACGCATTACTGGTTTTCTCTGTCATGTAGAAGAGATCTGTCAAGTCATGCCATCAGCCCAAAAAAGTTACACTCACATGATTTTTTTCCTCGATAAACAGATGGTCTTGTGTATAGTGCGCTCAGGTGCTAGTACACCCCGACTGTTACAATGAAAATCTTCGTTTTGTCTTGCTGCAGAATGGGCGGTTAAAAGCAGATTTTCCACAATGAAATTGTAACAGTTGAGATTGTAACAGTTGAAAAAATGAAATTGTAACAGTTGAGATTGTAACACCAGGACGAGCGATATTGTGTTTCTTGTCCTTCTTGTCCTGTCCGACCACGAACAAATTGTCGTGCGCAAACGCAGTGAAATTGTTGTACATGGCCGTGGTTTTTGCTTCTGTACTTTCGGTGACCCTGCCTTGCTGATGATCTGGCCGAGGTACTGCTCAGTTCTTGCCGCTAGCAGAGGACAACAAGACGAACCTTCTGGGCTAGCCAGCGCCTCCGCGGCGTCCTCGTCTCTGGACCGACTTCTCAAGTAGACGCGGATCACCGGAAAGAAACATGGTTCAACATGTTACTGCCAGCACCTGACCAGAGCTGGCGCTAGGGCTGCGCTGCGGTAAGCTCGCGTGGCAACGCCGATGCCCTGGGGAAGATGTGCGAGACGCGGCGCCGACTCCCTGTCCGTGACGTAGTGACAATGACATTATTTTTGGCGTGAAGAAGATATCAGAACCTCAACCTTTTTTACATAGGTAATAATCACGGAGGTGCTGTCACCAAGACCACTACGTTACAGCGCGGACTACGGTACTCGACACATCCGGTTTATTCCGTTTTCTCCTAATCTTCCGTTATCAAGAGTGTATATGCAGCAAACGTAGTGAATACACGCAAAGAAAAGAACAGAGTGGCAGAGCTGTCATCAGAGTGTCGTTCAGATTGAGAGCATATCGTGCCTGGTTTCGTTTTTCCTCAAAGCATTTCGATCTTTTCCCCGCAGCATGTGCATGTCTGGCCGTGATGCTAGCACGGAATAGCGCACGCGGAGAGTTGTTCGTGATGCAGTGAGTGTGAGATTATCGAGCTAGAAAACGAAAATGCAAATCGAAACAGGTTTACAGCCAGCTGAGCCTGAGTTTATTTCTTCAGTTCGGTTTCTTTCATAAATACGCCAACAGATTCATTGATGCCCTGACTGCACCACTGTCGTCGGCATTTTTCGTAGTCCTCGTCCTACACTACAATCAAACATAGTTCAAAATTAACAGCATTGGATCCTTGTGAGTCTTTGCGTTTACTACGGTCCGTTTTTTCTACTTTTTGCACACGAAGTTCCTCGCGTAGAAATGTCAAAAGAGATTGTGATTGATACGTGTCACCAGGCGCACAGCGGTCACAAAATTCACATCAAGACGCAACAGCTACGATCTTTTCTTTGTTTTACCTTTACCAGCAGTCACGACACAAGCCGGGTGGATTCTACTGCAACTACAGTAGTTCACGTTTAGAAAAAAGCGGAACACCACATAGGATTAATAAATTCCTCCCTTTTTGTTCCCATCTTGCCTCAACACTGGCAAGCTGCTACCGTCTGAGAACCACCATGCTTTTGTTTTTTTCATCACTTCATGTTTTTATGTGCTGCGGCGCAGTGGAAATCAAAGCACTTTCCAACATCATGGAAGCGCCAAGTAAAACGTCAGAGTCTCAGGAAAACTATCCCTCATGTGCTGTTTCTTGACCAAGAGCTCCGTCTCTTTCAAAAAATCCGGTCGTCGTGCACGGAAAGAAAAAATTCCGCGTTTTTATTCGATGTTCCCCGTCGTGCGCGTGTCGTTAAATGTGCATAGTGTGTGGAGGTTGTTTTTTTTCTACAACTTGGCAGCTCTGATACAGTCGGCGAGGCATTTGTGCTCGTCCTGGTCATGGATCTGGATTACTACAGAACATCTTCTTGTTACGTAGTTCCAACGACCATGCCCCCGACCAGACAGTACAGGTCGTGCTTCTGCGTGGTCGGGAGGATCTCCACAAATATTTTGCACGACCTGGTCGTGTCCCCTCGGCGCTCCTGCCAGTGTTTCTCTTGGACGCCTGCTCCAGAGGCGTTTTGTCTTCACTGATTGGGAATTTGTTGCTGCTCGCCGCGCACCTCGTGAATGTTGTAGTTCAGCAGCTTTTCGATCAGATCTACGTGCGTCAGCAGGATACCTGTTGTTGTGTGTGCATTTTTTTTGGTCCAATGAAAACATCACCATCATGGCGAAGATATCCAAAACTATATAAACATAGTGCTGTGCATTGCAAATTATCATGGTCGTTGATTTTGTTTAACCACTCCAGTCGTTCATCTCCTTGGAAATAAAGGCATATTGATATTCAACATGAAGCCCAACTGTGGTCGTGCCCACCGATTTCTACATGCAGGGAAATAGCAACATTAAATGCGTTTTTCAACATAATTCGGTAAAGTACGTCTGCAGCAGTAGCGGTTGCATCCGCAGGCGTCCAGGGCATCTTTCTCTGAAAGACCCTCTTGCAGGTGCTGCAGGTACTTCTCCCACAGGTTTCCCGTCACCTTGCCGCAGGTGTAACACCGGATTGGAATGATCATTTTCGCTTTTTTTTCCTGTGAGACAGGTATGCCGAAAACGTATCTAAGTCTAGGTCGCGATTCAAGCAAATTACAGCTTAATACAACTTACGTCAGTCGGTACGTAAGTACTAACTTACTAGCAGGTTCCGGTCCTCTAGTACTTATGTCTTATTAGTTACGCCACTACAGAACGCCACTCATCTGTCTGCAACTCCGGAAAATGTTGAGCTTGCCTTTTCTGTCCTGAGGATTTTAATGAGGCTTTTCAAGACTGGTGAGGAAAAAGAGCATGATGGCAGATCACGCCTGCTCGTAGTTACAACTGCTGCAATACTTAATTCTGGAACGCGCTTTCTCTCTTTTGGCAAAGCCAAGGATTACAGTCCGGGCATCAACTCATTCTGGATTCAGCGCGCTGTGATCGATTTTTGAGGCGGGGGATCGATTTCATAATTTTTTGCTTATTTGATCCTTTTCCTGCGATGGCTTGTTGACAGTTTCTACTCTGCCAAGTTTTGCATTTCTGATCCTCATTCGCGTGGTGCAGTTGCTATGAGCTCAGTGCAACATCTCTATCTGTAACTCAATCCTACTGCCGTTGAAACTTGAACTTCTTTATGGTTCACAACTCTACTATAAATCATCTCTTTGCACGAAGCAATAACCTTCTGTTTTGCATTTCGCAGACAACAGCACATCGGCAGGCCTAATGGAATGGGAGCTCCAAGTAGAATTCAAAGTAGTACTAGTATAACATCTGGACGCTGCATGCATTTGTATTTGAAGTGTAACCGACCACAGAAACAGCGATCTGTGGTCGAGATCGTGCTGGTGAAAATAGAAACTAGACACGAAGAGAGGACAGAGACTCGTGTGCCAGCACGAGTTACACCGGTAGAGTTTCATGCCAGGGAACATGCCGTATTTACGTACTGAAACCAACAAAATAAAAACTGCTGCTCAAATACTACTTTTAGCGTACTGTAGTGAACTACCAATACTTTGAAAAACGACCTCGTATATTTCGTAGAAGTCCCGCCCCGTCACGCCCTCCGCAAGTCCGCCACAGGGACGAGCCCCAAGTGCGAGTCCCCCATCACGGGGTCCGAGTAGCGCACGTGCAGCGCCACCCGATTGTTGCGATCCAGCACGGGCTTTCCGACCACGATGCCGGAGTGCGTGAAGCCCCAGATCACCGGGTCCCCGTAGCCGTACGGCACGACCTGGTCGTCCCCGCTGTAGTACCCCGTCGCGCCGCCTGCAGGAGCAGCTCGGGGCGTTGTTGACAACGAAGGTTGAGCGAGTCGAGACAAACCTCCGCCATAATGCGAGACGGGGGTCAGAATTGTTCCGTTGGTACTTCTCGTTCCGATCAGTCCGGACCTTGGCGTTGACGTGCCCCCGCCGACGAGGGGACCAACTAAACCAAAGCCACTTGTTGCGCCACCTGGGGTACTGCTACTATCTTGCGCCCGAACGAACGAGCGTGGACCTGCCAAGTGACCCGGTGACGCAATCGCGGGATGGAGCAAAGGCTGCCCACCCGCGCGCGGTGTACCTGTCAGGAGACCACTGAGCTGGCGCCGGGAGGGTGACAAAGAGGTTGCCGTAGTTGCTACGCTCCTCATGCCGGGACTCACGCTTCGACCATGGGCGCGGGGCGTCGGGGGGGCTCCGGCCGGTCGCGGAGGGGGTCCCCGCGCAAGCAGATCTAAGCCGTTGGCTGGTGGAACAATCGGGAAGTAGAGCAACAAGGGACCAAAAAAACACGACGAAAGGTGAACCAACAAGGACAAGAGATGTCCTAGATAAGCAGCTTGAGGCATGTTTTTTCTCGTTCCAGTCTAGTTGCTAGCATGTAAAAAAAGATTTAAAGTATTTCTCAGTCCTACAGCACATATGCTTACTTAATCTTAATTGGCAAAAACGTCAAAAATGATTCTCTACCCTTTCTCAGTCGCACGAAATATTTGTTAAGTAACCGCGCACCTCGTCCCAAAAGCAAAACTGCTGGCTTAGCTTTTATCTCCTGCTGCTCCTCCACCGAATGCGAGTGGAGATCAGATCGCCAAGAGTACAACTACCTCCACAACATTTCAGATGAAACAAAACATGACCTCTTTCGAAACGGAAACCCGCTATCTGATCTTGTTCACTTACGGATGACGCACACACAGAGGCAGAGGAGAACCAGAACTCAGCCTCCTCTTCGTGAAAGTACGACCTTGAACATTTCCATATGGACATTGCCACAACCATGTGGAGCAGTCGCCGCTGCTTCTACTTCTTTATCTTTTTTCCAGCGATAAAAAGCACTTGAAAGTGAAAGACACCACGTTGCATATTTTTTTCGTTCGGATAGCTACGCCATGCAGCACTACCTGCGCCTTCGCTCCACAATCCATAGAGCGTCCTCAGGTGGATTCAAGATATCGCGTGAGCGATTTCTTTCGCGATTGGCGTTGCAAGATGAAAGCATAGGACAAACTCAGCAGGTTCGAGTTATTTACTTTTGCTTCTTTTTCTTTCCGACGACCTTCTTCACGACTTTTTTCTCGACCACATTGGTCCCGCGGCTCTTCACCGTCTTCGCACCGTTTTCGATTTTCGCAGAGCCGTCTTCTACTGCTTTCACCTTCGCAGCAGGCTTTTTCTTTCGCCCTGCCACCGACAATGATGTTTTTTTCTCCTTTTGCTCCGCTTCTACTACAACGGCAGATGCCGTAGATGTCGCAAGGATATTGGTATCGTCGCCATTCGATTTGCTTCCCGAACCTGCTTTCCCTTTTGGATGTTGCTTTTTGTCCACCTTTGTACTGCCTTTTTCGCCTCGTATTAACGCCGCAGAAGTGGCTGTAGTGTCAACTTGATCTTCCTTCTTTTTCTCCGCAGGCGGACCTTTCTTGTTACCTTTTTTCTTCCCAACATTCTCTTGCTTCTCACGACCATCGTCCTTCTTGACTCCGCCCTTCAAAACCGCCGCCGCGGCGCGGCCCTTCCGCTTCTGCTCTCTCTTTTTCGCCAGATACTTCTCCTTTTTCGCCTCCCGCTTCTTTTTCGCCTCGGACCAAAGCTATCAACTGTAAAAATGTCTGGGTCTGGAAGAATGCATGTTTGTCATGCTTGTCTGGCATGACTCTTAAATCTGTCGTGCACGTTACCCAAGAGCGCTACTTTTCTGTGATGCAGAAACGCAGTTTGTCATGCAGAATAGGCAACACCTAGACACTCAGAAACTTGTCATGCTGAGCCAGCAATTGTGGCCTCTTCATGATACGCCACACAGCATCACAAGTTTCCAGACCCACACATTTTTACATTTGATAAGAGCGACTTGTCCTCATCTCCGGTCGCATTCTTTCGCGTCGCAGACCCACGACCACCTTGGAGGTGATTTGAATTTTGCTCCGCCGCTTGCTTCTTCAGTAGTTCCTGTTCATACTTGGCGAAGCCCATCTTCGCCGCCCGCTCCAGTTCCTCCACCACTTTCCGGTGCTTTTTCGACCGCAAGTGCCCGTCCAGCTCCGCTTGCGACTTCAAAATCTTATCCGGGCAGAGCTCGCACCGGAACTTGCTGGTCAGCGGCTTCGCGCTGCGCTCCACCTCGCACGCCGCGGGCCACGCGGGCGTGTCGTCAAAATCACTGTCGTCGTCACTGTCGATGGAAGGCCGGGTAGTACAGCGCGCAGTGGAGGTCTTTGGTACAACCTTTCGGCCACCGTCGTCTGGTGCGGCTTCACCTTCTTCAGAGGGCAGCTTTATTTTCATCTTTAACGCCGCCGCACCAGTAGGCTCTTCAACATCATCCCCCTCGTCCACGGAGTCGGTCTCTTCCTCCTCGGAGCAAAAGCTACTGGATTGTTCATCACCTCTGTAGTTTCCACGCTTGTTCATCACATGTACTGGCTCATCTTCCACATCAAGAGAATGTTGGCCCTCGCCCTTGCTGAGAACATTATTATCATCTTCTTGACACGACTGGCCCCGTGCGGCGCCGGGAATGAACTTACAGAAATTAGTTCCCAGGATTTCCGTGTTTTTTCTGCAATCACCCCATTTGGACACGCGGATCGAACTTTCACGAGCAGGGCGCCAAAGTTCGGCACTTTGCGCGCGAAAGTTCTCTTGCGGCTCACATCCGCTAAGTTCTCGGATGTGAGCTGCAATCCGAGGAATTCTCGAATGTCCGTCCACGTTCGAAAATTTCTCGGATGTGAACTTACATCCGAGAATTCTCGGATGTGGGATCCTGGGAACTCATTTCTGTAAGTAGGTTGCGTAGGATCTGTATTTCGATCGGTAATCCCCACCTGAGTGCAAACCCTACGCAACGGACTTACAGAAATGAGTTCCCAGGATTTCCGTGTTTTTTCTGCAGTCATCTCATTTGGACAAGAAGAAGTTTTCTTCTAGAAACTGAGTTCCTAGAAGAAAAGGCAGCTTCTTCTTCTAGAAGAAGCTGCGTCCTCTTCTAGAAGAAGACGCGAAGTTTTGTCTTCTTCTAGAAGGCTGGTCTTCCTGTAGAAGACACAGCTTTGCTTTCTTCTAGAAAACGCAGCTTCTAGAAGAAGGCGCTTCTTCTTCTAGAAGAGTTTGCGTTTTCTTCCTAGAAGAAAAAGTAGATCTTTCTGTGCATGTGTTCAGACGCACGCTTCTAGAAGGCCAGGAGGGGAAAGCTGCTGCGCGAGCTTTCTTACCTAAGAGCACAGCAGAACTCGCGCGCCTACAGCTTCGGCTTTCGTGCCTCAAAGAAATGCACTCCTGGGATTTGCGTACTGCGTTTCCAGTCGCCACACTCGGACACACTGATGATCCTCGTTTCCAAGTGAGGCGATTGGAGACGCAGCACGCAAATCCTGGGAAGTAATTTCTGTAAGTCACCTGCATAAGATTTGTGCCCAGATCGGTATTACCAGTGAGAAGACAAATCTTACGCAGGTAGCTTACAGAAATTATTTCCCAGGATCTTCGCTGCGTCAAGAATTTCGTGATGCGGCGGAAATCCTGAGAGCTAATATCCGTAACTCACCTGCGTAGGGTTTGTGCTCCAATAGGTATTGCCGATCGGACCACAAATCTTACGCAGGTGACTTCCAGCAATTTGTTCCCAAGGGTTTTCGCCACATCAAATACTAATGCGGCAGCCCCGCCGAAGACGGCTGCCCATTCTCCCCCAAGCTCGCACGCTGGCTGCTTCCCAGCCACAGGGTTCATGGCCTTCGGCCATTCCAAGCGACTGCGAGAGTGTGCAAGCTAAACCCCCCTCGCGGTTTGTTTCCATTTTTTTCAAACCTAAGCTTTCGGGAACAAGGGTAGGAACTAATTTCTGTAAGCCTTAACAATATCATCATCTTCTTGACACGACTGACCCCGTGCGGCGCCGGGAATGAACTTGTTGTACATGCGGGTTTTTTGCCGCACCGTCATGTCCTCCGAGTCGGAGTCGTCGTGCGCGGCGCCCAGGCCCTGCGTTGCCAACACTCGCTTGAACATCTTCGAAGTGGAGCGAGGAAGCTGTACTCGATATAGTACTTATCTTGCGTTGTGTTTGACTTTATTAAAACGTCCACTCAGCACAAATCAAAATTATACGGGTCTGATACTAAAACTAATCTTTGCTGGTCGCTGAGGTGGTCAAAATGAAATTTCCTTGCTGATGTGTGGGAAGTGCTATAGCCTAGTCATTTTCTATTCCAATGCGCGGCTTTCTATCTTCATATCACCACAGACTGAATACTTCTAGATGATCCAATTTAATACTTACTTTGAAGATCTTCCAAGTTATACCAAAACAGGTGGCTAGATGCAGCCAACAGCAGCAGCAACTTGGTGTGCGCCTGCGGCTGCGCAACTAGAACTAGTAGACCATGCGCATTAAATAGCTGCACGATCCTGATCTTCGACTCCATCGGATTTATGGATCTCGCTTTTCTGATCAACAAGTGAATTTTTGTCAACATCGGTCATCAATCATCAGCATCATCATCTAGCCTAAACCCTATACCCGTTCGTTGCCTGTAGAAATTTTCTTGCGCAACCATCTCCAAGAACTATCATTTCTCTAAGATCTCCCATTTCATCTCTGAGATCCAATTCTTAGAGCAGTCTTCTGAGCGTGAAAGAACCCACTTTCTCGTAAAAGGTTCCAACGCAAAGAACTGCTCACGACGGACAACGCAGTGAAGGAACTGATGCGATTTTATCTCATGTGAGGTCAAGGACTGCGTGTCGTGTTCCCTGCTCGTAACGATAACATGTCGTTGTAGAAGTTAGGAACAAAAATAAATACTTACTACCGTGGCGGACAAATAGAACTCCCCCGTTCATCTCCACACAGGAACTTTTGCTTTTCGCGCGACTGGTCTTTCGTTAGTGGCCACTCAATTGCGCGCTAATCCTAAGTCCATCAAGCAAATTAATAAACCATCAAGTTCAAGAATTATGATGATTATCAACGAAGCCAAGACGTCCAGCCTCTAGAATCACTATTCTCGTCTTGCTTTTTGGGCATCAACACAAACTTTCGCCCTTCGTTGGACTTCGGCGAGTTGAAACGGTCGTGATCCGAATTTTCATCAAAGAATTCTTTCTCTTCATAGATATACCGCTTTGTATACTTCTTGTTCGCTTCTTTTACAGTCAGAAGTCTTTGCCTGGTCCCCTTTTCTGTAGTCATGAGTTGGAGGTTCTTCATGTCTCCCTTGGTAAGAATCGTTTCTTTTCCCATAATCTCCATTTTTAAGGTGGGCAAAATGGTCACAGTATAATCCGCCTCGCGCAAAGCCTTTGCGCGACGTTTCACTTGTCGATCGCGGCGATTACGAGTTTCTTCATCACTACAGAAGCACGGTCCATTCGCCTCCCGCATGAACCGTGTTGATAAACCGGTGGCGGTGCCAGTGTGCCTCAACGTGCTGAACCTCCCGTCCACTGGATATGTTCTCGCGTTTATATCTCTCCGTGTAGACAGGAGCTGTCCGGGCTCGTTCCCCCCTTCGGAAAGGATATCATTTTTTGTTTCAGTTTCTTCTTGCTTCTTCCTGCGATTTTCCAAGTCCCGGGTTCGCGCGTAGTCGACAGCCATTTGACGGCCTGGTGTGGGTATGATTCGCTGTTTCATGAGATCTCCTGCGACTCTACTCGTCTCTGCGATGGTCTCGGCCGAAAATTCTGTAGGGCTTGGCGGTACCCAATCAGATTCGGCGGAATCTTCGTCCGGATTTGGCGAGTCTCGCTCTTGCCGAGGACGGCGCCACCTGGCCCGTAATTGCTCCCAGGCTGCTCGCCCTAGGCGGGCTTTCCGTCGTGAGTCACTGCTTGCCTCTGATATCACTGTTTCGTCAGATATGGCCGACGACGACCCGGATGAGGACGACCCTGATGTTGATGATGACCCTGAACCTGAAGAAGAGATTGACTCCGACGATGAGCCGGCCTCCGACGATGAGCGGGCCCAGGAGGGCAAATATTCACGCCATGGCTTCAGGTGCTCATCCAGCTGCAAAGTGGTCGACGGCGATCCCCCCGTCGCTGTGCTGTTGCCTTTGTGATGAAGTTCCTCGTATGTTATTCTTGTTTTGTTGTTAATGTTCACGCGGCCATGTTGTAGATCCATCACTTCGTGTCCTTCGGGGCCGCAGTTCTCGAAATACTCTATCACGTCGATCCCTTCGCGTTCTCGTGGGCCAGTAGAGGGGATTTGCAGGAGGGAGCAAGAGGTAGAAGCTTCCTCTTTTGGATCGATCACAAAATCATCGTTCCAGTCGGCACAGGTAAATGAGCAAGCGGCAGCGCGGACTACAGGCAAATCTACTTCGTCCGTCTGCGCCTCGGGCAAATCGATACCGTAGATGTCAGCGTAATGATCTTGGAGCACGTGGAAGTTTACGAAAAAGTTGTAATCCAGGTCGTTTTCCCGAAAGTCGCTTTGTTTCATCTGGTCTTCCCTATCGTGTATTAGCTGCAATTCGAATTCAATCATGCGAAGATTCGCCTCCGCAAATTCGAGCGCCGTTCGTGCTTGGAGCCATTGCGTCTTCATATTTGATCGCATATCCTGTACACGTACTCGAGCAAAATAAAGGTCCTGGGCCTGCATCACCCTCTGCGCAAAAGCAATCTCATCTTGTACCTCCGCATCCCGCGATGCTATTGTCATATTCGTATTAATTCGCGTCGCAGTATCCGTAGTGTTTGCGGACGGAGCCGAGATTTTTGGGCGAAGGGGGGGGGGGGGGGGGTGGCTGATGTTGTTGTTCGGATGAGGCCAAATAAGCAGAATTAAAGGCGAAACACCTACCATTTTTCCGCCTGCAACAAGTGCAAGGAGTTGGATCAGCATCCTGATTCGAAGAATAGATAGCTGTAGCCCTGACACAGGAAATAGACGAAAGCGACAGCATGAGATGCGTAATTCCTAAAATAGTAAGAGTGGGGAAAGCGGAAGCAGTCCGATCAATGCGAATCGCGAAAAGCGAAAAGCGAAAAAAAGAAAAGCAATGTCCGGCGCCGAAAAATCTAACACGCCAGAGAAAGAAGATAGTAGTAGAGGGAGCGGAAGCAGTCCGATCGATGCGAATCGCGAAAAGCGAAAAGCGGAAAAATGCCAACGGCTGCCAAATTTAAACAATATGGTAAGAAAGGCGGACAACAGTAGTAGAGGAAGCGGAAGCAGTCCGGCCGATGCGAATCGCGAAAAGCGAAAAACGAAAAAAAAATAACAGGAGCAAGGGCTGCAGGATTTAAGACGCCAAGAATGGGAGACTAGTAGAGAAAGCGGAAGCAGTCCGGTCGATGTGAGTCGCGAAAAGCGAAAAGCGAAAAAATGTCAACGGCTGCCAAATTTAATATGCTAAGAAAGGCGGACAACAGTAGTAGAGGAAGCGGAAGCAGTCCGGCCGATGCGAATCGCGAAAAGCGAAAAAAAAGGCGCAACGGCTGCCGAATTTAGCAAATACGCTAAGAGAGGAAGGCCAATAGAGAAAGCGGAAGCAGTCCGGTCGGTGGATGTGAGTCGCGAAAAGCGAAAAGAAGAGCGCGACTGGCTGCCGCATCTAATACGTTGGGAAAGTCAGAAATGAGAGTAAAGCAAGCAGGCCCGTGCGGATCGCGATCGAAAAGCGAAAAGCCGCACCAGCATGCTGCCCGGTTTTTCAATATATTGCGTAGTGAAAAAAAGCCGGAGCCAGGCCCATAAGCGCGAGCCGCGAGAAGCGAAAAGCCGCAACGAGGTTTTGCCTTTTTATGGTGTGCCTTTTCGCGCTGAAGCTGCCCGGCCTGGCGGGGTGGCTGGCGGTCGCACACGCGCCACGCGTGGGCCTTCCGGTGTGTTCCTTTCTTCTATGGCTTTGGTTTCCGTCAGTCTTGAGCTGCAGAGGCAACTCCCGCTGTTGCTCGGGCCAACTAATGGGGAAGCCCACGCGAAGAAGCTGCCAACCCGGGAGATAGATTGGCACAGGGAGGAGGAGGCACGACTTTCCAGACACACCCGCCCCAACGCGCCGGGGCCCGCTGGATACTACGCCTTGACGCCCCGGGGCAAACCGGCCTGCCAGCGGGCAGGCAGGCCAAGCCGAAGAAGCCCAAGCGCCCACACAGTCAGCCCACATGCCAGAAAATGCGCGCGGCTTCGTGCAATTTCTTGCGCAATCTAGCATGGAGGCTGTTTGCAAACAATTTGGCGACGCCGGTGTGGGCTTGCTGGTGGTGCGCTGCGTGCTTCTGTTGGCTCACAGGTGGCGCGGCGAGGCTGCTCCGGTGCCTCGTCTGGGCTTCTCAAAAATAAAGCAAGCACAGAGAAGTGAAGGGAACAAAAGGACGCGCCGAGGGAAGTAGTCCGACCCAGGCCGTGTAGCCGCTGCGCAAAAAAAAAAAAGGGCTGGGGCGCCAATAGTGACGCTGCCTAGCTCGTGGCGCTTGTGCCCCTGAAAAAGGGTAGGCGCGGCGCTTTTGCAGAGGCGGCTCGCCTTGTTTCCGTGAAGCCTGCCGGCCGACTATCTACGACAAACCTCGAGGCCCACCCCGACAACTGCGCCCGCCTTCATCGCTCCCCCTTCCGGGCGGTATTCTATGCCCCGGGGCGTCGCAGCCGGCCAAACGAACCGACCCGACCGGGCCGGCGGCGCGGCGCCATATCAAACAAAAAAAATGGGCGAGGGGGCGCCACGCATCAGGCGGGCCTGCTGCATTTTCGGCCAGGGCCCCCCCGTCAAGCCAGCGGGCTCGGCAGGGGGGGGGGGGGGGGGGGGGGGGGGGGCGCGATGTGGCTGGTCTGTTTCCGTTCCGGAGAAGGGGACGCCGAGGGAGGGTCCTGTCGGCTTCCTGCCTGCCTTCGGGGTTCCGCCTCCGTAGAACCCCCCGCGGCGCCCCCAATATGCCTCTTGGATTTCGTCGGCCGCCGGGCCGTCGTGGTGTGAGGGCGACTCTCTTGTATATTTTGGCCTCCCCGCTGCGGGGGTTTTCCAAAATTCCGCGGGCGGGCGTTTTTGTTTGCGTGGCTTACGGGCAGGGGGCGCGGGTTGTCGCTCGCCGCCAGGCCGGCGGCTGCTTGCGCGCTGCGGCCCTTCGGGCCTTCTCCGGGCTTCGTAGGTTGCGCCCGCCTGGCGCCCGGCTTCTGCTTTCTTGCCCCCTCTGCCTTTGCCGGCCTTTCGCGTTTCATTCGCCATTCGGGGGCGGGCGCCCGCCGGTTCCCTCCTCTATAGTGCGCTCACACCGGGGCGCGCCTGGCATATTCTCGTCTGACTCCGCCCGCGGCTGTCTTCCATTTTTCGGAATTCGGGAAGGGCCCGCCCCGGGGCTTTTGTCTTATACACATACTGAGCGACTTCAGGGCGCGCTGGCTTTCTCCTGCTCCCTTTTTCGCTTTTCGCGTTTCGCATTTCCGGAGAGGGCCTCGGGCTTTTTCTATTCATGTATGTAAGCACTTCGGGGAAGAAGGAGAGTCTTCTTGCCCTGCTTCCCTCTTGCGTCGCTTTTCGCGTTTCGCATTTCCGGAACGAGTTCGGGGCCTTTTCTCTATCTTATATATGCACTCGGGTATTAGGTTCGTCCTGCTCCCGTCTTCGCTTTTCGCGTTTCGCATTTCGGAAGCGACCTCGGGTCTCTTTTCTATCTATTCTGAGGACCATGCAACTTCATTTAGGAAAAATGGCATATCACGGTCTGCAGCTGCTTATTTGGCCTGATCCCTTGTTGTTGCTTGGCGTCCTTTTCCAAAACCGACCCTACATCTTCATCTGCTTTCATCTTTCCACCACCATCTTCGTCTTGTAACTGAATGCTTGTTGTACTATCATAGGGGTTCTTGTACGGCTGTCGCTCTGGCTCCGGCTGTTCTGCTTCTGATGTCTGTACCACTTTCGTTTCAGCGAAAGCCGTGTGGGAACCCGTGTGCGACATTTCAAATTTAACGGTTCCTGCTGCTCGCGGATAAGAACGTTCATAATTTTCAAGAACTTCATCTTCGTCCGCCTCCACGTCGACGTCTGTGCTATCGGAGTACAACCCTCGTTCCTCGTCTTCATGCTCAGCTGCATCCAGTGTGGCGCTCTCTCGTCCTTGATTTCGCCCACGCTCTTGCGCGCTTAGGCCCGCCGCTTCGGCGGATTTCACTGCAGCTGCTACATCATCGATTGCAGCTCCTTCCTCCTTTTTCGTGCCTGTCACTGCGAAGGCCATAAAACGAATAGCAAATAAGAAGCCGATCACTGCACCACACAAGAGGCGACCGCTGACGAAAAGCGGCATGTTACAACGGCCGATACCACTCCGCGCGGCAGACGAGGTAAACTGCATCTTGTTTAGCGAGCCAGTAATTAGATTAGAGATACGTATAGCATAGCATCAGGTTTGGCATGTCGGAACTTTAAGACGTGTGCCATTTCTTTTGTTGTACGTACGGTTCGATCTGCGGGTGCGGCTGGGCGATCTGCGGCATTAACATGTTGTCCTCATCGCAGTTACGAACACAAATACTATCGCGGCGCACAAATAGAACTCCCCTTAATCTCCACACAGGAGCTTTTGCTTTTGCTTTTCGTGCAACTGGTCTTTCGCCGACAAGAGCCACTTACATCGCAAGAAGAGAATGACTCACTTCGTATACTGCCAGTTTTTCCAATACTTACTGCACCATGGATCTTGCGGTTGATGCCTACACAGATTTCAGAAAAATGGAAGCTCCTTCCGCACGTTCCGTTTCCCTCAGGGAGTTACTTGGACATCAATCAAAAAAATAAATATGAGGAGGGTGATGCGGAACAATTCTTGAATACAGACAAAGTCAAAACAAACTTATGATTTAATTGTACACGGCTCTAATGCAATAGCTGTACTATGATCTCCAAGCAATTTTTAGACCATCGATGAGAATACTACTAGTCGTAGACCACAACGACAGACTGCCCTATAATGACTTCCTTGTAGCAAGATTTTAATTATGCACAGATTTATTTCATGCAGGTACAAAATGTTTGTCCCCATCTTTGCGAACGACAATTTCTTATGTACAAGTAGGGCTTTAATTTGGCATAGCGGTCGAAAGCGTTGAGTCAACTTTAGCTCAGAAAAACGACGGATGCTGGAGGTGGTCGACGTCGTTGACGATCAAAAATAATTGCCGTTCGAAAATCATATACATTTTTCTTCCGCGATATAGTTAGAGAGACGAGTAACAGCCACAGCTACTTGCATGATGTAGTGGAAAAGAAAGGATCTGGGGAAATATCTCCTCTGTCTTGCACCTGTCGCAGGTTATAATATCGTACAACTCTAAAAATGCATCCATCGACGACATAGCTACACCACCTAAAATTATCGTATCCTTGTTTACTGCTATGCAGCGTAGTAGAAAAAACACTAAGACCCGCATGCTGATAAGAAAGTAGATTGATGTGCTTCTGAAGAAGTAGGTGCAGATTCTTCTTCCCGCCCTGTCCTTACTGGGGGCTCCACGACCAGTTGCTGACCAGCGCCGATGGAAGCGATGGAACAAACTCGTTAATAACATTCCCCACCCTTCTCACCAGCGTGTTCTCCTGGGAGTGGTCCTCCTCTAGTACTTCTGGCGCCGGCACATTTCTAGTCGTGCCCGAGAGCAGATACGGAGGACTGGGACTGGCTGATGATGTTCCACCAGCAGCATGATTGAGCTGGGACGTCGAAACAACCGGCTCTTCTTCTTGTGAAGACCCAAAAATAGTTCCACCTGAAGGACGACGACTACCAACATCTAGGTGAACAACTTCTTGCGCGGCGGGCCAGGGTGGAGACTGTTGTTGTTGTACCAGAGTCAGTTCTTCGGTTCTCCCGCTGGTGGTGGGACGATTGTTCGGGCTCCTGCTCCTCCGTGTGGCTGCGGGCCTTGATGTTGCTCTGCGCCGTATGCTAGTTCTAGAACTGCTTCTACTACCTCCACCGCCTTGCAGGAGCGTGCCGTCATCAGCCTTCCCTACAATACCTGCCTCTCGCTCTGTTTGCTCCGCTTCTGCTGCTGGCGCGACCTCCGGGGCAGGTACAACATCAACACCTCCAGCATCTTCGGAACAAGTGCGGGGTCGATCCGCTTTGGGATTGTAGGCCCTGTTCTGCAGCTTGTTTACGGATCGACGAGGAGGGGGAAGCGGAAGCGGCGCGGCCGTGGAGGAGGAAGCAGCTGCACCACCCGTCGTAGCCACTTGCGCGGTGGTGGCTGGCGAGGAACGACTATGGCCACCTGAGGGTGTAGTCACAGAACAAGAACTGCCCTCCGAATTATGTCGCGAATCATGTGGCTTTGCCGTCACGAGCTGCTCAGCAAAAGTTGATGTAGTATGTTGAACTACATCACAAGGGCTTAATACGTCTGCTGGTGTTCCAAATATTTTTCCGTGTCTGTTGTCCTCCTGTGAAGGGATGTAGGGTGCTGGAGGCAGATCTACAACACTGGGTGCGGCGTATACTGGGGGCTGCGATGAGGGTAAAAATAGACCCGGGCCCGAGAATGAACTATTGCTCGTCCTACTTGGACGCGATTTCTGTCGATGTGGCGCCGGGGCGGTATAAATATAAGATCCCGTGGGTGGCGTTGACGTTGAGGTTGAGGATGGTACGGGAGCTGTTGTTGTAGTCCTCTGATGCACTAGCAGTGGTAAGGAGGAAGGCAACGCAAAGGAGGAAGGCGACGCCCCTCCCTGCTGGGGCACGACCCCACCTAACGGCGGACTTCCACAAAAGATACCACTGTTTCCAACGCAAGCGCCTCCCCCTGTTCCTCCGGCGACGGAACCGACGAACCCACCTCCCGGGCCGAAAGCTCCAGAAGTGAGAGCTCCTTCACATGGCGCCCCGGGGACGAAGACCGGTGCGGACAGGTTCAGCCCCCGCCGCGACGGTGACTCGGCACCAGTGGTCGAGGGAGACGGTACTTCGGTACAACCAGCTGCACTCGATGTTTCGTTCTGGTACGCCTGTTCCAAACGGTAGGCTTCGTCGTGGAAGGCGGAGAAAAACAATTTTGGGTTGTAATACTTGAAGCTCGTCCGGTTGTCCGGCGGCAACCAGGGATCCCAGGACCACAGCGACTGCCTGACCTCCGCAAGTCGCACACTCCTGTGCTCGCGCAGCGGCGACGTGGCTGCCCCCACGACTCCTGTTCCGCCGAACGCCCCGACCCAGGGGTTTCTCCCCTGGTACATAGGGGGAAAAGGTTGAATCGACGGCGCAAATACTACAGGCTGCTGAATCTGCTGATTCTGCACCAGCAGCGCGAACCGCGACAGGAAATCTTCGGGCCGGAGGAGCGAGTCGCGCGGGCCCGCGTGGTGGTCAACCACGGAGAGCACTGTGGTGTTCACGTAGGTTATCAACTTTCGGTACAACGTTTCCACAAATGCGATCATCATGTCGGCTTCAGCTACTTCCCCCTCTTTCTTCGAAAGCTGCTTGTAGTGCGCCTGAAAAGCGGAGTTTTTCGACAAATTTGCCGTGAATTGCGGTACGGACACGTCGCCGTCGACGGTGCTCCTGGAGGGTATGATTTTACTACGGACGAAGCTTAATTCGAAGAACCTCTCCTTTACCACCCACTGCAGAAAGATGAGCATGAAGCGGAAGGAAGGCATCCGCTCGAAGCCGTATTCGTGCGCCGTGCCGGTGAGGCCGGAGCGCTTGGCGAACTTGAGGAACAGGCGGCCCACCGTCCGGAGCACCGGGTCGGACACTGCGATCTGGCGCAGCGTGTCGCGTTTTCGCCGTGCCTCCGGTGCGAAGTTGTTCACGGTCAGGTCCACGGTAAAGTACGTCCAAACCGCTGCACCACGACCTGAGTTCTTGTCCACCACCTGCACCACCCCCTCGGTGGAATAAACATCTTCGCGTCCTCGGACCGCCTCACTGGTCAACCGCCGTTCCCGCTTGCTCTTCTCCTCCGGGAGGGTGTGCAGCAGGGTGGACTTGACGGCGAAGGTCCCCTTGGCCTGCACCCACCCGTCGTTGCTGGTGCCCGGAGGAGCAGTCGTTGTTCCAAATTGGTGCGCGGGTGCTGGGGGATTGCGGTTCAGTTTCACGGACACCCACTTCATCAACACGTCGTCTTCTTGCACCAGGATGTTACCCGTGTGCGCCGCGTCGGTGCGAAACAAGCCTTGGGTGAGGTTTTCCAGGAACCAGAACCGGTTTTTGTACCGCTGTCGTTGCTCGCTGTCAGAAAAATCGACACTGTTAAGCGTGCGCTCGTCCTCGCCCCCAAGTGCGGTTGCTGTTGACCACTGCGGCTGCTCCGAGGGGGCTGCACTACTAGTACAAGTGGGTGTTGGGCTAGTAGTACCGCGAGCGTTGCTGGTTCTCGTGGACGAGGTGGCAGGAGCAAAAACCAGTTTCCCGTCCTTTCGCACGGTGGTCTGACTGGAGCGAAACTCAATGGGGACTTGGGCCGCTTTGTCTTTCGGCTCCGACAAAAGGTCATGGAGCAGCAGTGTGCTCAAAGAACACGGCTTCGTGGGCGTGAACGAGATGTCAAGGTCACTGCTCGGTGTGCCGAACCCGTTCAACGCGGACCCGAACAGGTCGATGCGCACGCCGCAGCGCTGCAACAGGGGCAGACTCTGCAAATGCTGCGTCATTGTCTCCACGATGCCGGGGTGAAGCGCCGTGAACCCGTTCTGTATCTCCTCCCGGAGCTCCCGTCGAATCATACTTGCAGAACTAGCATTTTCTTTGTTCCTGCTCTCTGCACTTGGAGCTCTTGTTGCCCCGTCTGCAGTTGGGGCCCTGGAAGTCCTCTTGCGCCCTTTACTGTTTCTGCGTCGGGCGGCATGATTCCGGGAGAAAGGAATGGACGGGCTCCGCGTCTGGCGGCGACGGCGAATTGGTCCGTCCCGGGACTCCACCCTCGAAGGAGGCGATATTCCCTCTCCCCCTGCCGCAGTGCCGCCTGACGGCGTGGTCGACGCGGCAGCAGTATCCTTCCCGAGCAGGAAGAAAGTCTCTGCCTCGAGCTCCTTGTGCTTTTTCAACAGAGCAAAAGTACTAGACCCGCCGCCACGTAGCTGGCCCCGACCCGCAGCCAGCATCACTTCCTGCAAAGCAATCCCCTGGCCGATCACTTCGGTGAGCAGGTCATACTCCTCCCACGTCGGCAGCAGGGCCCCTTCGAAGAGCTTCCGCTGTCCTAAATTGTTCGGCTTGGTGTCCCTGGTGTCCGGAAACGAAACCGGCCTGCCCATCTGCTTCCGGGCGCTCGCGCCCCAGCCGTGCGGGTCTCTCGGATCCCTGCGCCTCGCGACGGACGAAGCAAAGTAACTCTCTTTAGCTTCTCTCGCCCTGCGTGCGTGATGGTTTTCCAAGGCCTCAAAGGCAAGGGCAGAAAAATACACCCGGGCGGTTGTTTTATTCCCCGACGCTCTCGTTCTCGCTGACCTCGGAGAAAAACGATTTGGATCCTGTTGATGGTTTCCCCGTGCACCTGCAGATGTTTCGGGCCCCGCCCTGGCGGCGTGCTGCGCTGCTGCGTCCTCCGGCTCGACCTCCTCAAAATCGAAAAAGATTGCGTAATTAGGTGGGCCTGCGTTCTTCTCTTCCTTTTCGGTGCCAGTTTCATCCCAAGGTCCGCTTGGAATCAGGCCCCCGACCCGGACTTCCATTCGAGATTTCGCTCCGGAAGGAGTAAAAACAGCCGAGGGCGTCGAAGATGGGTCGTCGTGGCGGAGTGCGGTCAGGGGAAAGAACAAGAGGTTCTCGGGGCCTTCCTCGTGATAACCTACCGGCGCAGCCGCAGTTGTGGGCGAATCTAGGCCTGCCCCGCGACCAGGCGACACCTGGAGCATGACCAACCCGCGCCGGGCGAAGCTGTTCCAGCTAAGACCTCTGCGATTTTCACTTATTTTTGCTAGCAATTTCACAGGCGTTTGGGTCAGGTTCACAAAGGGTTGTAGGAGCGGGCCACAAATTTCCGTAAGGATCTCCGACGCGACTGGCGGTGTGTCGTTGTACTCCGCATGATCGTCTAGTGTAATATGATCTGTCTTGTACAACGCCGCCGACTTCTTTGCCCAACTGCCAGGCCCGCGTACCTCCGCCAGCGCCTTGCTGAAGAAGTCAAATAACGGCGGAGATGGCGGGTTTTTCGCGTTCGGCTCTCGATGTCGCCGCACTTCTGCTACAAAATCGCTCCGCTTTCGCACGGCAACGCGCATCGCGAGTTGAAGGAGCTCCACATTGCTTAGCTCCAGTGCAGGGAAGTTGACAGCTCCACCCTTGACTTCTAAATCAGGACAGGAGGAGCACAGGGTGGGAAGCTTTTTCACATCTTGCTTCGACGATAGACCCGCACTTTTCCGGTCATGGGTTGGACCGATGCAGAATTGCTCCGTGGGCTGCTGCATCACCGCCAAACAGGCCTGCGCAACTTGGTGCTGCGAAAACTGCTTCGATAGCTCTTCCGGTGTAAATTCCGACATACCTCCTGTGGCGCTGCCGCAAGCGTGGCTCGGCGAGACGACATGATCCTCAGATGAGCGCAAAGATCCGTATCCGAAGTTATTTTGAACGAACAAAAAAGCCACGGCTTCTCTGCTGGACTGCAGGAAAAACCTTCCAGACCCGATCTCCAGGCCGGCTGTTGGTGCTGACCTGCGGGCGAACTCTTGAGACTCGTGTAACCCCGCTGCCAGTGTCCTGGCGATCTGGCTCTCGGTGCCCATCGGATAGTCGCGTCCGATAGTGTCCGAAATCTGATCCACCTCGCAGACAGAACCGACCCAATGCGGCTTCGCGCTGGCCGTCAGCTCGTAGTGCACGACCCGGTCGTCAGACGAATCCACGAAGCGCTTCGTCAGCTCGGTGCGGATCGCCAGCCGCACCGGGTTGCCTTGAAACATGTACAGCCAGACGAAGTCGTAGCGCTCCTGTAGCTGGCGGTGCATGACGCTACTTTGTTGATGAGCTGTGAGAGGATCTACTTGCTCCCGAAGCTGCACTTCCTGTTGACCATTGGCCTGCAAAGCCATTGACAGGGTCGTGTTAGCGAGTATTTTTGAAGGAAGGAACTCTACTTGTTGAAACATCAGTTCCTTCGCACACCGCTTGGCCAACTGCTCATGAACCACGTCGGGCTGCACCTGAAAGGCCTCTAACGCATCCAGAATCTGCAGCCGGCTGTAGATAAGCGCATCCCGCTCTAACTTTGTACTCCGCTCATCATCTCGCAGCCGCGACGATGGGGCAACCACCTCTTCGAGGCTGTTGATGACCCGACGAATGGGTCCGTGGTTCAGCCCTCGCAGGTCGAACGCCGCCTTGTAGAGCACAGCAGACCAGCTGTTTTCAGAAAATTCAGCGTCAGACGGAGCGTCGGCCTTCTTTGGGTCAGGGTCAACCCCAGAAGTTGCATTCAGTTCCCATTTCACCCGGTTCAGCAGATTGCTTTCGGTGTCGAGCACAATCTCACAGAAGGCCGCCGCCGCGATTCCGAAAACTTCTTTCACAGCCGGTTTGGAACTACTCTTCGATAGGCTTGCAGGATTCCTGCGCGGTGCGGTGCTAGGCGCTGCTCTGGACGAGTAGACCGTACCAAGCTGCTGCGACGATAGACATAGGCAGATCAGAGTGATCCACAAGAGGCGAGCTTTCATCTTGTATGGAACTACAGTTCTACTGCAGAGAAAGAAAACCAAAACGTCGAAGGTGGGGCTGTGAATATTAGATAAAGGCACAATGGAAGGGGTCGCAAAGATTTTGCGTTGCTATTTCTGCACACGAAGCACGCCCAACAAATAGGCTACTTAGTTGTTGATAGATATAGCTCTTCTATCTAGGAAGAATGATGCTCAGCAGGCTATATCAATGCCTGGAACTTTGAAGAAAACAACGTTGTCGCCTGACTACATTCTTCATTCACTAGAAGAAATGCGGCTATCACTGCCTGTTGCTGTCATTGGCAACAAGTTGGACGGAAATATGTTGAGGAGTGTGATATTTCATCTCCTGATCATCCGAGCGCGGGAAATCGTCTTGGACGAGATTTTGGTATCGAACAAGCCGAACAAGTAGGGAGTTTTTTTTTTCAGATGAACCATGTCGTGACCCCTACTCAGCAGAGGATCACACGTTGCCATCTTCATCGTCGAACCTTCCAGATATCGTTTTCAAGAACAAGATCATGGGAGCAGGGGTATTGATCTTTTGGTTTTTGCAATTTTGCATCGACGCAATTTTTCATTTTGAATCGGTAAGGGCCAATTGTTATTTCCGCGGCGAAAAATCGTATATGCAAATATGAAATCTGCTAGTGCCCGCCACATATGAAAGCTGCTAGAGTAGCAGGGGACGTTCACATGATCAATATCAGAATTTGAAGGATCCGACGAACGTTCTCTTTGCTTCGACGACGGTTTGGGGTTTGGAACAGCAAGGAGTGAAAAGTTATTTTTCCTACCGCACTGGGTAGTTTTTTCGAAACAAGACCACCGGGTGACGGTTGAGTTCATTTCTTTATTTGTCGCTTGAAGATTTAGACACATCGACATCTTCAGAGGTCGTCACAAATTCTTCATTACTCACTTTACAAGTAGTTCCGGACCCACGTCTGTGGTTCAGCATCGTGCTTTCCCTTCACTGGAGCTCTCGTCCTGCCCACTTGCTGGCCCGCCCGCGACGTCACAAGTCCGGGTGCCACCAGTCCGGTGCAGTCTGGTTGACATCTTTCTCGCGGCAATGTGAGGGTACCTTTTCTCCTTTTTCGGAAGCTGCTTTATTCTCCTTCGTCACTTCCTTTCCTCCGCTGTTCTCCACATAGCCGTAGTCGCAGAACACTTCCTCCCCCACCCCAATCGCCTTCACAGCGCGGATGCACACAATGTCGCCGAACCGGGGATGCGCGGTGTACGGGCCATATCGCGCATTCACCTTTTTCTGGGAGTGGTTCGCCTTGTGCCCCACGGTGGCGCGGTAGTCGGTCAGTCGATTGTGCGACACCGGGATATCGATCACAACGCCACCGCCACCGCCACCTGGCGTAGAAGATGAAGTTGCCGCATGGGAAGCGCCGTCGGATGAAGATGCATCTACTTTCTCATCTTTCCACAAAGTTACACAGTTCCCGTTTTCTTTCCAGTCTCTGCCGTCACACACCGCCTGCGAGATCCGCACCCCATTGTAGAAAGCGACCAGCTCGCCCTTGCCGAACCGCTTCTTTGCGAATAGCCCCTCGCCAGGGTCCGGATTGTTTTCGTAATTTTTGAGGCTAGTCTTCTTTTTCACCATTGTGCTGCCGCCATCCGAATCTGCCGCACCTTCGCCTTTCGTAGAAGGAGTGCTAGCTTCTTCCTGCTGTCCACCCACATCGTTATCGTCAAACTTGCTGTATCCAGCCGCTTTGACGCAAACCGCTCGTTCTTCAAAAGCGTCGGGCAAGAGTGGAAACCGGCCCAGACTCGTTTCGGTCGTGAGGTCCTCACCGAACAAGGATTGTGATTCTAATAAACACCCGTCTTTATTCCCTGGTAATAATATTTCTCCACCGCTAATATTCTTGTCGCGAAGACCACCGCGGCAAGAACTTTCCTTCATTTTTTCATAAAAATTCTTGTACGAACCGCAAAGCGAAGCTTCCATCCGGTCTCGAAAATTCCGTCGAAACGCGGCGATGAAAGCGTCAAACAGGAAAGAACACTTGGAATTAGACACAGCCCCCGTTGTAGTTCGACTACGCTCCTCTTCCGTCAGAACAGCATACCGGCGAAATTCCTCGTACAGCGGGCGCAAATCCGTGAGAACGTCGATGAGCGGAGGAGCAGGAGCCTGAGGTTCTTGAGCTTCTGCTTCATCTTCTCTAGCACAAGATGAACCCTCCATCGTGCAATACCTCCCGCGCTCCAACTTCCCTTCTCGGGAAAAGTCGCCGAAAATTCCGACTCGGTTGTCGTCGGAGAGGATGAACAATCTGTCCTTGAGACAAAACTCGCCCGTGTCTTCGTCGAGTTTCGCGACGAGGATCCCGTGCGGGTAGGTCTCCGCATCCAGGCCGAAATTGTCCGGGTCCGGCCCGTCGCGCACCAGTTTGTACAGCCAGGGGCGAGGTGGGGGAACGCCGTCGTCTACAACTGTGTTCCACCCGTCTCGACGCCGTGTCGCATCATGATCTCCAGGTGCAGCATTTCCCGCTTCGTAGTTCTTTTCATGCACCTTCTCCTCAAGCAAGGCCTTTTCAAAGTCGCAGAAAGCACTTCCGCGAAATGGTCCTTGTTCGCGGGCTCCCTCAGTAGCTGGCGTTTCCTCTTCTGTACTTCTCTTTGTTGGCCGTGGACGAGTACTGCTGCTGCAAGAACTTCTCTCGTGACTCCCACCCGCGACACAATCGGAAAAAGCAGCTTTCGAGGAAAAGTTCACATTGCAATACTCGACAATTCTTGGCAACAACCGCCCGCGCCGGTCTCGCTTCGTGATCACTAGCCTTTTCGGACTAAACCGGATGGCATACCCGGACTTCCTGTATCCGATCAAAAGGGTTGGGAGCTGCTTCAAGGGGTCTTCTTGACGATCATCGTCTGTTCGTGCAGAGGACTCTACAACTTCAGTCACCGTTCTTTCAGGTCGTGTACCTCCATGTTGGTCAGCCTCGTTTTCACTCGTGCTGTGTGGCTCGTTGGAGGCCTCATCTCCATCGGAGTTGCACCTGGCTTCGTTGGGCGCGGTGGTCGACGCGTGACACAGTTCCAGTTCGCAGTAAAAGTTGTCGTCTTCGGCGTCGCCTGATCCCGCCCGCTTGGAGTAGGCCATTGTGTCGTCGGTCTGTACGTGATTTTCTGTGTCTGTCTAGTAACTTAGCTACTTTCATTTACTAGCTGGATAGTGTCCCGTTCGCGCAGTGTTGGCACGAATCTTTTTCATCGAAATGACACAGCAAGAAAAGTCGCCTGGAAGTTGTAAAGGTCGTAACATTTTTTGCAGGTACTAGTTGTCCTAGAATTTTTTTGTTTTTCACGAGTATCGCCGAATCCGAACCGGTGGTCGAGGTAGAAGCACAACAGGACATTACAAAACATGGCTGGTTTGTTTAAGGTTCCTGTTCTTTCGCTGATCACCACCACCAGCAGATCTCTTGATTTATTGAAGAAGATCGGGTTTTAGAATTTTCTTCATCCTTTCGCGCCAGAAGAAACCTGAACCTGATCCTGGTCGTACCTTTGCCGAAGGAAAATTGCAGTGATTTATTCACCGGCTGCTCAAAACCATGTACAATCTCGTAGTACGAAGGGTCCATCATCATGGATTCTTTCCCACGAAGGTTCTTCTTCTACCTGTGGCTCCTGCAGTGGCCTTTTTGTACTATTTTCGTCTTTATTCTCAGCCAATCTTGGATCAACAGTGGTCTACGGCGTCTTTATTCTCAGAAACTTGTTAATTGTACAGAAAAAACATCATCAGGCGTCTTGTGTATTCTCAAAAAATCGTTCAGAAAAACTGTATTCTTCTATTGAAACTTCTTGTCCATCGGTTGTACAACTCACACATCGCCTTTCTTCTCTGGCACCGCCTGTCGCGCGAGAGGCGGCAGAGGCGAGTGACCAGGTTCGTCTTGGGTGGATGGTCTGGTCCCCGTCGTACCTCCATTTTGCCTCTGATAAAAATCGTCGTTTCGTGGTTTCTCGGCGATGTTTTGATCGTTCTTGTCACCGCTTGGAACAAATTGTCGATCTTCATGATTTATTTTGCTTTCGTAGTAGCCCGGGTGCAGCAACTCCAGCAGCATCACCCTCGGCGCGTACGGATCGGAGGACTCGAGGGCACCAGCAATCGTTCCCTCCTGTCCCTCCTGCTCGCTGGCCCCGGAGCTGCTGCTGTCGGTCTCGGTCAGCGGCCTTCCTGCCGTTTCCCGCAGGGGCAGGACTAAGAGCAAGAAAAAGTTGATTCCCAGCATCGCGATCAGAAAGAAAAAGAACGCGGCGGGGCTGTTCGTCACGAGCAGGATCTTTTCGTACAGCGACGGTGCGACAATCGCCCCGATGCGCCCCCCGGCCAGCGCCACCGCCATGCCCGTGGCGCGCACACTGGTGGGGAACATCTCGATGGCCATCACGTACGAGGTCTGGAATCCGATGATGACCGCGAACTTCTGCCCGAACAGGCCAATTTCCAACAGCGTCTCCGCGAACCCGAGTTTTTTCTTCTTTTTCGCCTGCTGCAGCTCCTCCTGGCGGATCTGCTCCTGCTCCTTCTCCAGGTTCTGCTGCTCTGTCTGCTGCGCCGCGGCGGTCTGCTTCGTTTTCTCCCGAACGATGGCAACGTGGTTGTGGTACTCATTCAAGATTTGATGTTCCTGCTTGGCCTTTCGGTCCCGCTGCTTCTTCAAGAGCTCCTGCCACGTCTGGTACGACCGTTTCGCAACCGCGGTCTTGGGCTCCTCGGGGCTGTCGCGAAGTGACCTTGATTTTCTCCTCCCGGGGGTGGCAGCGTTGGTGTCTTTTTTATCCTTGCGGTTGTGCTGTTGACCACTCTCGCCGCGCGGAGACGAAACACCGCTCCCCCGTGACGATGTTCTTGTTGAAACGACATCTTCATCTTCATTTCCCCTTCCCCGACGAGACGATGATGACGACAACGATGAATCTCTGGCACCAGACTTTCTCCGTTTCTCCGACGTCCTCCTCTTCCGCTGGTTAGTAGTTTTCATGCGCTGCAGTACAGCCTCCGCACTGCTGACAGATTGAGAAATTTTCAGCGGATGATTTTTCCTTCTGTAAAAAGCCTGATAAGATTCACTTCCGCTCAGCGTCCGCTCCGTGTTTTCCTCCCTTCGGAACCGATGATCTTCATGCTGGTGCTTATAATTTCTCTGGTCGTGCTGGTGCAGCAGATGCGACAATAGACCAACACTGGTGCTGTCGCTCCTCCTGCTAGTAGAAGACGTCTGTTTTTGTCGTGTCTCAGCTGCTCCTACGTCGTGGTGCTGTAAAAACACAGGCGGATCGGGGACGATGGGGACCACGTTGATCATCGTTACTTCTGATTTTTTATTTTCTTCTTTTGTTGTTTTCTTCGCCTTGTTTCCATTTTTCGCAGTTCTCTTCTTGGAAGAGAAGTACTCCTGCACAGCCTTCTTGGCCACGGAGGCGCGCCCCACCCGAGCAGGTGCCACGGGCCGCCGCCCGGAGGTTCCTGCACCAGAGTGGCTGCGGTGTGTAGAAGTGAAAGCAGGGTCAAGAACTTCTTCATGCGACGTCTTGGTCATCTTCGCATTCTCTTTCTCCTGCCCCTCCCCCGCGATCCAAGTGTTGATCAGGGTCTGCAATAAAGACGTCGTAGCACCTCCGAGACCCCCAGCACTCTTACTCCCGCCACCCCGCCCTCCGATCGAAACAGGCGTTGCTGGCGACTGGTCTTTTCGCCCGAACAGTGGCCCGGTGAGCGCGTCGTGGCGGACGTCCAAGGCAACGCGGAACGGCGCGGCCTCCTTAAACACCGGGCCGGCACTCGTGGCCTTCACGATCAACTCCGTTTTCGCCTGCGGTGCCGGTTCCTCGGGGGGCGGCTTTCTTGCTGGCTCCTTGGGTTGTGCCGGTGGTGGTGCTACCACGGGAGGCGTTGTCCCGCTTCTGGTTGGTGTACGACCCTCCTCCTGCTTTATTCCCGTTGTTGTACTAGGTGCACGTCGACCTCGACGACTCCCCGCTGCATACTTCGCTGTCCCCGCAGGCTGCTGGTTCTCCTTCTCAAGGATCGCCTCGTGGCTGCTCGCAATCAGCTGCGCGGGCGGGATTATCGGCGCGACGATGGGGATCTCGGTCTGCACGGCCTCGCGGTCTTCCGAAGACTCCAGGTCGGAGATTCCTTTTTCCTTGTTCATCTCAGTGGGAGTTCTTCCTTCCCTCCCTTCTCCATCCGCTCCCGCTCTGTTCTGCTGTTTCTGCTCCCCAGGATGCTCTCTCCGGTTTTCCTTCGTTCGGCTTCGGTTTGTAGCTGAGCCTTTGTGCTGTGTCGGTTCACCAGCACGATACTGGGGGTCAGCTTGGGTCGTGGAAAACGGCTCGGACTTTCTAGTTGTAGTTTTCTGTTCTCGATACGAAGATTCCTCTGTCGGGGAACTTTTGGCGCCTCCACCCTTCGCCTTCGCTCCTGCCCCGCCCGCTTTTTCACTACTCGTCGTTATCTGCACCGTGATCTTCTTGCTTTGCTTTGCGCCGAGCCTGCCGAGTATAAAAGGGTCCTTCTCCTGCGCTGCCGCCGGTTCCTTCGGGGCAGCCTTCGAGGACAAAACGGCGTCCTCGGTGGCCGGAAAAATGTCCTGCCGCATCAACGGCGGCGGGCCCATCGCCGCGGCGCCGGCCGGGGCTATGACGACCTCCTCTTCGCCGTCGTTGTACCGGTGAGAAGAGGAAAAGTTCATATCGGTCTTATCGTGTTCGTGACTGGGCGCGTATCCTAGGCAAAGTATCTTCGCAGTCGTAGCAATTGCAGTGCTCTTGCATGACAAAGTTGCAAATCTCATGCTTCATCCCAGGCCTAGGCGTAGGCCAATCAGCATTATACAAATTCTATTTTCCAAGTCAGAAGTTCACACTACTTCATACTTGTACAAAACGATACTTTTGCAAATGCATAGCGCGTCCAGGTTCAGACTCGGCAGCGCCGCGATGAACATGAAAATGAACGTCGAGCCGGAAATGAGCCAGATCACCATGGCCTTCTTCCTCGACACCCGATCTCCCACCGCCAGAGCGATGGCGGCCCCGAGGAGCTCCCAGAAACAGGCGATGAACAGGCTGTAGGCGGCGGGGATGGACAGCGTGTCGCCCATGTCGGCAAGGACCTGGGGAAACACGTACATGCCGCCGTAGTACACCACATTGCAGGTGAAGGTCGAGAAAACCAGGAAACACGTGGTCGCAACGTGCGGCGGCAAAATGACGGTCACGAACCGCTGCATAAAAGTTTTCTTCGAAGAGGGATGTTGCTGGTGGTATTCGTGGTTCTCGTGAAGAGGAGGAGGCTTATTTTTTGTTCCCGCAGAACCCGATGCAGCTCCATTCATCGATGGGGCTCCTGCAGCTGCTTGTTCTCCTGCTGCTTCTTTCGCTCCAGTCTCGTCCCCCTCTTTCTGTTCGAGCTCGCCCGCAGCAGGTGCGGCCACCGCGTCGCCAGTCTTCGTTTCCTCCGCAGCTTCCTCCATAGTTGTTGCGCGATGTAGTGGTGCAGCGGAGGTTCTACGACTGCCGCCGTTCGCTGCACTGCCTCCGCCATTCGCAGCACCCTCCTGGTCCTCCTCATGAAAGTGTATGGGAACGCGCCAAATGGAATTTGGCGCCAGCTCGGTCTCGTCCGCCACGACGCGGGGCGCAAAATCGTCCGGGTAGAGCCCGCTGGACTGCTCGATGGTACGCGCCAACTCGGTGGACGCGTGCAAACTCGACCCCTTCTTGCGCCACTCGAAGTTCTGCCGCCGCATCCAGTCTAAACACTCCACGGCCTCTCGCAAACGCCCCTTGGAGTGCAGCCAGGACGGAGACTCCGGGAGGCGGAGCAGCGCGGCGACGCCCCAAAGCAGACTGGGAACCGCTCCCATCAAAATCAGCCACCTGGTGGATTAATTTGGATTGAGCAAAATAAATTGGCCCGTTTCAAAAGAACAAGTTCATCGCTCCTGTCTTTGTTGCTGAACAAATGCACCACACACGATGGATTTCATCATCCTCACACGACATCACATCTCCACCATGGCGACTACATCACATCGCCAGCAGAAACAAAAAGCGATGATGAATCCATGTGCAGGATAACAGGTAGCACTTACCTCCAGTTCAAATCCTGCATGTGGATGTCGTCGTAGCAGATGAGCACGATGGAGTACATTTCCCCCAGCACAAAGTAGGTTCCCCCGACGAAGGACAAGAAGATCCGCCAGTCCGTTGGCACCGTTTCGTTTGCGAGCGCGATGCCGCTGGGCTGCCCGATGCCGAACGCGAAGCCCACGCCGAACCGGAAACAGCAGATGGAGTAGAGGTCCCAGGAAAAGACGCTCGCGACGGAGAAGATCCCGACCAGCAGGTAGCTAGCCAGCACCGCGGACCGGCGCCCGAGGGAGTCGCCCACGGACCCGGAGAGCACGTTGCCCACCAGCACCCCGAAGAACACGATGCCCACCACGATGCCGCGCTCCATGGAGGTGAACTGCCACTCCTGCGTATCAAAATGAAAAATCCCCCCTCCCCATATTGAAACGGAAACTTCTGTTGCTGGATTTGTGTACACAAATCAGCCCTGTCTTGCAGCGAGGCACTACAGGCAAAGCCCCAGCCTGCGTAGGGGTGTTTTGTTGCAGGCTCTTGGCATAAGAGAGGCCTGCCATGTAGGTGAAACAGCATTACAAATCGCCTCCCTAAGGCAGCGGATTCTCTGGGTTTGCCTTCTTGCAAGACAGATGTGATTTGTGCCCTCAAATCCGCAACACACATTTTTGCAAATATACCTTTTCGATATGGGGAGGGGGGATTTTTCCTCTCAATACTGCGCCACCGCCCGGATCAGGGACGAGAGCAGGATCAGTTCCGCGCTATGGATTGCAAATATGTCTGGGTCTGGAAACTTGTGATGCTAAAGCTTGGATAAGACTGGCGCTCTCAAGTGCAGCCAAGCATGACAAGTATACTTGACGCCGTCTGATGCGTAGCACGCATGACAAACTGCGTTTTTGTAGGACGAAAAAGTAGCGCCTTTCTTGCTAGGTATGCAATACAGATTTTTCAGGAATGCAAGACATGCAACACAAGTTCCACTTTTCCAGACCCAGACATTTTTGCAATGCATACGCGCCGTCCATCAGCCAAATGCCGTACCCGAGATTGGAAATAACCAGCTGCGCCTTGCCCATGCCCATCACCTCCACCCACTCGTGGACTTCCAATTGCAGCTTGTTGTCCTCGTACGCAGATGTTGACGGATTGTTGCTCATAAAAGGGTTTATCGCTGAAGTGAAAGAGCTCATCCTTTTCGCGCCGAAAGTAGTGGAAAACTTCGTCGTAGACGTAGTCCCGCCCTGCTGGTGCGCAGGAGGACCTGCTGAAGAGGCCACTTGTTGTTCCGCCAGGTCGGCCATGTTTTCGTGGTTTAGGAGTTTGGATGAAATAAAGCAACGGAGTCTTGATGCAGGAGTCCCTCCGAGCCCGTAGGTGGAGTTCTATGCGTCTGCTGGACAAACCTGCCGTTTCGCCCCGCTCCATCCGAACAACCGGGTGGCTCTTCAGGGATTTCCACGTCTTCTCAGCTGGCGAATAGCTCTGCTCATTGTAGTCTACCGACCCGAGCACTAACGCGGTCGTCGCTTCATTCTAGATGAACAGATGCGTCATCGCAGAACCTCTGATCAATCTTCTCAACACAACTTCCGGCCTTTCTAGTACAGCGAAAGTTGATTTTGGCATTCGCACGTGACGGGCTACATCTTTTTTTTTACAAGAAGTGAAATATTTCTATTCGCACTATTTTTCCCCTCACACTCTGCATCACACCCTCAAATACGGAAGCTTGTCATGTTCGCCCTTCGCTGCAAGCAAGCAACTCTCACCTAGAAGATTGAACAAGTTTTATGCCAAGTTCTTGTTCCCTCTTTTCACCTGTGATAACGTTTGCGTAGCAGCAGTGCAGCCACCGGCGTACGTCCTCCTCAATACAACTCTACTTACTTGCAATACTATCTCGACCTTCGCTCCCAGACGCTCGCGGTACACTTACAGCTTGACCGCTCGAAGAGCGTGTCAGGGTTAGCATCTCGCGGATACTATATGCAAGTAGCCGCTGCGTCGTTTCGTTTTTATTTTAACGTCTTCAAAACAAGCAAAATAGAGTTCGCGTGGGAAACGACATTATCGTCGGCATTGAGGTTTAAAAAGTTCTTTTCCTTAGCAAGGTGGGAAAGGTCTCGTACACGAGATGGTAATGGACCACTCGCACCAGGAGCAACTGGTGCAACTTCAGGCCCGAAGGGCTTGTGGCGGGTGACCCTTGCCGTTTAGCTAAGCTCTGAATTGGGTCAATCAATCTTCGAGTCAGTAATTGTGGATTGTGGATTAAAGTGTGCTGCATCATCTGCATAAGGGAGAAAAGTTCACGTATTATGAAACTTTTGAGGAAATATTAACGCGAACAAAGCACTTGATGGAAACGTTAGCAAGCATTTCTGCGTACCAAAAAAAATTGAAACAGAGACGAGAAAAAAACGCCGAAACTAGCTCGAACGGAAAGCACCACTTGTTCTGGACGATCAGACGGCGGCAAGGGCAACCGACCCAAGAACGAACTAGTACTGCAAATCGAGGGTCGTGAAGATCTGCGCTATGTCCGCACTCGTCGAGGAAGAAAACCCATGACGCCCGAGTGAACTGTGAGTTCGCGAAGAAAAGGACGACTTCATCTCATGGAAAAAACAAAACACAGCAAGAACTCAAGATGAGTCTCTCCTGGTTGAAAAAGTTCTCTGGTAGGGTCGTGTGGTGAAAGAGCTCCGCACTTCGCAGCATGTTGATGCTCCGATGGTCATCCCTCCGCAGCATGGTCCTCCGCGGGGGCACCAGCGCTACTCAACACAGTATGGCCGGTCATCCTCGAAGATCTACAGCGTGTTCGGCATGGGGAGAAGCGGCGCGTCGTCTTTGCTGCTACTAGTCCGGAACAAATAATCGAAAGCCATGCGCGTTTCCTTCCCGCTGTCGACTTCCTGGTCCACGTCGTCGAGAGAGGCGCCAGAGGTCTCTCGCAGGGGCAGGAAGAGAAGCTGTTTGTGGTTTTAGAAACATATAAAAATGGGTTGATCAAATCCTTACGCCGTTCCAACTACGCTTTCAATCATGTTTACAAACAACCAAACCGTACACTCAACATTGAACCACGCCAGTATACCAGCATCAACGACGTGAACATCAGCCCCAGCACAAAGACGAAAAACGCCTCGTGCGTGCCCGTCGACTCTTTGAGTCCCTCGTAGATTAGCGGGACCGCTATCGCGCCGAGCCGCCCGGTCGCGATCCCCGCACCGACCCCGGTGGCGCGGCAGTGCGTGGGGTAGGATTCGATGGCGAACAGCGTGATCAGCGCAAACCCCATGACGACGGTGACCTTCTGTCCACACAGGCCAATCTGGAGGAGCAGATCCGTGACGTGCGTCCGGTGTCCCAGCTTCTCGTCCAGCTCCAGCCGCTTGGCCTCTCGCTCCTGGGCAGACTGTACAACTTCGTGCGCTGCCAAGGCCGAGTTCTTCTGTTGTGTTTGCAAGAGCTTCTGGGCGGCAGCTCCTGTGTAAGAATTTGAACCACGGGACTCTGGTACTTCTCTTCTGTGGCCGCGATTTCTTGTGTTGCTGCCCTCTGTAGAAGAAGAAGTTGATGCACCACTGTGCTGTCGTTCCTGTTGTGCGTCTTGTGAAGAAGAAGTAGATGCGTCTTTGTTCTCTCCTTCCTCCACCTCGAGAAAATTCTGAATCAGATTCGGCACGACCACATACCGCTCCGCATCATTTGTGCCCGATGGTGCCGTGGGGCTTGCACCCGCCGACAGCGGTGTCTCTTCCTCGTCCTCCAGTAACGCCGGCCCGAGCGGTGTGCTCTTCAACGCGAGTTTTTCCTTGTGCTGAGCCCTCTCAGTGTTCTCACTGGTTGTGGCAGCTGGCACTGCAGTTTGTTCCACGCGTTCCTTCTGCAGATACTCGTCCTTGTGCTTACTCTTCGTGCTTTTCCCGAGAAGCGCAGTGACCCAAGATGTACTTGAGGTGTCCTCTACTTCCTCTTGCCTCGCTGCTCCTGCTCCTGGTCCTAGCCGCTCTCCACCAGTTGTAGTGCCTGACACCGCGGCTGTGACGCCCGTGGAAGTCGCAATCGGCGGCTCGTGCGGGGAGGCGGACCACAAAGACGAAGATGACCCTGTGCCGCCGGAGGGCGTACCACTAGACGCGCTCGTTCTCGTGGCCAAAACCGGCACGGCTTTCGTCTCCGGGCCGGGCAGAACCTTCGGCACGCCGGCGATGAACAGGGTGACGCAGAACATCGTATCAAATGTAAAAATGTCTGGGTCTGGAAGCATACGCGATTTGTCACGCAGCTTTTCCATGACCCACGAAGCCTGGAATGCAGGACCTAGCATGACAGATTCTGTGCAATCTCTATCTCTCTCATGCGTATCCTGCATGAGAAACTCCCTCCCGACTTGGTCGAAATTGGGCGGCTTTTGGTTATCATGCAACACAGATTTTTGCATGCTTCAGATTTAGCATGACAAGTTCGCACTCTTCCAGACCCAGACATTTTTACACTTGATACATCGAGCACAGGAGCCAAACGGACAGCGCGGGTTTCCGCAGCAGATTCGACCCGACGAAAAACGCACAGCAGGCCCCGATGGTCTCGAAGCAGGTGGCGATCATGAGGGAAATCGCCGGTTTCACGGGTAGCGTTTCACCCATGTCGGCGAGGACTTGGGGAAACACGTACAAACCACCGTAAAAGACCACGTTGCAGGTGAACAGCGCGAAACAGAGGAAAAACGTCGTCGGGAAGTATTTTGGAGAGATGACCAACAAGAACCGCTGGAGCCAGTCATCTTCCGACTTTTCGATCGCCGGCGGCCCGCCGGTGTCGCCCGTTTGTTCTACTTGCGGATGATAATTTCCAGCACTTCGGGTCGTGGTCGTGTCTTCCACCGCCACAACCGCGTAGCCATTGTCGCCTGCCGCTGCTGGTCCCGCATTTGATGCTCCGGCGGTCATTATATCCCGACGAGACGACGGCATGGCCTTGTCCTCCTCGGGGTCCTTCAGCACGAGCGGGACTCGCCACACGGAATTCGCCGCCTCGTTTCCTGCTTCGGTGACGTTTTCGTCCAGGCTGACCCCGTTTTTCAGCGCCAACGCTTTGCCCTGCTCGCCGCGACGGATTTTACGCAAAAAATTGATCGGCGGGAGAATGGACGAACTCGCCGCCGCAGCGCGGTTGCCACTCCGAATCTTCTCCAGTACTTCCACCGCCTCCGCCGTCCGGTTTTTCCCTTGCAGCCACAGCGCGGACTCCCGCAGCACGTGAAGTCCCCAAATTCCGTAGATGAGGGACGGGATGGCGCCGAAAAGGACGAGAGCGCGCCAATTCAGCTCTTTCATGTCCGGGTCGTTCAGACAAATGAGGGAGATGGAGAACAGTTCGCCGCAAACAAAGTAGGTCGTGCAGAGGGAAGGAACCGCCATACGAATGTGCGCCGGGACCAGTTCGTTCATCAAAGCCACGCCGGACGGTTGCCCGATCCCTGTTATTGTTAAAGAGCAGCTCTTGCTTAACTTGTGTCGTCAAAAATGCTTTATTTCGTTGACACGATGGCAAAACATATTCACGGAAAGCAAAAATGTTGGACCTGTGCGATTTTCAATTAGCCATGCTGCAACAAACAATTTTTTCTGATAAAAATACCAAATGCCACTCCGACGCCCAGTCGAAAGGCAGCCAGGCTGTAAAAGGACCAGGCGAAGACCGACAAGACGGAAAAGACCACGATAAACAGAAACCCGGCTAGCGTCACCACCCGCCGACCGATCGCGTCGCCCAACGTGCCAGAAAGCAGGTTTCCGAGCAGAACACCGATGAACACGACAGAGACGATCCCGCCCCGCTCCGCGGCGTTCAAGTCCCACTCCAAAGACACTGCGCGGATTAACGCGGACAGTAGGAGCAGCTCCGCGCCGTCCGCGAGCCAAATCCCGCCCACGTTGTTCAAAATCTTCACCTGGCCTATCAAATGCAAATATGTCTGGGTCTGGAAGATTCCGAGATTTGTCATGCAGTTTTTCAAGCTTCGCCTGGTCTGGAATGCAGGGCCTAGCATCACAGGTTCTGCAGCCCCTTGGTGATGCCTATTCTGCATGAGAAATGCCCTCTCAACATGGCCAGAAATGGGGACCTTTTGCAAGTCATGCAACACTGATTTTTGTACGATCCGCAACACGCATCACAAGTTCGCATTCTTCCAGACCCAGACATTTTTGCAGTTGATATGGCCCCAGCCAAAACCAAACAGTTCGATCCAGTCGGAGACGTGGAGGCTCAGGGGTATCAAATGTAAAAATGTCTGGGTCTGGAAACTTGTAATGCTAAAAATGAATGATAGACGCACTGCAATACGCAGCTATGCATGACAAATTTCTGGGCTGCCATGTCTTACGTATTCCGCATGGCAAACTGCGTTTTTGCATGACAGGCAAGAAGGCTTTTTCGTGCTTATGCATCACAGATTTCCGAGTCATGCCAGACAAGCATGACAAACTTGCATTCTTCCAGATCCAGACCCAGACATTTTTACATTTCATAAGGGGGGTGCTCGTCTTGCTGGTGCCGGTGTTATTTGTTCCTTTCCGTGCGGATGAGGAATCATTTGTGCGCCCGGACGACGATATCACGTCTTTGGTCGTTGTCAGGTGCAAGTCTGCACCGTCCGAAGACGCATCCAGCTTGCCGCCGGTGGACGACATGAGGTTGACGAATGACCCTTGGTGTTGTCTCTTTCGTTTTATCTGATTCGGCTGGATCGGTCGCTTCTGTAGTTGCCGCAAAGCAACGGAACTACTATGTCCGAACGACTGTAGGGGTAATTTTTTACAGATGAAAACGTTTTCTGGATCACCCTCTCTAGGTAGGTACTTCTGAATAAAACTACGAGGTGGTGATACAATTTATTGTCATGCCGGAATTACGTACAAATACGAAAAAGCGATTTTGTTTTCATGCCCTCAAACGACCTCTACGAAAAGCGGCTTTTGGCTCAAACTTGTTTTGCTCATCTACGCTCACACTTACTTTCTCTCTGATATTGGGCGGCTTTTGCGATAGAAAGACGAGACAAGCTGCAATATCTCTCAACGCTACGAAAGAATTGTGCTGCTACAACCCATCCACAAGTACACACAAGTGCAACCGGTGAAGGAGCAACACCAGGCACAAAAGCGCGCCAGCACTTGCACGGAGTTTCTTCTTCATGTCGACCATCACGGTATTTCTGAATCCTCTCGACTTCACAGCTGTATCAACTCACAGCTCCACGAGCTGTATCCACGATCTGTATCAACTCACAGCTCCTCCTGCTGACACTTGCCACAAGAACCTTTCAGAAGACAACTCATAACACATTTCTAAAGTTTCCTTTACGCCGATTTCTGCCTCTCCTCCGCCTCTTTTCTCTTCTGCTCTTTCATGGCCAACGCCTTCGCCTTGTTCTCCGCGATGCGCTTCTTCTGCTCCTCGGACAAGCTCGTCGTGGTCTGTGGTGCCGGTTGTACGGATGCGACACTCATCTCCCGATTTCCTCCCACCTGTGAAGCAGCTTGTCCTCCATTTTGCGCTCTCTGCTCCATCAGCTCCTTCTTTTTCGCCAGTGCTGCCGCGCGTCTTTCCGCGATGCGCTTTTTCTCCTCCTCCGACAGCTTTGCGTTGGCCGCCTTTGCTATGAATTGCAAACATGTCTGGGAGGTCTGCAATAAACTTGTCATGCTGAATGGTTCTGATTGAGTTTGCCTCTAACTGCAGGGAAGCGAAGACAAATTGAAATTTTTTTCACGCTTTCTCATACACAGCACGCATAAAACAAGCTGCGACTATTTGCATGACGTTGACGAGAGTGAGGCGCGGCTTGCTGCTTATGCAATACAGATTTATTTCAAAGACATGGTTGTAGTTGATATCCGCCTGCTTTTTCTGCTCCTCTTCGAGCTTCTTCTGCGCCCGCAGCGCCCGCTTAGCCGCCATCTCTCTGGCGGTTTCCTCCACAAGCTTGTCACGTGCTGCCTGTTCCTCCGCTTTTCTTGCCTTTTCCTCCGCTTTTCTATGCGCTTCCTCGGAGTCCTTCATCATCTCGTCTTCATCCGCTTTCTTGTTGTCTCGATCATCCGGCGCGTTCAGGTTGTCGTCTCCGTCGTTGCCCTCCTGGTTTGCGCCTGTAATTGTTGTTGTGTGAGGAAGATAAAACATTGCTTCAAAATCGAACAAACGACCCCACAACTTCTCACGATAATAAGGGCGAATACGAAAAGTAAAGTTTCCCTAACTAGTTCTCAGCTCTAGCGAGTACTGTTTGAGTACCTGCCTCCGCCTTGACCCCACTGTTTCCCCACCCACCGTCCACCACCGGCTCGGGCGGTGCGAAGTCCGGATTTTTGTGCACGCACCGGAGATTCCAGGCCAATGGTTTATGCATTTTTACAGGAGTACTATCGCAGACTTTGCTATTACATCACAAATTCATATCAACATTCCAGGAGGAAGAATGAGGTTTCTCGTGCAGGTGGGTTAGGTCAGAAAAAAAATCGGTCAGGCATAAGCAAAAGTGCAATTCCAGTTAGTCGGGCTAGCACGATAAATTAAACTTTTGTGCAGGATACGCTCTGGGCGGCGGCAGCTTCTGTTTTTTTGCCCGGTTGTTTTCGCCGCTTTCCATATGCAGTGTAAAAATGTAAACGTCCGGGTCTGGAATAAAATTGCGAGGTTTGTTTTCATGCAGGTTTCACTTTTACATTTTGACCCAGAGAGGCGGGAGAGCGAAGGACGACGTACCGTAGCGAGGTTCGTCTTCCAGACCCAAACATAATGTTTTTGCACTGCATATTCCATCTGCTCCTCTAATTCGTCGATTGTTGTTTTGGTCAGAATGCTTATCCTATGTAAAAACGGCCCCACTCCAGACTTGTGCAGCTCGTCAACGATGAGAGGTATTTTCTAGTCGTGTTTGGAAAAAATCTGTCATGCGCTCATCCGGATAAGAGACGGGATGTGTGACCCGTCTGGACCAGCAACGCACGACTAGTACACTCCAACGCCAAGTTTGTCATGCGCGAGTCCCAAAACAAGGTTCCGGACCTGGTCTCAACACAATATCCCCCCTTGCCTTTCGCGAGGCCGCGGTGGGCACGTTTTTACAACTTCGGATAGTGTTCTCGCTGTGCCGAATGAAATCCTCTAAATGCAGGTTCTGGTCGCAGGATTTGGCGAACTTTCGGAAATAATCCAAAATCTGGAACAAATCCTCGTACTCGTTGCCCTTCTTACCGAATTCTTTCTTGTTAGCCTCCATCAGCTTGCAGGCACTGATGATCATGTGCGGCGCGTCGTCCCACGCCTGCTCGAATTCTACCCGCTAGTTATCATAGTGAAAAGGTGTGCCGCATCCCCTCCAGAAGAAGTGGAACATATCTTATCAGATCATGCCCAGTTTGCAAATGGAAACTTTTTGTCTTGTGCATCCGATTGCAGGAGCCACGAACCACGCCAAACCTGCTTTTGGAACTTCTTCCGCAGACGGTCAGGCCGCCACCCAGGTAGCGGAGCCAGGCGGACCGAAGCCATCGCTGTCATACATCCTCGGGCGCTCCGAACTTTTTCTCAGGTGAAAAAAAGAATTACGGCGCTCCGGTACTAACTTTTTCTATTGCATCAAAGGACTCGGCAGCTTCATGATTAAGATTCTAGGCGCGCAAAGCACCTATTGACATGCCAAGCTCCACTGTTGCTCAACGCACTCGCAGATTTTTCTACTTATTCTGAATGAAAAACTTGTGCTGATGTTTTTCACCTGCAAGAAAATAGGGAGTGTTTCCATTGAGAATTTTTGCAAGACAATTGCATCCAGGTCCTGGTGTACAGGCACTTTTCCCTTTGATATCAGTACCTCGCTGGCACTTCGCATCGCCAGGAAACCTTTCGTGTTGGTTGTTAGAGGGAAGATGGAGATATATGTAAGATGTAAAAGACACGTCTTGTTGGTGCAAAATTTTCTAATAAGCCAGCACGAAAGGATTATCTGATTCAAATATTTTTGCTGCTACTTCCAAAGAAAACCCAAAATGCGAGTACCTCGAGCTCCTTATTTTCCTTCGGGCAGAAGACTCTCTTCGCGGGCAACCAGGAGGCCTGGGCGTCGGGAGCGAGCTCTTTTTCTTGTGCGTAAGAGACGGACACGCCCTTCGGATTGTAGCTGATATTGTCCTTGTCGCACCCACGTAACGTAAAGTGGATTGCTGTCAGGGATACCTGTAGTTGTTTTGCATTTGATCTAATTGAAGTAACAATTTCTACTTTCATGCTTGTTCTCCTGCGGTCTGACCTTCTTGATCATGGGGGTGCAGCAGCAGCTGTACTACATTCCTTTCATGGATTAAAGGGCCCCCTACGGAAAAATACCCGTTTCCCGATGTCGTAGATGATTTCGTGTGGCTTGGCGTCGTGGGATTTCCAGTAGCACTTGTGTTTCTTGGCTGCCTCTTGCAGGTCGATCGCGGACTTGTTGAAAATTTTTATTTTTGCCTCGTCAATCTTTCTAGGCTCGATCATGAGCGAAGCGAATTCGTTTTTGATCTTCCAGATGCCGTTTTTCGGATCCAGAAACTTTGACCGCTTCAAGGTGGGCATTCTATCCTCCAGAAAAGTACACCAACACTTTCTCAAAAAAATACATACTTACAATTTTTTTTTTTCTAGTTTGGGTGTACTTTCCTTTGGGATACATTTTCCGCTGTGCCTTACGCTTTTTCTCCTCGTTCTTCTTCGCTGCCTGATCTTCGATGTCATTCTCGTCCAAATTGCCAGATAGCAACTTGTTCTCCGACTTGGCCTTGCTGCCGTCTTGCAAATTTGCGGGAGCACTACCGTCGTTGCCGTTGTTCTCACGATGGTCTCCGTCGTTGTTGCCCACCATACCCGACAAATTGCTTTCCTCTTTCACGTTCGGCCTCGCCAGTCCGCCGCCGCCAAACAGACGCACATTGGACGACGACGACGACGCGGACGCGCCGCTCTCCAATAAAAAAAAAACTGTGTTAGTGTAGGTGTCTTCCGGTGACAGCATGAGAAATATGTTCTGCATGGCAGACAAATCCTGTCATGCATTTTTAAAGACTTACACTGCACACAGTTTCCTCGTTGCATAGCCGTTTTGGTTGCTGCTGTACTGCGGCTCCTGTTTCACGTTCCGGTTCCCGTACCCTGCCGTCTGCTCCCGGATCTCGGCCGGAATATAGCCGACGTCGTCGATATTCATGGGGTCGTCGGCCATTTTTTGTTTTGTGATTCTTTGCTGTGTGGAGTTGACTCTTGCGTAGGAGCTGTAAAAAATCTACAGAGGTCGTTCAGTATAAGTATTTTTTGATTCCTTGTTGCACGGCCACTACAAACTTTCCTCCTGTTATTTCAAAGTAGCGTGCGCGTGCGGTCAGACTTCCTATACAGTGGCTTTGTTTGATTTTGCATTTGAATTCCTCAAGCGATAAACCTGTTCAGCCACAGCCGCTTACTCGCTACCATGGTTACTACACCTATCCATGCTCGCAATTTCTAACCACGACAATCTCGTCCGGGCTTTTGTCCTAACTGCTGATACGGGTGCTGCCAGGAGGTCCAGCTGCGAAATGAAACGATGTTCACGATGAGAGAGGCAGAGAACTACCCAGGAACACTCACAAACAAATCACTACACCAGCTGGGCCGCGATGGCGGAAGAACGTCTAAAACCTTGTCGGAGATCGATGTGCTGCGCACCCTCATATTTTTGACATCGAAACTGCTGAATTTCGGTATGTATTACAGCGGTTGAAACCGCCGGAGGAAGTAGAAACAAAGTGAATCGCTTTCAATCCTACATTTACATCCCGCCCGTTCGTTGTGAAGAGAGTAACAACCCGTAGCTTTTCGAGCTCCGCTATTGTTGCAGTTGCTACATCGAGGCACAACAACATTTCATTACTTTTACTTTACAACTTCCTTTGGTACAATCGAAACAAATGCAATTCTCCAAATGAAATCCCAACTTTTGCAGGACTACTACAACGCAGCTTTCGACGCATTCTCTTGCCGAATCCCGGCCTCCTTTCGTATCCCGTCGCCGTAGGACTTGAGGATGATGTAGGTGTACCGCCTGGATCCGTGGTACACACTCGACAACAGGGTTAGGAGCAGCACCGAACCGTGCAAGTACTCCGACTGAAAACACAGCACGGAGAAGGTCCAGCCGGACGCAAAGGTGAGGCAGAGCTGGAGAAATTGGTAAACGAGGAAGTCCGAGTATGGAAGGAAAAGAGATGTTCGTCACACTCAGACTATTTTGCCGGTTTATTTGCATGACATCAAATCTTCCGAAGCATTTTTAGTACAACGACTTCTTCTACTGCTTCTTGTATTTTGCAAACATCACGAGGGAAATCTTTGTGAATCCGTATGAAATTTGAAGACTGTGATGCATTTTGCTGCATAGGTACAGTTCGTGTAGTTTAAGTTTTCTGGTGTACTTAGTAATGCAAGATTGCCGATAAATGATCGCGACGCGGCAAGCTTTTCCTTGATACCTGGTGCCAGACCCAGTCCTGCTGCTCCAGCCGGCGTTGTATCTCCGCTGGGCTTCTTCCGAACAACCGTCCCGTCTTTTTGTGGAAGCCCCCGCGCATATTGTAGTGGAACACGGTTTCGTACACCCCCCTTTGCGGCATCTTCATGCCGTACACCAACATCCAGAGGGAGTAGGGAATCAACCAGAATACGTAGACCACTACGAGGGAAGTGCAGATGTGGAAAGTGGTGATCTTGTCGAAGTAATCCAGCTCAAACATCGTCGGCCACGCCTTCCGCACCGCCTCCGACCGCCAGCGGAGCGTGAAGCACACGAGCGCCGGGAAAAAGTGAATGAAGACGGAATTCAGGTTGTTCACGTCGTGAAAGATCTATTTTTTTTTGCGGATCAAGAATTTTCTTAAGAAAGACAAAGAAAGAGGTTGCGTAGTTTCATAGTTTTGTTTTCTTTTTTCACTACAAAAAAAACTCCAGCAGGAAAAATGACTAGCAAAAGCGCCACTCTGATTCAGAAAAGTCAACGAACAGCTCTATCTACTACGTAAAAATAAGGAGCATTCAGATATCTATACGATGGCGTTTTGTAGCGCAATGACCGCTCCGAGCAGAGGTCCCGTCGCTACCGCCCACGTCACCACGAAGATCTCTTCCCGCGTGGACTTGGACAGAAAGTCCCCGATAATGTTGGCATCGTGCATCCCGTGCTTGTCCAGAGCGAGCAGAAACAGGTACACGAAGCCAGAAAAGTTCATGACCCAACAGAACTCCAGCCACGACGGCGTCTGCTTCGGCCGCGCCTGCTCCATCTTGTACAACCGAAGCGGAAACAAAACACACCCTTCACACACGAACAGCACCCAGAAGTGCTCCGGAAAGGCGCCGAAGGTAAAGGTGATCAGGATCAGGTTGAGCACCCCCAGGGCGAAGAACACTTCCGTCAACCCGTCCTCTCGCCGCTTGTCCGCGATCCTGTCGACGACGGTCAGTACCTTCTCAATGGCCTCCTGCTCGACGTTGTTATAAACGGTGACACTCCGGTTCCCAAGTTCGTGCAACGGGATGGGATGCTCGGCATCGGGCGTGTGCGAGTCTTGCTGCTCGTAATGTCGCTGGGCGTCGAGGATGTGCTGCTCTTGGTCGATCCGCTCGTAAGAACCGCCAGTCAGAGCCGTCTTGCTCGTCGCAGAGGCCATGATGTTGATGTATTTCTATCCAAATTAAAAGTGAAAACGAACCCGAAGCAAGCAGATCATGAAAAAAATCCCGAAGCAAGCAATTTGTAGTATTGTGTTGCTGGCTCTTCTCTTTTTGCGAAAAAAAGACCGCACTGGAGAATGCTGTATTTGTGAGTCAGTTTTCGAGAACGGATGCTGTTTTGCCGACGCAAGTGCCAGCAAGTAGACATTTCTCCTACATCAACAGGAAATACTTACAACACGCGGTCTGTTTTGCGGTCCACTTTTCGACCCGGCTTTTTTTCTCGACCACAAAATTTATTACCGACAAAAGACGATAACACGTTGCTTTCCAGCGATGAAGCAGGTGAACATTCGAAGTTGAAAATGAACCTCCTACGATAGTACGATGAAATCACGACGGCAAAAATGTGGGAAGAACTGGTGGCGAAGGGTCACGACGACGAAATGTCAACGTCTCATCTACCTCGAGATCTAGACATCAACCAGAAGTTTAGTACAAAACAGAACCAAGCTATTCGCGCATTCAAAGGGGCCGCGGCCATTCCAAATGCCCTTGCGCATTTGCACGACAAGCATTGCTTATTTGTTGCTTCTATTTTTATCCCATATTCAAGAAGCGTAGATCCGCTCAACGAAGTTCATGGGTCCCTGCCGGCGCAGCGCCCAGCCATCTACCGGAATCTCCTTCGTTCTAACGACTTTCTGACTGCTGGGTGTAGATGACGCATTGGTGATGTTGAACAGAGATGAGGATCCAGCGCTTGTTGTTCTCAGACCTCCTGCTCCTGTGCCTCTCCCCTCTTCCTCCTCGTCAACCTCTAGCTGCCCCTCGTCGGTCAGTATCAAATGCAAAAATGTCTGGGTCTGGAAGATTGCTAGGTTTCTTTGTCATGCAGGTTTATTATGACCCACGCGTTCTGGCATGCACGGCCTAGCATGACAGGTTCTGTGAGATCTCTATCATGCCTTGCCTGCATGAGAAACTGCCTCTGAACTTGTTCAAAAGTGGAGCTCTTTTGGTAATCATGCAACACAATTTTTTCCACGATCCAGATTTAGCATGACAAGTTACGCTCTTCCAGACCCAGACGTATTTGCAATGCATAGTCAGCACCACGGTGCACCAAGTCCGGATGTTCACCCACTCACCCAGTACTGCGAAAACGTATCATTTGTAAAAACGTCCCCCCCAGAGTTGTAATGCAAATCTGCATGCATAAAATGTTTCTCATGCGGAGCCCGATGAGAAGCAGTTTCTAGTCGTGTTTTGAAATTTGTCATGCTCAAACCAGCGCGCTAAGCTAGATCTGTGATGCTTCTGCAGTAGCTAAACGCGAGTACACTACGAGGCCACGCTTGTCATGCGCAACAGCCTAAGCTGGTCGATTTGTCTGGCAAACTTCCCATCTTGACTCTGGGCTGGGGACGTATTTACACGTGATAAAACGTCGTACGTCTTCCCCTCTTCCAGCACCATCAGCTCTTTAGAGGCGACTTTCGGCTTTTCCCGCAGTCGCAAGGGTACCAAAGTCCGCACCTGATAGAGGTGAACAACCGGAGGCACTGGTGAACTACCAGCTCCAAAACTTGCCGCGGTCCCCCCCGCTGTTTCGCCAGCCCCGCTCGCAACTCCCGTTCTGGCTGCCGCAGATCTGTTGTTCCTAACTGCGGCGAAGCTTGCCTTCGGGAAGAATTTCTTCGAAAAATCCACAAACCGGCAAAACTGCCCCGACGTTTCCGTCGTGATCTCCTCCCAGACAGAATCCACAAACTCCTCACTGCACCCGCACTTCACGTGAAAACCGTAGGCGAACTCCTCGAAGCAAAGCACGTTGTCAGTGTCCAAATCGAAGGCGCGGAACGCCGTCAGGGGCACGTGGTACCGCTCGCGGAGCTTCAGCCGGATTAAAGGTAGTTGCTGCTCCACGGTCAAATACAGTTGACTGTCGCTCCAATCTTTCTCGAACTCTTTGCTTGTTGTTCCACCTTCTCGCGCTGTTTGCGCAGTCGTTGCCGTTGGGTCGGCGGCAGCAGGGTCTGCTGCGACAGATAGGGCTTCGTCGTCTCGAGTAGCTGTAGCTGAAGATGTAAAAATGTTACCCATGTCAATGTTCGGATCAGAATGTTAGGTTTAGTCATGATGTAGAGGTAGACCTAGAGGCACATGAGTTTGCATCAAAATTAATCACATTTTGCGAAAGTAAAGCTCGCTGACTTCAACCAAAAACACCTTCGTACCGATTTTTTCGTTTTCCCCCGCAGCAATCACACTTTCCTCGCCTGCTTCGTTACTCCCAGACTCCGCATTATTTCCAGCGCTGACGACGGTTCCTTTGGACTCATTCGTAGACTTCGACAAATGCGCCCAGCAACTCCGCAACTCCGCCCATACCTCCGCGTTCGTCCGCGGCAGGGGTTTTCTTTCGGAGGTAACTTGCAGCTGCTCTCTTCTCGCAGACAGTGGCTGTTTCGCCGAGACTTTCCCGATGCTTGCAGCCCTTGCGCCACGACTCTGCAATTCCTTTGTCACGGTGGTAGGATTTGATGAAGAAGTTGTAACGCCGAATTTATTCGCCACTGCTGTAGTCGCGCGAGAAGAGGAGGACACGCTCTTTGGTCTTGCTTGTCCGGAAGTAGATGAACGGCTGTTCCCCATCGGAGCGAGCTGCGCAGAGCCCGGTCTGGAAAAAGTAGTAGTTGTCCCAGCTCGATGAATCTCGCTTCTTACACTGTCCTTGCTGTTTGACTTGTGCGTCAGGACTTCTACACTGCTCTTCGAGGTCCTTCTCGTGGTCATCTCAACATCCACCCATTTGGGCTGCACGCCATCCTCGGACTTCTCCCCAATGATTTCTGACGATTGAGATGCGTCGACGCCTTTGTATTCGTTGATCGTGTCCCCCGCCCGCGTGCTCTTCAGCATCCAGGACAGCGCGCCCTGGCCCCACTCGTCCGAGGTGCGGGTGGGGGAGGCGGGTCGTGGCGTCTTCGCTCCGAGCGGCGCGAGCTGCGTCTTCGCTCTTTCCGACGGGGAAAGTGGGCGGGAGTTTTTAGCATCAGATGAACCACCAGACGTTTCCTCAACATGATCTTCGTCGAGTGGTGAGTTTCTTGTTCCACCAGTCTGGTGCTTCGAGGAGTTTACAGACTTAGATTCTACTCCCATAGGACCCTCCTTCTTCCTCCTCTTCTTCTGCGCTTTATTTCGCTTTTCTTCTTGTAAGAACAGCTGAGTCTGCTCCACCGTCGCCTCGTACAACGCAGGTAAATACTCCTCCACCGTCTCCGACGCAGATGACAACTTTTCCTCCTCCGTCAGCGCATGCCCCAGCAGCTCTTTTCGCCGCCGAATTTCGCGCTTTTTCTCCTCCTCTACCTCTTTGAGCAGCTGGTTCTTGCGCTCCATCTTCCTCGCGCGCTCCACCAGCGCGCTGCACCGGGCAACCGTCTTCCCGGCGACACCCGGCTCCATGTAGTAGTTGTCATGTGGATGTGCTGGTGGGCCGAGCATTTGATTAAAAGAAGCAGCGGACTGCGGCCTGCCTGGAGTTGTTCTCGTCTTCCGGAAATCGATCGTGGTTCTCGCACTCGAACCACCAGCACCTGCAGCGTCCCCGCTGCCGCCCGCAAAGTCCGCTTGTACAACCATACTCGCCTTTTTTCCCCTCGGGTTGTGCTGAAACGGGAGAGTTTCTGCCCAAGCGGAAGCACAGCCACCCATACTCGTGTCCACCACCTTCCGACCGAGGACCGGGCGGGAAACGCCCGCTGCGGATCGCGGGGTGGTGATAGGCTTAATTGTACTATGAGCAGCACCTCTAGCAGAAGATGTACCTGTACCTGCCGTAGTTCCTTTCCGCGCTCCTGTGGTTGTACCTCCACCACTTCCACTGCGTTCCCGCACCTCGTCCCGTCTTGGCGGGCTCTTCCCCCGATTTTCCTCTTCCCGTCGCTTCTTTCTTTCCAGATCCTGCACCCTTTTTTCCAGCTCGGTCAGAATTTTCACGTTGTCGTCGTGGATCGACAAAAGCCACTCGTGCTCGCGCACTAATTCCTCCCGGTTCAGAACCTCGTCCGATTCCTGAATCAGCTCGTCGATCTCGCCAACGCTCGTGTAGAAAAGCGTAGTGTCCTTCGAAGTGGTGGACTGCTTTGACTTGGAGTAGAGATGTTGAGTAAATTGCCGACTCGTACTAGTATGATGCGAGTTTTCAAAGGAATAATTTTGATCATCGTCAAAACTTGTTGCTTTAGAAGATTCAAAAGCCGACGGCGCTCTCGGTGCTCTCGAGGAAGTGGACGCAGAGGCCCGGCCTCGCGCATTCGCTGTTTGCGGTCGTCTCGTCGTAGTTGCAAAAGATGGCCCGCCAGGACCCGCACGCGAGCGGGCCGCGACAGGAAGTTTTGATCCATCATACAGCTCCCGTTCCCCTGCACGAGCTGGTGCTGCACCAGCGCTTACCACTTTTGCGGACTGCGGGCGGCGCGTGGTGGATGAGGAAGCTGCAGGTCTCATTGTTCTCCTCTCCTCGTGGAACTCTTCGTCTGCACCATTGGAGGACGACAACAAACTTCCACCCCCTGTAATTTGATGCCGCGATCTGGTCGTGCCTGGTCGCGAAGATGCAGCAGCTCCCCCCGTGGTTATAATAGTACCTCCTCCTGTATCAAATGTAAAAATGTCTGAGTCTGGAAGATTCTGACACTTGCCATGCACGTTTTGCATGAGCCATGATGTCTGTAATGCATCCCCTAGCAATACAGATTTTTTGAGGGCTTCTTGATGCGTATTCCGCATGACAAATGCCTTCTCAGCGTAGCAAAAACTGCCTTTCTTTTGGTACTCATGCAATACAGATTTTTTTAGAATCCAAAATCAGCATGACAAGTTGGATTCTTCCAGACCCAGACATTTTTACATTTGATATCCTGCTCCGAGCGCATCCAACTTCTTGTCGACCACGTCCTTGACATATGAAAGTGCACAACAACTCCCCCTCGCCCTCATTTGTCATGCAAAATACCCAATCCGCCCTCTGTATCTTGGCACTCTTTGCATGACAAGTTCTGCTAGCTCAAATAGCACTGCACTCCAGTGCAAGTTTGTCATGCAAAACCGACACTCTTGCTGATGCTTGTATTGCCGTTAATGCAATACAAATGAGGGGGAGGGGGACTTGTGCGCTGTCATATGACAGACGCCAGCAGCTCCCGCCTGCGCTTCGTCGGCGACGGGCTTCTGGACAATATCAAATGCAAAAATGTCTGGGTCTGGAAGGTTGGAGCTTGTCATGCGCATTTCGGAACACGCAAAAATCTCTCATGCATAGGTAGCAAAAGCTGCTCACTTTCTGTCACCAAAGTGGGGGATTTGTCATGCGGGTTCGGCATTGCGGAAGCTTCTCGAAACCTGTGATGCTAGAGCTTCCATGCCAGACCTTCTGTGTCATGCAGAAACAGCATGACTCTTCCAGACCCAGACATATTTGCGGTTGATAGACGAGTACTTCTCGCGATTCGCTATCGCCGCGAGCTGGTTCGCGATCGCCGATGGCTTCTTGCTTTCTTCGTACAGCCTGCGCGTCTTCGACGTTACCACCGACGTCGTCGCGGCATGATTCGACGTGGCACCGGTTGTAGTAGTAGATTTTTGCTTCATCAAGTACTGCTCGTTCGCAGCCTCGTAGTAGTCGGACGAGAAATCTTCATCCTCTCCCCCGGACGTCGTCGTGGCCTTGCTCCGCGCGTGGATCCCGTCCGCCAACCGGAGTGGGCTCGCGAGCAGGAACCCGTCGGGGTTGCTTTGCTCGTAGTCGGCCTGTGCGCAGGTGATCAGGGGGATGGCGCTAGCAGGTGTCCTCGAGGCAGGATTCTCGATGTCAGCGGCGAGGACGTGTTGAGTGGATAAAGGACCAGCAGCGGAAGTAGATCTTGTAGCCGCAATTGCCTTCTCCACATGAGGATCATATCCCGGCGGCGGTGCTTGGGCGAAGCGCAACCGCACCTGGATCGCATTTTCGATGGAGAACTGATCTTCTATCCCTGTGTTTTTACTACCTCCCCGACCTCCTTTTGGCAACGGTAGGGTGACCCATTTCCCCCTTTTCTGCAGGTCGTACGCCACATTCTCGTGCCACAGCATACTCTGCTCGTTGATGTTGTTGCAGGCGCGGTCAAAGCCGGACCAGACCATCACATGCAGATCCCGACTGCCGACGAGGAGGGGGAGATTCGCGTTTTCGGAGAATTTCTCGTTTTGGTAGCGAAGAGTCTTCACCCCGCGGCCCCATTTCAAAAGGACGAGGGACGTCGGTGGCTCCACCTCGATCGCGATGAGCCACATGGTATTTTTACTGTGTCTTGAAGAACGGTGGGACAACTACAACAAAAAGCGAATGATCATTCTAGTAGCTTATGGAAGACCAGAACCGCGCTACGCACTAACAACACGCTGCGCCCAAAACTAACACTGCGAAGATGTTGACCGTGGGGTATCCATCTCTCAAAAAGGTGAGAGAAAGCGTAAACTTAAATAGTTGCCATGCACTTTGCAGCAAAACGAAACCACTCACGCTTCGCCCTCGTTGCTTCCCGCTTCGATGTAGCCAACTTTGGTTTCACCGCTCGAAACTGCGTTGTCTCTCTTGCCGTGAAAAGCTTGATGCGGCTAAATTGTTCATTCGAGCAGATAAACCTGAAGACGATGGAAGACTACGCTTTGAAAAAAACGAAAAAAAGAAGATAGTACACGCTTATCCATATTCCGGTCCTGCTCCCGTAGCCATTTCGGCTACCATCAAGCGTCGTTCTTCAGTCGCGCCTTTCGTCTCTTCAAGAAAGTTTATTGTTATTCACAGGTTGTGTACAATACATTTTTCAGAGTCGTCAGTTCTGCAGTGCAAACAGTGGCAGCTGTGGTCCGAAACTGCCACAATTGTGAGAAACTTGAAACCATACGACCTGCGTCTGCTGATCAGGACGCCTGATTGTACTAATGTTCGACTAGAAACTTCAACCATGACTCCGTAAAACAAACATCTGAGTAAAATTCTTTGCTATCTTTATTGTCTTTTTAGTTTACTGAGATAGAGATTTTTCTGTCTGATTCTCATGCCAACAAATTTGCCGTAGGGTAGCTACCTTCTTTCATGCCCCAGTTTTGTTCTGAACCTGGCACAGGCCGAAGCGCAAGCGCATACATAGGTCCACTTCCGACGCATGATGTACACCCTTTGTCTGAATTACACATAAAATTCTGTCTGTCTGCAGGAGGAGCGTGAGCAACTCCCGCACTCCCACTCTGATTCTGTCTCAAAATGAGAGTTCTATTCTGTCTGAAAATTTCTCAAATCGCTAAGTTTGGTACTGGTACATCGTGACTAGATTAATTTCTTCCGAGTGTTATTTTTTGCTCCTGTAGACGACAAGTAGTCGCGTCTGCTGGTGCAACTGCAATGAAGTATTCGCTATGCACAGGAGAATTCCGCATGCGAATTATTGGAATTAAATTTGTCTGCTTGTCTACTGCTTGATAGAAGATTAGATTTCATTCACAGGTCCTTTCTCGTCAAGGAATATTACACCTGGTGTATGTTCGTTAGGTGTCTGCCCCGAAACGGCCCCAGTCGGAGGTGTTGAGGAATAAAAATCATTTTACAGTTGCATTTTCGTTTGTTCATTGCAACTTCTAGAAGTTCGTTGATGTGCTTCTACGGAAGCGAAGAGGAGCGCTGTGTTCTTGACAGCAAGGTTGTAGAGCCATCAACATCACTCAAATAAACCCGTGGTCTACCACACCTCACATCTGCTCCGGATCACTGTAGCTGACCTGCGCCGGTGGATCGTCGCCTCCGTCGGGATCCCGTGCCTGATCAGACACCACCTTCCCATAGATCCGCATTTGCTGCTGCTTCCGGAGTAGTGCCGGCGAGTCGTTCCCGTGCGACTCCGCCATGGACTGGAAGTCGTTCGGGGGGATGTAGTTGGCGCCCAGTTTGTCCTCGCTCCACTCCTGCAGTCTGACGTGATTGCCGAGAATCCGCTTTCCGTTCAACAAGACCGACTCCGCGTCCAGCCTATCGTACTCATCCGGCTCCAAAATCCTCGCGGACACCGGGATCTTCACCACGTGCGCCTTACACCTCGCCTCGATGACTTGCAGAATTTTCGCGGAATGGTGCGCCCACAGCTCGATTGTCACGTTCATGGCCAAACCCGGCGCGACGCTCTTCGGAACGTAGTTGACCTTCACATACTCACTCGTTCCCTGGACTAGTTTCACGTTGAACCGTGTTTGTTCGCAATCGAGGTTCTTCAACTGCAACGTTATCTGGTACACGCCGCCCCTCCGCAGCAACCCAAACCGGACGTGCCCGGGAACCGCGTCGACCAGTTTGTTCTGGTCGCCCAGGCCCTGCAGCGTGGCGGACAGCTCCCACTTGATGTCCGTACTTCTGTCCTCCGTCTTCAGCTCCGTGATGGCGCCCTTCGCCCGTGGCAGGGTCTGCTTCGGGTCGCCGGTCAGCAAGTGGTTGCCGGATTTCAGAACCTGCTGCACCGACGGGGCTTCGAGCGCGTTTTTCTTGTTCACGACGGAGGAGGTTCTCGTCCGTCGATCCGTCGGCCCCTCCACCTGCAGATACCGATCGTTGACAGACACGAACGCCTGCGAGATCGCCTTCCCCGCCATTCGTTTGTTCCCGTAGATGTCCCAGTGGGGGCCCTTCTTGTCCGGATGCGGCCCGACGGGGGAGGACGGTCGCGATGGTCGCCGGTCTTCTGGGGGGTTGGGATAAAAGGTGTCGTCGCCCAGCTCGGACTTTACCATCTGCCCGTTTCCTCCACCGGCTGCATTCGGCGACCCGCCAGTCATCTGCTGTTCCTTCTGCGTCGCCTCTTGCTCGGCGCGCTGTTGCCTGATTTTCATGGTATAAGGATCGTTGATCTTTTGCTGATGGTTTTCAACAACTGCATGGGGGGCGAGGAACTCGAACTGGAACTTCAACTTGACCGCATTGATACAACTAGAAAACTGCTGTATATGTATCATCTCATGCACATCACAACCACATGTTCTTGAAAAGAAGTTATCATAGTTTATACTCTTCTGCCGCTTGCGTTTCCAGTCCGCGTTCATAGCCGTAGTCGAATTCCGCATGAGAATTCTCGAACAGTTCCGCGGTGTCGAGATACGCGTCTGGCTCCTCGTACACTAATGGAGGCTGCCATATTGACCTGGCATGGGTCGTGTAGGTTAGCAGCGATTTTTACTTACTCTACTTTCCATCGTGCACAAACAGGTGCATGTGCAAGGGGGCCGCTTATATGAACATGATGTACGACGAGCTGCAACTGACACTAAACACCAAAAAATAGTACTTGATTTTTTGGTCCAGATCCAGATCCGGCATTTTGGGTTTGTGATTTATGAGCGTTCGTGCGTCTGGATCCAGTTTCCCGGTGTCCAGCAAGAATTTCAGACCCTGTTGGCTCTCGAAGTACTTGAAGTTCAAGCCCAAGTCGACGTGCGTCGGCGGTTTGCGGTTCAGCGCTTTTTCCTCCTCCGAGAGCTCCACTTTCTTCAAGCTAGGATCGACTGGCGGGGTAACCGGCCGATTGCGTTTTCTTTCCTCCTCGGCGCGCAATGCGGCGACCTCCTTCTTCGCCTTCTTGGCGCGCATCGAGCTCTGTGTTTTTGTTTCAATTAATACGCATTTAGTTTTTACCACACACAGAACGTCGCTCTTGCAATACAAACAAATCAATACAACTATCACTCCCTTTAATCCTCAAATACCTGTATTCTCGTGGCCATGACATCGGGTCTTTTGTCAATGACGTCCCGGTAGAGCTCCTCTGGTGTGATGCGTTTCGCTTCTTTTGCGCGGCAGGTGATGACTTTCTCGACGAGCTCGTCGACGCTGTAGGGCGGACCTGTCGAGGAGGAGGACATTTTTTTTTAACTCCGATTTAGCTTTTAGCAACAGATGGATGAACTAAGTATTGCTATCCCTGGAAGTTCGCAGCCACGACCCTAAGCAGTAATTATGTGACTCAGCCAACCCAGAAGCAAGCGCATGAATCAGTGTTCTACTGCAGCAGCACGAATAAAGCGCGCAATTCATTGGTCTCCTCGTCGGTCTCACGCCACACCAGCGCGCTCAAGACAGCACGGGTCGCACACCTCTAATTCTAGGCGCGGCTCGGAAAGAACGTGAACGAAAAACCACGTTTATGACCTCACTACATACAACTCAAGGTCGTGAAGCTGCGTTTATTTTCGCCGTTGCACTTCTAAAACTAGCTCGTAATACAAGCCCAGCACCGTCACTCATTCGCTAAAATGTGTCATGCTCGTCCCTGAACAGGCAAAGTACCGGCGTAGGGCTCTTCTGGTGGCTCCTCCGGCTCCTCCGCCTTCTTGCCCTTCTTGCCTGCGTATGAAATAAGTGTGCATTAAACAAAAGAATACGGCGTAGAAACTTAAAACTGTTTACAGTATTTTCTACTCTACTAGTACCAAGTAAGGGTTTAGGATTAGGAGAACTTTGTTGTCTGTACTTGGTGTTGTATTCAAACTGCAGCAGCAGCAGTATCAACACTGACACCATACTTGTATTTGTCTACTTATTGTTCTCATTCTTCTCTCAGTGCTGAGAGCTACGTGCACAGGAGATGGATATGAAAATCTACGTAAAAAAGCTCGCTCGTCGCTGAGCGTTAAAGTGCAAAAAAAACTCTAAAGCCTATCACAAGTGTGATCAGGCCCCTGGCTACATCGACTCTTCGCATTCTTTCATATCAACTTCTTGCCGTTGAAAAAAACGTCAAATCTGTGCGCTTGGAATTCTGTCCAATGCGCAACAGAGCGATATTGGTTTCTCTATCTGTGCGATGATGTCTTTCTTGTCTCTGTGTCTGTCTGGCCCTTCTACTAGCAGATACTACTACTAGTAAATTCCATGATCAACACGTTGAGTATCTATTCTGTCTTCCATGCAGCAACTGTGTCTATTTCCTTTCGTATTGAATCAATCGTTGAAACTTCTAGATACGCATCAAAACTTTTTCCACGAACTACTCTCCTTCTTTTGCTTCCGGTATGCGATGAACGCAACACCAGCTAAAAACGACTAAGTACAAATCAAACATATGAAAAGCAGCATATATTATCGCGCACCGTCGGGCTTCTTCTTTTTCTTCGCTTCCTTCGCTTTTCTTTCCGCTTCCTTTCGCTGCAATTCTGCCCAAACCGCACTGTGCTCGTATTCCCAGCGGTGGTAATTGTTCTTCGCCACCAGAAAGTCTGCTTTTCGCTGGTCGGTTATCTGGTTTTTTTCATTCGTCTTGGACGAGGTCAAAAATATTTATGCCCAACATCAAGCGTTACTAGTGTAAGCATGCAAGAACGCATCTTCGCAAATCAGTACAAAAACCACGGAAAGAGCAAACCCTTCTTCCTCTACCTGCGGATATTCGATGAATTGCGAGAAGGTTGTGAACTCGGGTATCGCGGCGGCCTTTTCTATTGGCAAGTCCAGGATTGCCATGGGGGAATAGATCCCGCGCACGCAGTTGGGGAGTTGTATGGTTTCGTGGTAGGGTAAACACCTTGGCATCGCCGGGACCAGCCTGTAGATCGTGTTGGACCGGCACCCGTCCAATGGGTAGGTGAGTTTCTCATCCCTGACGCACACCGCCGCATCGTCGTCCTTCACCGCATTGAACGCGCTGTCGACGGACGCCCGCTCGACCAGCTCCTCCGCTTCGCCGTCACTGTAGACCACGAACAATCGGGCGGCGGGGCAAGTTGGGGGCACGGGTAAAAACGCCGCGTCTGGGTGGCAGTACTGCTTCATGGCGACTTCGCATTTCGGCTGTTCAAAAGTCCCATCCTCGTTCATGCTGACCGCCAGCTGGAAATCGACGGTCTGGTCGGATTTCAGGTATCAAAAGGAAAAATCCCCCCTCCCCATATCGAAAATGAAACTTGTGATGCGGTATTTGAGTACACAAGTCGCCTTGTATTGCTAGAAGGCCAAGAGACGCAGTTGCGGCCTCGTTTGCAGGCAATTTGTCATGCTGTTTTTTGCTTCCAGCTGCCTCCTGTCATCCTGAAGACGCAAGGCTTTCCCACGCAGCCCAGCACTACAGTCCGCATCTTTTCCCTTCTAGCATGACAAGGCTGATTTGTGACCACAAATCTGCATCACAGATTTCCGTTTTGATATGCGGTGGGGGCATTTTTCATTTTGATATCAGGTAGAATTTGTTCCTTTCCCTGTCCATCAATTTCAATTCGACCTTGTTCACCAAATTGCACGTGTAGTAGCCCTCCGCTTCTTCCGCCTGCGCTTTCAAAAGGGCCTCCTCCCCCTGCTCAGCTATGTCACTGGCGGTGAAGACGTCGATTTGCCCCAGACCGTTGGAACGGAGGATGGAGCCGGAATGCTGTCGGTGTTTAATTCAGTCAGAATGAGTCGGAGACGGAGTCACCGTATTGCTATTGTCAAGATTCGCTCTAGTACTATACTGTAATCTTCGCAACCCAAAACATGATAACAACGTAATTCTAAAAACATGCATACCGCATGTTTAAACACGCAGGTCGAGTGCGTCGCCACCCGGTCAATCGGGCAGGGCACTAGTTGCCCCTCCGGATGCAGTTCCTTCGGCGCCACCTCAAATAAGCTCCCGTCGCTGAGGAACACCTTCACCGTCGTGTTTGCCTGTAAAGAACTCGTATCCTGGGTCGCGATGATTTTCGGCATGACGTCGGGCTTCTCCACGATCACTTCCTCGCCGACGTCTGCGTGCTGCCAGGTGATGACTGTCGCGTCCTTCGTGATTATCCGTCTCTGCGTGTGGTCCTCGGACTCTATCACCATCAAGCCGTTGGCCGCCGTGGTGACCCAGTAGCCGGTGTGGGGATCTTGCTGGGTCACGGTGGAAACGGGTTTCAGTGGGTATTCCACCTTCTCGCCGTCGTCTACCAGAAGTAAGCCCCGTTCTTCCAAAACGGTCCTCAGTGTTCTCTCCGGTATTACCGTCCCGATCTCCTCGCCGTCCGCCGGGGGTATCAACTGCAAAAATGTCTGGGTCTGGAAGGATGCAAGGTTTGTCATGCACATTTTGCATGACTCCTGATGCCTGTGATGCATGCTTTAGCATCACAGATTTTGTGAGGGCTTCCTGATGCCTATACCGCATGAGAAATGCCCTCTCGCCGTGACAAAAACGGGACCTCTTGTTTTGCTGTTCATGCAATACAGATTTTTGTAGAATCCAAATTCAGCATCACAAGTTCCAATCTTCCCAGAGCCAGACAGATTTGCAATGCATACGGGGGGCTTCTTCCTCATTCTCCGCCGGACTGGGCTCGGGCGGCGGAAGCAGGGAAGCGTCCACGCGGCCCACCTGGTATGTCGTTGAAATTTCCAACTTCGTGAAAAATGTACTTTTTGTCATGCATACCCGAGCGTCATGCTTTACCTGACGAAATAATAAATAACAAGCGATACTCTGATCAAAATGTTATGATTCAAAATCGTTACTGCGCTTGAAGATTTTGTCATGCAGAAACACAATCAAGAGCGATATTACTCTTGTCCCGTCCAACTTCGTGACCACCCAGTGACCTGGAAGCCCGGCTTGCAGATTGTTCTCGTCCGTCAGATCTAGACTACCGTACGCGAGCTGTAGGTGTGCGAGCCACTCCGAGCCGTTCACTGGGACGCGGGCTGGGGGTGTGATAGGAGAAATGTAGTGCTGTAGTTTTCCTTCTTCATGAAGCGTAAGAAAAGCAAGAACGACAACTTCTAATGTATACTACAACCTCCCATCAACATTTGCACAACCATGCAAGTACAACACGACGTCGGCCCTCCAATAACGATGTTCTTGAAAAAACAGCAATACAAAGTTCTTCCGCCGTCGGATTTCGGAACGCTATCGTGCCGTCGGGGTAGTACAATTCCGTTCGACCGCTCGTCAAAAACCTTATCAGCGTTCCGTCTGGCTGCACGCGGCGACTTAACTCCAAATCTTCCATTTGCCCGGCCTCGTAGTAGCTGGCGTCGCTGCCGGCGACGACGGAAGAACTGGAGGACGAGGCCTTGCTGTTCCCGGTGAGGCTGGAGGACGGCCAGTGGACGAAGCAGGACCCGTCCGGGTTGATTTCCACCTTCTGGCTGTCCTCCAGCGTGTACGTCATCATGCTGGGGCGGTGCGAGAACTCAAACCCGACCTGCTCGTCGGTCAGGTCCGCGACGGGGGGAAACTCCAGGAGATTGGGCTTTTCGGCCGGCTCTATTGAGAGGAAAAGTTCCCCCTTCCGATATTGAAGAGGTATGTTTCCAAAGTTTTGTTTTGCGGATTTGAATCGCATCTGTCTTGCAAGAAGACAAGGGCAGAAGCTTCCGCCCCATTATGGATGCGCTTTGTCATGCTGTTGGGCCTAAAGGGGGGCCGTTTGCCATGCTGAACTACTAGACCCATACGCCCCTACCTAGCCTGGGGATCTGGCCGCAGTGCCTCTCTGCAATACAAAGGTGATTTGTGGTCACAAATCAGCATCACAAATTTCCGTTTTGATATGGGGAGGGGGATTTTTCATTTTGATAGGCTCCGTGCCGTCGTCTGCGGGCTGTCCTCCGGGGAAGCAGAGCGCGTGGCACTCCTCCACCATCTGCTGTGATAAAACATTGGACTTGCTCGTTTCCATTGATACCGCGACTCTCGTCTGCGACCCCGAGTACGCGACCGCGAGCTCGCCGTAGCAAACCTGCTCGGTTCTCTCCTTCATCACCGCAAATTCGGTGACCGGGTACTCCTCTGGGGGCTCCTCCGTTTCCACCGCGCGGTTGGCTGCGTCCTGCTGGGCGTCCGCCTCGCTTAAAATCTCCAGCAGCTTCGGTTTTCGCGCTTCAAATTCGGCGTTCCCCTTCACTTGGAGGAAAACCCCGTCCTTCGTGACCCGGTGCGTTTTTGACTGGAAGACGGAATTTTCCGCGGAGAAAATCTCTTTCTCCGCCCCTGGGGGCGTGTTCCGCTGGCTCTTCCCTCTCCGGCAGTCCGAAAAGCTGATGAGAGAGCCGTCCTATCAAGTGCAAAAGTGTCTGGGTCTGGAGGAATGCAACTTGTGATGCTGCATTTCAATGTCTAAAAAATTTGTGTTGCATGAGCAGCAAAAGGATTCTAAATCTTTGCTACGCGGAGAGGGCATTTGTCATGCGGAATAGGCATCAAGAATCCCTCAAAAAACCTGTGATGCTAGGGCATGCATCACGGACATCATGGCTAATGCAAACCGTGCATGACAAGTGTCCGAATCTTCCAGACCCAGACACTTTTGCATTTGATACGTCCGCGGGGAGCACGATCTTCTCGGATTCTTCCAGCTGCCCGTATGACCTGCTCAAACGTTACAATCTCAAACGTTACAATAGAGCCTGGGATTTGTCTTGCATAATAAGCATGCCAGACTCGCAGACCATTCCACTTTCTGCAACACAAATTTCGGCAGATTGTAGTGCGGTTTGGGACTCCGGAACTTGTCATGCGCAGTCCTATGAGACTTGGCTAGATCATGCCCTTCTTGCATCACAGATTTCCAAATTCTATTGTAACGTTTGAGATTGTAACGTTTGAGAAGGTCATAGCCCGAACGCGTCCTCGTCGAGGTTTCAAAGTGAAAAAGGTCCCCACCCCATGGAAAAAAGAAATTTGTGTTGCTGGATTTCTGTACACAAATCAGCGTTGTATTGCAGCAGGCGCTTGGAGGCACTTCCTAAGCCTGATTGGGTACTTACGTAACAGGCTAGCAGTTAGGCATGGCAGACAGCTTTGCAGTATGCAAAAGCGCATCACAGAATGGCCGTGGAAGGCACCACACGGCTCCCATTTGCCCCATATGCAAGACAGAGCTGACTTGTGGTCACAAATCAGCAACACAAATATCCTTTTCGATATGGGGAGGGGGGATTTTTCCTCACAATACGAGGTTTCCAAAAACCTCGATCAGTTTCACCAGTTCCCTGCACTGCGCGTCGTAGAAATCTTTCTCAGCAAGTAGTCTCGCTTCAATTTTCCTGAACACTGCCTCCTCTTCGGGCGTTCGCTTTTTCTCCACCGGCTCTTCTACCAGGCCCTTCTTCTTTTTTGATGGGTTCGCGTCTGGCGGCGGCGGCGGGTTCCGGTGCAAATTCAGCTTCGCGGTCGCCTGCTTCGCGCTTTCCTGGGCTTCCCGCAGCGCCTGGGCGCTGGAGGCTTTGGAGGTGAGATTTCTGGCGTCCACCCACCGGTGCCACGTGCTGCGGCCCGGCACGGCGCGGTTGTGGAGGGCGATGAGAACGGCGTCGTGGCGCGGGTAGTATTTCGAATCCAGCGCATAGCTGCCCTCGGAAAGACACTTGTGGAGGGTCTGATAAAATAAACGTGGGCTCTTCTTTTCAAGTACACAATCAGTCAAAGATGAAAGGATCAGCATAATTTGCGTATAATATTTCAACACATTCACAATCACATAGCAGGTGCATGCGGATAAAAACAAATCTAGCGACGATCATGATCACAATAAAAAATTTACCTGCGCAAAAAGTGTCTTCGGAATTTTCTCGTGGTATAGCCTGGTTTTGTGCAGTTCGTGACTGCGTTCCGGCTGGCAGGATTTCAAGAGCTGCTCAAACTCGTAAAGGAGCAGTAGTCTTTCTATCTCCACGATGCTCCAGTCCTCCTCCGGGAAAAACGGATAGATCCGATTCCTATGCGCAGACCGCTCGGCCATACCTGTTTCAAATAATTTGATCATGCAACATCATATGTCCGGCAAAATAATAAGTAGGGCCTTTTCAATTTCATCCGTGGGAGGACCACTCTGGCGAAAACTTACACTTCTGTGAAAATAAATGTAAGAAGCGATATAAAATCCTATAAATATACCGAGGTAATCCAGCTTTCCATCATTCATGACGATCTGCGGATTGTGAAACTGCGTCAAGTATTTGAGGCAACCAAACACTTTCGTCACATTTGTCGCGTTTTTCTGCCCCAAGTGCTTCACCATTGCGCGATCTAGTGAGGGAACCAGCTTGACCCGCAGATCCGGCTCGAGAAGCGCGTTTTCGGCACCTGGTGGGCGGCAGGGCGGTTGTTTTCAGATCGAGAACTTGCATGATCAACACGGGGAATTATAAAATCCAGGAATTCTTCTTGCATCTACTTCCCGTTGTCCATTCCCATTGAAGAAGATTCGTGCATGACAAACAAAAAGAAAAACCTCTACTCAAAAAGAATACCAAAAAACTTACCCTCCAGCACCGCGGTGCTTTGTTTTATCCTTTCCACGTCCGGATCGTCTTCGGTGACCGTGTTGCAGTATGCTTTTTCCAAATACTTCTCCAGCGCAATCTCCTCGGCTTCGCTATCCAACCCCTTGCTACTCGCCGGCCCGTATCAACTGCAAATATGTCTGGATGTCTGGGAGATTGCAAGGTTTGTCATGCTAGTCTGGCACGAATCTGCACTCTGTATTGCGTGAGGCCATCGGAACAGCCTCTCTCGCCTGTCATGCAAAAACGCAGTTTCTCATGCGGAATGTGCAGCAAAGTAGCACGAAAAAACTTGTCATGCTTGGCAGAGCATTACGGTAGTTCACTTATCGTTCACTGACTTGCATCACAAGTTTCCAGACCCAGACATATTTGCATTTGATAGCCCGGACGCTGTCGAGGAGCTCGAACTGGAAGAGCCGGCCACATTATGGTGCGAAAAAAGTGCTACAGCTGGTTGTACACATAATTGTGTTGTAATACCGGAAAAACAGACAACCTTTGTCATGCACGAAATAATGGCGGGCCCCGGTTCATCTTCATAAGTCTTTGCCCTTATGATCTCTGCACAACTGCGAGTTTTCTCCGTCATGCAGGGCGAGAAAGTTTCTTCGTGTTGCTGAATATTATCCAACATCAACAAATTATGCGCAACTGTAACTCCCCTCTCTACTTCTTGCGATACACGTTCTTCTCCGCCTGATCCGTTAAACAGTGGAGGAACAACGCGATGTCGTGCTTGCACGCGTCCACCAACCCCATGTCCCGCTCGTACACCGCGGTGCTGTGGAAGGCAGGCGGAAGTTCGTCGATGTGCGGAATTTCGATGGAGTTGACGAAGGCTTCCCGCTTAGCGAATTCGGTCTCCTTTCTCAAATGGTCCGCGACGAGCTTCTCGTAGAGGCACTCGGCGAAGGCGGAGGGGGAGGTATCCTGTGTAAAAACGTCCCCACCCCATAGTCAAGTTGGGAACCTAGCAAGACAAATCCACAAGTTTTGGGCGCCACGCATGAGAAGTTGCAGTCCGTAGTGTAGTGCATGTTAGCAAGGACAACCGCATCACAAATCCATCTGCTTATCCTGTTTACAGCATTACAAATTCCAAAACGCGATTGGAAATGCCTCTCATGGAGATGCGCATTACAAATCTTCCTGTAATCGCAAATTTGCATGACAACTATCGGGTGGGGACGTTTTTACTCAGGATAGGAGGGCGGAGGTGGCTCTTCGTCGTCAACTTCTGTTTTTGATAAAGATCAGAAATACGGCTAGTGCTGGTCCTTTATTAGCACATGCAAGATCATCTGAAGAGTTTTTTCAACGACAAGAAACCACATTCAATCAAAAGCACCACCACGTCACAGCACGAGAAAATAAGTAAAAAAAAAACCATTTTTTATCTAGAGTATACTTGCTGGCTTCACGCCCCCGTCGAGGTACAAATTCTCGCACCCACCGAGGGTCTGCAGCTTCACGTCCCTTTTCCAGTTCCCGAACTCCGCTTCCTGAAGCTTTTCGCTGACCAACAAGACTTCCGCCGGCACCTCGGCGGAGACGATTTTCTTCTCAAACACCGGCTCCGCGTCCTCCGCTGCATCCTCCTCCGGCTCGAGCTTTTCGAAAAGAACGGTATGAAATGCAAAAATGTCTGGGTCTGGAAACTTGTAATGCTAAAAGTGAATGATAGACGCGCCGCAATACGCAGCTATGCACGACAAATTTTGTGGCTGCCATGTCTTATGTATTCCGCATGGCAAACTGCCTTTTCGCATGACAGTTAAGAGGGCTCTTTCGTGCCTATGCAACACAGATTCTCGAGGCATGCCAAACAAGCATGACAAACTTGCATTCTTCCAGACCCAGACATTTTTGCATTTGATAAACGGACTTCCCATGCAGGTAGAGGAAGCTGTGAATGCCGGGGTCGGACTCGGCCGCGAGCACATCCTCCGGACAGTTGGTGACCACGAAAATTACGTCGACTTTTTCCTCCTCTGGCGGCTGTGGTGGCCATTGATGGGAAATTTTGTCATGCATAATGGATTCGTTGAACAAAAGCACGGGGATCTGTTTGATGCAAAATACAGCAGCTGCACATGGTGAAATAAAACTATCCGATTTCAATCTGCAACAATAGATACCGTCTCCGCAGCGTCTATGCCCTCCTGCTTCGCGGCGTGCCTTGTGGCCACCTCAGCCGCGACCTTGTCCGCCAGTCCGGCCGCGTCGACCACGCAAAACTTTGACTTTTGGGCAAAGGTGTCGAGCTCGAGCTGCTCCAGAATCAGGGCGCGGAGATCCACGTCTTTTGTCGTGTTCGGCTCCTGGTTTTAATATTCATGGTAAGAAAAAGTAGAATCTGAGTTACAGTATACTTAAGAAATGCGGAATGGTGCTTGTTCCTGTGTCGCCTGATCACGACAAGAACCAAACAAAACGAAAACCAAAGCACATGAGAATCCCTATCCCATCTGAAAATCTGCATGCCAACCATTTCTGCACACCGTACCTCGGTGTTCTCGATCTGTATCGTCATTCCGCTGAGCTGCACCACGTAGTAGGAGAACGGGCATTTAGGCCCCGTGTCGACGGGCTCCTCGCCCTCGTCACCCATCTTTGAACTCCGGCGCTACTGTACAATACCAAAATGGGGCGAGGACACCTAATGGAGTGAAAGATCAGTGACTAAGAAAATTTCTTCCAGAACAGAGGCCGACACGCACATGGCGAGAGCGAACGAAAAAAGAAAACGAAATGCGCTGTGTGATGTAGTTCTTGCGTCATCGCTCTTGCTTATCTCCCGCTCCGCTCTTACTTTCGTATGAGTTCTTGTGATAATGTTCTCACACTCACCATCAGATTCCGGTCCTCTTCCTCCACCAGGTTCTCCAGCTAATGTTTTCATCCTGCCTGACACGGACCGACTGTGCAAAGCAGAGAATATCGATGGACTAGTTGTGGTGCTACAGCCCTCGAGCACCTCCAATTGAAACTGCTGCTTGCTTAATAATTTTCATTTACTGTAAAGCGTCAAGCAAGCGCTTAATATTCTCGGGACAAGGATTCTAGTTCGGTGAAAAATCGCTTTTAATGTTACAGTTTATTTGACAATAAATTCATTTTCTCTGCTCCTCGCTTCAGCTGCGCCGTAGGAGAACTGACTACTGCAGCTGAGCGTTTTTCCTCGTGAAATAAATCGCTCGTGTCTGTTGTCTGAGGTATAGTAATTCTGGTCGTGTCTGTCGTTCGGTGATGAAAACAATCTGTCATAGTTTCTTCGTGTCTGATGATTGCAATTTTTTAGTGGTTTCGATTCCTGCTTTCTTGTCTGATTCAGCTAATACTACAAATTCGGTTTCGTTTTCATCTCGACGTGTCAGAGACGACGAGGAAAAGTAACTCTGTCTGATGATAAAAGTTCTATCTGCGATTCAAATAGTTAACTGTGATTCGGAGGTTCTTCGACGTTCAAAGCCAGTAGCATACTGTTCGGATTCATGCCTTCTCGTAACTCATCGAAGTGGTCCTCGAAGTAAATCTAAATCCGTTTACTCCGACGCGATGAAGTCGTCGTCGCACTCGGCGAGCTATCAAATGCAAAAGTGTCTGGCTCTGGAAGGATGCAACTTGTGATGCTGTGTCTGCATTATCCAAAAATCTGTATTGCATGAACAGCAAAACGGTCCAGCTTTTGCCACGGCGAGAGGGCACCTCCCACGCGGTAGAAGCATCACAAAGTCCGCTAAAAATCTGTGATGCTAGGGCATGCATCACACACATCGTGGGTCATTCAAAATATGCATGACAAACCTGGCAATCTTCCAGATCCAGACATTCTTGCAGTTGATACGAGCGGGGTCGGCTTCGGGACCGGCTCCGGCTTCTCACCGACCTCCGGGGGATCCTCGCCCGCGGCCTCCGCAGCGGCTTTTGCCTGTAACAAATGTGAAGGTATAAAGTTTCAACTGTTGAATGATGTAGCGGTAAAATAAAGTAAACGACAAAGCGAGGCTTCTTTCCTCACATCATCATCGACGGGGATGTCGTTGACGTCGTACCATCGGTTGCATCACAACCAATCATGCATGCTGTTATACACGTCGTACTACGTTGTATCTTCACACCGGAATGTAGATACACGCCGTTCAAAACAAAATCATTTCTATACCGCCTGTGCCTCGTACCACTTGGCCATTACATCGGCGTTTCCCTCGAGTTATCAACTGCAAAAATGTCTGGGTCTGGAATCATGCTGTTTTTGGACTCAAAAAAAATTTGTATTGCGTGACCAGCAAGAGGGTCACAATTTGTGCTATACGGACAGGGCATTTCTCATGCGGAAGGCGCATCAGGAGGCCCTCTAAAAGTCTGCGATGCTAGGTCATGCATTACAGGCATCATGGGTCATGAGAAATATGCATGACAAATCTTGCATTCTTCCAGACCCAGACATTTTTGCATTTGATACGAATGCCGCCCGCTGCACGTCATACTTCGCTTTCTCGTCGTCCAAGTAGGCTTGCTATCAAATGCAAAAATGTCTGGGTCTGGAATAATGCAACTTGTGATGCTGCATTTGGATTCCAAAAAAATCTGTATTGCATGAGCAGCAAAGGAGCGTAATGGTTGCCACGCGGAGAGGGCATTTGTCATGCGGAATAGGCATCAAGAAGCCCTCAAAAAATCTGTGATGCTAGGGCATGCATCACAGATATCATGGCTCATGCAAAATGTGCATGACAAGTCTCAGAATCTTCCAGACCCAGACATTTTTGCATTTGATACTTGCCTCAGGGCGCAGGCTGCGTCGAGCCAGTAGCACAAGACGGTGAAGCCAAAGCTGCCCATCTCCAGCGGATCCGCGATTTCGGCCGGCTTGATGGCCGCGATGTTAGGAAACCTCGATTGAATAAAATTAAAATTGCAATCTGTACTTACATACATGCATCGTCGAGGAATGCATCTTTAATCTGCCAACACGTAAAATAAAAATTTATCCCCAACACAGAAAAAAATAAAGCGATCTTTTTTACCTTTGTTCCTTCTTCAAGCCTTGTCTTGGTTTCGACAACTCACACGCCGCGATCTTCTCACCCAGTCCTGGAATCGCCTGCTTGGCCAAGGCCCAGGTGTATTCACTGTGCGGCCCGCCGGCCAAGGTCGTGTCGTCATAGCCGCAGAGGTAGGCAATGCACCGTGTTACGGCGAGGACCTCGGGTTGCACGACCACGCACACGGAGAGACTGTCGAGGCTGGCGGAGACGGCTGTTTGGTTTTATGATGTCTTTATTCAGCATGCTGCTGGCACAGCACAAGTCCATGTGTGGAACTGATGAAACTCATATAAAAAAAATATGCATCGTCAGCACCAGCAGGGAGGTAATTCCAGAAAAAAATTCAAAATCCTATACCTCCGACCGCTGCCACAGCTACATTGTAGGCGGCCTGTGCGCTGCAGAGTGCCGTCTTATCAAATGCAAAAATGTCTGGGTCTGGAAGAGTGCAAGTTTGTCATGCTTGTCTGGCATGACTCGAGACTTTGTGTTGCATAGGGACGAAAAAGCCCCCGTGCCTGTCATGCAAAAACGCAGTTTGCCATGCGGAATACGTAAGACATGGCAGCCAAGAAATTTGTCATGCATAGCTGCGTATTGCAGTGCGTCTAGCATTCATTTTTAGCATTACAAGTTTCCAGACCCAGACACTTTTGCAGTTGATACGTCTGGGTTTCCGACAACTCCTCTAAACCCATCGACTCCTTGTATGCCGCGGTTACACCGTCGACGTCGGCTGCGGCGCCCTTTGCGGCTTCGAAGGCATCCACGAAAGTGGAGGGGGTGTTGAACATTTTGGCTTGGTTCCAGACGTCTGAATTTTCGATGATAGCAGTTCGGCCCTAGACAAAATTACTTATTGTTGCGATGCAAGACAAAATGAATTCCTTCGCGAAAATCGTGCAACATGAGAAATTTACCATTTAAACAGTACCTTGATACTCCACCCTGTTCTTTGCTGCCGCTACTGTGTCCATCAGGCCGTGCACTCGGTCGACCTCCCCGGCCTTCAGCTTCAAATTTGTTCCCAAGCAGTCGACTCCTACGGCCATTCTTACCTGATAATTTTGATTATTGATTCGTACATGTGCATTATAGCAGCCTCCACACAAGGACATCCAGATCCATACTGGTATCCCTTGCAGTTATAACATCACAGAAACTTTTTATTCCCATAATCAAAACAACAGTGTCTCATCTTTACCTCGACCGTTGGTGCCTCCGGTGGTGGTGGCGTCCAATCTGGGTCTGCCTCTTCCCCCTCCGCCGGCTCTGGCTGCACTGGTGGGTTTTTCTCGTATTCCAGGAACGCCGCGAATGCCTCCAACGTCAGATAACTGTTGTACACGATCGGGACCGCGCAGTAGTATCCTATGTAAAAACGTCCCCACCCCATAGTCAAGATGGGGAATCGGCTAGACAAATCAACAAGCTTTGGATGTTTTGCATGACAAATTTGGACTCGTAGTGTAGTGCTGTTTGAGCTAGCTGAGCAGCATCAAAGATCTAGTATACTATGCTGATTTGAGCATGACAAATTCTAAAACACGACTAGAAAATGCTTCTCATGGGGCTCCGCATGAGAAAAATGCTCAGCATGCAGATCTGCATTACAACTATGTTGGGGTGGGGACGTTTTTAAATACGATAAGTAGGCGCCGAGCTTCATCCAGGTGAAGTACTTCATGGCTGGTTCGTCCGTGACGTATATCAAAGTGAAAAATCCCCCCTCCCCATATCGAAACGGAAACTTCTGTTGCTGGATTTGTGTACACAAATCAGCCCTGTCCTGCAGTGAGGCACTACAAGCAAAGCCTCAGCCTGCGCAGGGGTGTTTTGCTGTAGGCACTTAGCATGACAGAGGCCTGCCATGTACGTGAAACAGCGTCACAAATCGCCTCCATAAGGCTGCGAATTCTTTGGATTTGCCTTCTTGCAAGAGAGACAGGATTTGTGGTCACAAATCAGCATCACAAATTTTATTTAGGAACATACGTTTTCAATATGGGGAGGGGGGATTTTTCCTCACGGTAACGTACTCGATGTAGAGGTGCTGAAACTTCCTGTGTGGTGGTGGCTCCACGCCGTCCTCGACCTCGGGCTCGGGGATTTCCTCGAAAATCTTGTGGGATACGCCCTCGCTGGCCTTCAGGAGCTTGTTGATCATCAGTGGTTGACCTGTTTGGGAACGATTCAGATTCATTGTTCATTTATTGTCGTTGCTGGGCACTTTTGTCGGTTGCTTTTCTCGTCGCGGAAAACGAGAAACATCTTCGTCGTGCACAACTTTAGGGAAAAACATAATGAATCAGATGAACTTTATTTCTACCGTGTGTGTATTGCAGTTCTGGCTCCTCTGTTGTTGTGCAGAGTGTGCTCAAGTATGCGGCGGTTCCGCCGAGTATCAAATGTAAAAATGTCGGGGTCTGGAAACTTGTGATGCTGGGTGGCGTCTCATGATGAGGCCAGAAATGCTGGCTCAGCATCACAAGTTTCTGAGCTTCTAGGTGTTGCCTATTCTGCATGACAAAGTGCGCTTCTGCATCACAGAAAAATGGGGCTCTTGGGTAACTTGCATGACAGATTTAAGAGTCATGCCAGACAAGCATGACAAACATGCATTCTTCCAGACCCAGACATTTTTACATTTGATACCGAGGACGGCGCAACTATTGTGCACGACCTCCTCCCACACCCCATCTGACCAGGCCTATCGCAAGAAAAAACTGTTTCACTGTGAACTTGTGATGCAGAGAACGAAGCACCAAAGTGTTTGTCTTGCTACACCTGCAAGACATTGGATTTTCAAGCGTGTTTTCCCTTGTAAAGCGCGCATGGCAAATTTTCCTTGTCATGTGTAGCAAACTTGTGATGCAGATCTTGCAAGAGCACCACAGTGAAACAGTTTTTTCGTTGAATAAAGCCTCGCAGGTCTTTAGTGTCTCGGCGCAGGCCGCGAATCCTGTGAGATACAGAAGGTTTGTTCTATTTCCATCTAGTAAATGAATTTGAATACTGGTTTAGAATATGTACCCGAACGCGAAAATCTGCATGACAGGCGCGGAAGCTCCTAGAAGTGACAAAAGAATTATGCGAAACAAAAATACTTGCTTCCTTATCTGCTTCTGCCTTCTCTGCGGCAGCTTTTACCGCGTCTCGCTCTGCCTGCTCAGCCTCCAGAACGGCTTTCAATTTTGCGATCTTTTTCAACTCCGCATCCCTATCAGACTTCTTCTTGGCCGCGACAGCGTATTGGGAGAGAAACGTGGACAAAAACTCAACGCCATCTGCCGGTTGCGCCAGACTGAGTGCCGTGAACCCCTCCGCCAGTGCCTCGCCTACGTTCTCCTGCAGAAATTGCAGGCTCGCCTGCGCCTGGGCGTCCACCATGAGATTTCTTGGTTCAGTCGAAACTTTGTGTATGTTTGTCTCTAGTCAGCCGCAAGGAAAAAAAACGCACCCCTTCTAGAAGTATCATCGATTTCATTGATCATTAGGAGACGTTCATTTCGACTCGGAGCAAAATACTGCGGTCGACTCTCAGCGCGCGGAGTACGCCCTTTATTCATCAGTCACTCAGACTACTGCCAATTCTAGTAATACTCCCCACGACCGTCTAGAAGTAGAGCTGACGAAGCTGTATTTCCTTCGCTCAAGACACCCTCTTCATTTTTCAACGAGGCAATGAAATCTCTGTCGACGAACCTTTTTCTTCTATATGTGGAACCGAATGTCAAAATGACACAACATGCCGCAGAGAAACAAAGAGTCTCGATCAGATCAGATCAGAGGTGTCACGCACGCACGCAAGGGGATTGGCGTACCGGAACTTTAAGAGTGCAGCCGGTTTTTTCATGAACTAGAGCTCGACCACGCTTACTGTACTAGTAGAGGCGGCTAACAGTAATGCTTGTACCCCTCCCGCAATACATGACAAGTTCTTCCCGGGCCTCATACAAAACTGGGTGGGGCGCCGTAGATGTAGATGGAGGTGGCGGTCCAGAACTTTAAGAGTGCAGCTGGAGCTTTCATGAGCTAAGACTTGACCACGCTTACTAGATTTAGTAGAGGCGGCTAACGTGTGCGGCGGCTAACGCCGTCACGCAAGCTGGGCTCAACGCAGCAGTCAGGCAATCCTAACCACCACGTCGGCCGTAAAACAGATTTGCGTTTGTCAGAAGTTTGGAGCAGAAACAGACTTAACTAAACCCTTTTGCAGACTAGAGAAGCTAAAAACTAGGCTCCGAAGAGCTGCGCTGGAATGGGCGAGAAGACTATGCTCCGAGGAGCTACATTGGAAAGGTTTGAAAAGTTCATCCCCTTCCTTTTCAAAGTTCATCCCCTTCAGAAGCGTGCTTCCTTCCTTTTCAAAGTTCATCCCCTTCAGAAGCGTGCTTCCTTCCTTTTCAAAGTTCATCCCCTTCAGAAGCGTGCTTCCTTCCTTTTCAAAGTTCATCCCCTTCAGAAGCGTGCTTCCTTCCTTTTCAAAGCTTCCCAAACTGCTCCGTCATCTTCCCGATTGTGCTTGCCATTACAGAGAAATTCTCTGCCATTACTAACACTGTTTCCTCGAGCTGTTTCACCCGCTCGCCAACGTCTACCGCTGGAGGAGATGTAGTAGTTCCAACCTGCGCCTGTAGTTTCGACCCGTCCACAAAGCCTGCGGAATTCTTACACTTTTGCACCAAAGACACTGTGTCGACGTTGGGGGTAGGTAAAGAGCAAGTAGTCCTCGGGCGGACTTTTGTCGCGCTTGGTCCTTTGCCACTTTTTCCCGGACTAGAGCAAAAAACGACTTCGATCCCACGCTCAGGGATGAAACCACTGCACGCTGTGAAATGCGCGAAGAAATCGGCCAGCTCGCCGGATACCCGAATGAAGCAATAACCTTTCTCAGGCACAGAATGGACGACACAACCCTGCAGCATCATCTTTATTACAAACTTACAACTTACCAACCTTACAACCTTCGAGCATCGGAACCATGCATCGGCTCCCGCTTTGCCCTTTTCTTGTTTTCTCTTCACACACACTTGTCAGAATAATGGTCTTCGTCTTGTAAAAACCCTCAAACCGGCTACAAGTCGTGACTTGTCGAGATCGCCACACATCAATCTACGTAGGTTCAGTCTTTTCGCAGAAAAAGAGCCCAGGAGCATTCCCGAACTAACAAAACTGCAGTTTTAGATGGGGACAAGGCGACACGTGTGAGTTCATGGACAACAACAGCTTTTTTGGACTTTCGCTGCCAATAATGAGTCTGCTTTTCCACCATAGCATCGGGACAAGGCGAGCTTGATGGATCCTCAGAGCTTGTAAGAGTTTAACTACGAAGTGCGAAGCCTTTAACACGTACCGCGGTCCTTTCCCGGCGACCAAGTTTAAAACTCTCGCTGCTCTCACGCCTCTGTATCTACGGTCACTCAGCAAACAGCGATGGAGTTACGGTGAGAGGCAGTTCACAAGGTCTGCCGTCTCTCATCACCATTCAATCGGGAAGTCGAAAAAAAGGAAAAAAAAGAAAGTCAAACGCAGCGCTCGTTTGACTCTTACAACAGCGCTCTCCTAACATCACCAAAAACACTACCTCAATGCCGCACCTTTAAAGATATTTACACAACCGGAAGCTTAATACGATCTTCAACTTCATCTTGGAAGTTTAGGATTTAGCAGTAAACTACTACACAACTTGGGTGGTTAATAGACCACCCGAGTAGGTTTTGAAAATAAAACCAAAAAAAAATGACACAACATGCCGCAGAGAAACAAAGAGTCTCGTCGAAGACACGGCCCAATGCTAAGAAGTCGATCATAGCACCCTTGATTTTCCTTCTTTCGCTTCAACGAAAACATCAAGCTCACACACAGAGTTTTGGAAGTGATTTCATACCGATTTTAATTCTGTTGCGTTGCAGTTTTTTCAACCACAATTTATTCTGTGCAAAGCTGCGTCGTGTGCATCCGTCATTGGCCGGTAGTAGTACTTTTCAAAGTAAACTTGAAACCTTCATCATCATCAACACAGAACCACGTTTCTCATAAAAAAATCAGGCTCTATTCATTTCTCCACCCTAGCAGATCTTCTGCCGCTTGGCCGCCGGGCTGGCAGCTTGCTGCTTGCTATCGGTGCTTTTTCCCGTGGGCGCCGTCGGGAGACCATACAGGAGGTATGGATTCGCGGTACCCGGAAAGGTAATGTGGAATGCGGCTCCGAGGTAAAAATACGCATCAGCAGCTTCGGGATCGTCCTCAGGCAAAGCAGCGACTTCCTCGACGTCTTCGGTTTCCGACGGCAACCTGGGAGAGGTCGGGAGCAGCATTGGAGATTCATAGTGAAAGTGAATTTTACACATACGACAACTAAAAGCACCTGTATGTATGAAGTGAATGTTCATCGAGAATGAAATGTACAGAGTTTCCCCCTCCTGCGGTTTTTTCTTTGCAGTTTCTTGCTTATCTTCCTTCTGTTGTTTCTTCTGGATCGGAATGCGGACTACATCTTTCCGAGCTCGGTCCGCGCTGCCGTCCTCGAAGTCCCGCCGATTGTCTGGAAACCAGGACAGCGGAGCCACCCACACATCCTCGTCGTCGATGCCATCTGCCTCAAAGGCTGGTAAGTTTTCGTGCTTCTTTTTCCCGCCGTGCTCCTGCGTTTCGTCCCCGTTCTTCTCTGCGGAGGCAGTACCATGCTTCGCAGTTGTGTCGTACATCCGGCCCACATTCTCGAGCAAAAACTCCCGCAACTCCTTTCGGCTTTTGAATGTTGGCCATTCCGTTGGCAACGCGTTCGCTAGCTGCACTGCTCGCCGCGGTCGGAAAGCGCGTTCCCCGTAGTACACAGTTTGCTGGAGCCAGCTAGACGCGTCGTCTAACACCGGTGGAAAGCTCTGCAGAGGAAGCACACCGTTCTCCGCGTCGCCCCAGAGACCGAACCTGCTGTCCTGTACCTGGTCCGGCGGAGCTTCGCGCATTTCCTGCATGTACCATCGCAGTCGCACAGTCGCACCGGCTTTCAGAGCAGTTCGCACCAAGTGCGTGTCCGCGCGAGGGCCTTCTTTCAATGGCGCTTCAGAATCGAAGGTCTCTGCGTCGTCGAACACCATTTCGAGCGGGGCAAGTGTTCCGTTGGGGCTGCAGGATGTCGCGTTCGTTGCTTTCGCGTGATTGTCGGCCGTCGACGCCTTACGATTTTCCAGGAATCTCTTCGCGAAGAGCTCCTTGTACGCGCAGGGCAGAACGGATTCATTCCAGTCGTAGCTAAGCCTCGATACCTCGCCGCGTTTCATCTCCTTAACCTGCCGATTTGATGGAAAAACCAGCGTCCAAGGGAAATCTTTGGCGCTGAGCAGGTCACCGACCCTGAGGCCAGCGTCGAAGCTGTCCCACTTATCTCCGGGCATGTGACGCTTTCTCCGGATCTTCTCATAGTCGGGCACGGAATCGCCCAAGATGAGGTGCTCGGTAGCCACGTGGGTGTAGTTCTGTGTTCGGTCGGCGAACGGACGCCAGATGCATCTGCGCCACCAAAACGTGAGAGCATCAAGAATCTCTGCGCGCACCTCCAATGGGTGCCGATGCCGTGGGTTTGCGAAATCCAATTTCGTTGTCTTTGCGCTAGGACTGATCGCCTCTTCGGGAATCGCTGTAGCATGTTCCAGCAGCTCATTGTAAACTGTGCGATCGCGAGGAGAGAGTAGGGCCTCGTCTGTGCTCCCAAAGACGCATCGCTCCGCCGCAGGAGGAACGGCCAGTTTGAAAGCGCCACAGATGTGAAGCTGGATAGCGTCATAACCATCCGGGTCGGCCAGCGTCCGAAACTCCGTCCGCTGATCGTCTTTCTTACTGATAAGCCAGTCGTCCCCGACGAAGGGCTGCTCCATCTGACTCTCGTTCAGCTCCGCCTCGCCCCGCACCCAGTGGGTCACCCCGCCGAGTTCCAAGGTTCCAAGTGGCTGAAGCTTATCAGGAGACAAAAAGTTGTTCAAATCGACGACCAAATCTGAAAACTCCCGCATGTCCTGATCCAGCGAGTACTCTTCGGCCTCGTCGTCCGGCACATAGCCGCCGATCCTCTGAGGGAAAACTGGAATCTTCGTGTTTTCAGTCAACTTGACGTTCCGGCCACAGAGCACAGAGACGTGCTCCGCGTCGCGATTTTCGGAGTCCGCGGTGTGCCGGGTGCGGAAGCGGTAGAGCGGCAGCTTCCGCAGCAGGACCATGTCCGGTGCGCGCGTATTTCGCTTGAGGTGATCCGACGTGTCGTCACGGATGACCAGGTGCGGATGATAGTACAGCTCAGCTGCCTCTGCTTGCGTCGTTGCACCGGCGTTACCGGACTCTGCTCGGCGCCGCACTCTTCCCAGGAAGGCTTTGTCAATTGCGTTAGCAACAGCGCCGTCTAGCTCGGCCAGCCTGCTTTTTGCGAAGGCTGTCAGTGGTTTTGCCGCCGTGTGCGAGCGTCCGGGAAAGAGATCGCGATTTTCGTACTTGGTGTAGCTCGGGAACCCGATGACGCCGCCACTGTGCAGAAAGTTCGGGCTCCTCCACAGAGCGCCAAGAACCTTTGCGAGCCGGTTCGAGATGTTCCGACGGTCCTCCGTCTCTGTTTTGCCCGTTTCCAAGTCCCATCGAGTCCGGTCGAACGAGTAAGCGCGGTCGGCTTCGATGTGCTCCTTGACGTGGCCTTTCTCGAGTAGCGCCTTTTTCTCGAGCTCCAGCGCCGCGTCGAAGTCATCGTGCAAGCCGGGCCGCGGTTCCCCCGGGAGAAACGGCCGGAGGTCCAGCATCGGTGTCGCTCTCTTTCGCAGAATACGAAACACCGCCACCACCTTGTGCCCAAGCGCCCCAGGGCAGCACCGGTCAAAGGAGTCGTAGCCACAGCCCTTTAGCTTCCATTCCGCCCCCCGCAGTAACGCAAAGCACTGGAGGTTCGAAGACGCCTCTTTTGCTACATCAGCTGGCGCCTTTTTTGCTTTTCGCACTGCACCTGTGCTTTCTCGCTTTTCCCCGTCTGCAGGCTCGATGACGTGGTCCTTTTGATCCTGTAATCCCGGTGCCGGCTGCTCCGCCGCGCTCTGACTAAAAGCCTCTGCACTGTCGTTAGAAGATGATGGCGAGATTTCCTCCTCCTCTATTTCGCCCTCCCCCTCCGCGAGAAAGCGCTGATATTCCAGCGGTATGTCGTTTTCGTACGCTCCCCCCAAGGGCAGGAAGACCCGCTCATCAGCTTCGGATTGCAAAGGTGCCGATGCTGTTCGCCTGCCGAGCTTCATCTCCCCTGTGATGGGGCTTTTTACTGCACCGGGGAGAATCGCGACCAAAGTTCCGACCGTCCTGTCACGGATGTCCTCCCGTCGGCGCAGCACGTCAAAGCCCGGCTCACGGACTTCATGCGGATGGGCCCTAGCTGCATGGTCTCTCCAACGCGCGTTCGGATGCGGACTCACTGGTGCCTTCTCGGGGATTTCCGCGACTAGTTGCGGATCCGCTACCTTGGCGCGGAGGTCCTTGTACTCCATCTCCTCGTCGTCCGATTTCTCATCGAGCTTGGGAACAGGAACAGCAGGCGGGGGCGGGGCAGCCGACGCGGAAGAATTATTTTTCTTCGCTTCTTTTTCTTTATCCTCGGCAGTTGAAGAACCAAATAAAACGGCTCTGAGTTCTTCGCTCCCGATGAAGACCCTCCGCAACGATTCTTTCTGTCGGCGGCGGGTTTCCTCCATCTGCTCTTTCTCGGCCTGTAGTTCTTCGCGGCTGGTCAAAACCCGCATACCGCTATCGACCTCCAAGCGCAGAAACTCGAACTCAATATCGAAAGGGAAGCTGAGCGCGTCGCGCACCCGCGTTGGTAAGCCTGTACACGTCAGGTGCTGCAATAACGACTGGGACCCGGCGAACACCTCGACGTCCCTGCGCCCAAGAGCCCGCGCGCGTTCCCCGAGAACGTGCGGCAGCACTGGCTCATGTTCGAGCTCGTACGTGCGAGTTCTGCTGAATGGCTTCATCTGCTCGATCAGGGGGTCGAGCCGGGCGTGCTGGTCCAAAAGGAGCGCATTTACGCGCTTCCGGGTGCCCGACTCCAACGCGGCGCTCTGTTGGTCGGCGTGCATTTGATACAGACTGTCCACGAACCGCAGAAAAGCCGGACCGCACTCACTCGCACAAGTCATCCGGTGCTCCTTCTTCCAGTCGTCCTCGACCGTGAGAATCTCTTCGAGTTTCTCCTCCTGCTTCTCTACCAGCTCGTCCAAATCTTTCCGCACGATCGGAAACTCGTCGCCCGAGGCCTTCACTCGCACAACCGGCGGCTCGGGAAGTTCGCAGCAAAAGCTGCCCTGGTAGTCCGCTCCCACGCCGCCCAGCGTCTGTGCAATCTTCTCCAGCCCCTCATCCGTACTCGCAAAACACAAACCGGAGGTCGGAGGAGGGCCAGACGGTGGGCTGGCGTGCCGGCAGGTGCTCGACGCGGGCGAGGAGTGAAGTGGAGAAGACATTTGGATTCTCTGTTCGGAGAAAAAAAAAAAACGTAAAGCCCCTCTGCCGAAAAAACGCAAAATCGATCACAAAACACGCGTTTTGCAGCAACATGCAGCCGCTTTTGTCGAACTAGCGAATGCTAGTACTGCCATCTATTTTGTTCTCTCATTCTTCAGTCTTAGCACTCATTGAGCTGGCGTCGAACAAAGAAAACTCGATGACTCCTTCTGCCTTTGCTGTGAGAGGAGCCTCTCTCGAATCGTTCACGAAACTTGTCAGTTCCAGGCAAAATTTAGTACCTGAGACGACATCATGATCATTCTCCACACAAGCTAGAAAATCTCACCAGCACGACCATGTTGCATGCGATCCTGCACTAGAAACTGTGCCCGGATATTGATGTTCTCTTGATGAAATAAGTTCGAACTGTAAAAATTCTTTCCTCCGTACTTATTTTCCAAACCGACACTCTCCCTGAAGTTCCCCCGCATAATTCCACCCCCAGGACCGCCAGGTGAAGTAGTTCTCCCCGCCGAGAACAGCAGCCCAAAGGTCGCAGGTTTGCCCTTCTCCAGCTCGAAGCGGATGTCTGCATGAATATTCCTTGTCTCCTCCTCAATCGTCGCGAGGAATTGTTGCTCCTCTTGCAGCGCGGCGTCGATGTCGTGCTCGTCGTAAGCGGGAGTGTTGTTGACCACACGAGGGTCGGGCTGACTGTCGAGCCCGAACCCGTTCTCCTCCGCTTGTCCTTCTCCTGGAACTTCTGAGTCCACGGAACGGTCGTGGTCCGATCGAGAAGATAACGTTCGTCCCTCTTCGTTTTCATCCGACACGCTGCTGTCGCCCGTCATCCACGTGTAATTATTGTTGTCTTCATTCACATTTATTGCGGCCTGCCGCTTATTCCCCTGCAACTCCGGACTGCCGATCTCCACGTCCGAATCTGGGGCCATCCACACGAAGTTGGAGTCGTTGTGGTTCTTGATGTTCATCTCGCTGGAGGTCTCGTTGAAATCACAGTCTGCGGCAGCAGGAGGTAGTTCTTCGAGATTTACTGCGGTTTCAGCGATCTTCGCGGGATCGTGCTCGAAAAAATGATTCTTTGTGTAGTGATTCTTCTCCTTCCCCATGTTTTCGTCCTCCTGCCGCTTTCCGAACCGTTTCGGCTTCGAATTGGATCTCAATTCGGTCATCTTCCTTGCTGCGTTTGCTGTTTTTCGGGTGGAGATTTTCGTCGCTGTGCCGCTTTTGTTCTGGTCTTGATCGGTAGCGGCCTGCAGAAGAAGCTTTCGCTGTTCTTCTTCCACAACTTTATTGTGCTCGTCCATGATGTCCGAAACCGACACCCGCTGCCGCATCGCCTCAATCTTCTGTTGCACTATGTCTGCGAGGTGGGAAGGAACTACTGTACCAGGTCCTGCAAGTTGTTGTTGTTCCGCTTGTTCTTGCGCAGCAGATGGTCCTCGTACTAGTCCGCTACTTGCTGCAAAATTTGTTGTACTGCAGTGCTCTACTTGACCACAAAAATCCACTAAACCTCCGTTTGTCTTACTATCACCGCCAGCATTGCGCAACAAGAACCGCTCTTCGTGCAGTCGGTGTCGGTGCTCAATCCGCTGTTTCAAGTCCATTGCGACCTGCCGCAACTTGTCCATCCTCTCCCGCCGAGATGGTGCGTGGAGGGATGAGCCGGTCGGTGGAGTCGTTGCTGTTAATAACCCATTTGCAAGATGATGAACTGGCGCAGTGGTCCCAGAGCTACTCCTTGGTGGGGCCGCTTTTATTTTTCCTGATTGATCTTTCTCCCCCGCCGGCGCAAGAAGCACGGAGCTCGGCAGCGAATCCGCGTGCACGAAGCCCATCTGCATCGCTTTTTTCGCAAACTGCACTTCCTCCTCTGCGGACAGGACGTTCCGCTTGGTGAATCCCGAAGAGGAATTATTCGAAGTGCTATGTCTCGGCACAGCTTCCCAGCTCATGCTGTCCTTGTTCAAAACACGACGTAACGCGCTGCTGATGATCGGTTCCGCAAAGACCATTTTCTGCGTCGGGCGGGCGAGAAACTTCGCGACAGGGGGAGGCAGTTTGAAGGACGAGTTTATTTCATCATCTTCTGGGGGTCGGTTTCCTCCTTCTCCTTCTTGTTCCCCCGCATGATGTTGACAAACCGCGACGTAAACGTGCACGACCCCGTCTACGGTTGTGCAGTTCGGCCGTACGCGACGCCGGACGAGTTTTGTTTTCCGGAAAAAGGACTGATGGTGATCCTTGCGACCTGAAGATGAAGTACCCGAAGCAGCTCCAGCGAGTAGCTTCTCCCTCACGACAGTCTTCCAGCTGTTGCAGCTCTTATTCGCGCTACTGGTGGGCGGTAGCAGGTCGTTATCCACGAGCAAATACACCCCTCTTTCCGCCACTTGAAAAACCGTCGCTAGGTGGGCGATCAGATACTCCACCGCGGATTGCAATATCCTGTGTAAAAACGTCCCCACCTCCCCAGAGTTGTCATGCAAATGTGCAATGACAGGAACATTTGCAATGCGGATCTGCATGAGAGGGGTTTCCAGTCGTGTTTTGGACTTTGTAATGCTGTAAACAGGATGAATGGCTGGCTTTCTCATGCGGCTGCCCTTGCTAAACAGCACGACGCTACAGATGGAAACTTGTCATGCAAAACTCCCAAAACTTGGAGATTTGTGTTGCAGACTTACCAACTTGACTATGGGGTGGGGACGTTTTTACACAGGATATGCAACCAGAGGGAATCTTCACCCGACGACTTCGCAATCAAAACCACCGGCGCCGAGTCGGTGCCGTTCTGCAGTGCCTCCTTCTATGGATTGCAAAAGTGTCTGGGTCTGGAAGATTGCAACTTGTCATAATAAATCTGAAGCATGCAAAAATCTGTGTTGCATGAGTGCCAAAAGCTGTCCACTTTTCACCAAGTTGGAAGGGAGTTTCTCATGCAGGACAGGCATGGCGGAGACCTCGCAAAGTCTGTCATGCTAAGCCCCGCATTCCAGACCTCATGGGTCATGGAAAATCTGCATGACAAGTCTACACTTTTCCAGAGCCAGACATTTTTGCAGTTGATACCTTCCAGGCACTCACCATGGCAGGGCGGAGTGCGAAGGGCTTGGCAAGTAAAGAAGACATGATGATGGGGCAGTTGTCCGAAGTATGTTTTCGTTCTTTTGCGTTGACTCTTATTTCTAATTCACTCCCCCGTCGGTCTTGCCCGTACTGTGTTCCGCTAGATACTATACGGAATGATCGATGACATCGATTTTCTCTCTCGCTTTTGCTTTCCCTCGTACTTTTGTCAAAACTGAAAGCACAACCTCATTGTGACGCACAGCACTTCATCTCCCTCAGCACGTTTGCTGTGCCCGAGAACCCTCTTGTGTTTGTGCGTATCAGCCTATCAGGCACAATTCAGTGACTTTTCATGGTGACAAAAAGAACATCATCTCCACTGTTTTCGTTCCAGAGAGATTTGGAGCAGGCCGGCTAGCGGACTCCCTGACCATGATGAAGATGGTTTCTTTGTATTACAGAAAAGCCGCACAGAAAAGAGAGGGTGAAAAAAAAATTCGTCTGGGTAGTTTCAAATTTTTGATGCCCTCATCATACATAATAGGCCAAAAAAAACAACCCCTTATGCTATTTTACACGACTTGCAGCAGGGAGGTAAATGTAATTCAAATTTCTGAACAAAAATCACAATAAATGAAATCGAGAAGAACAACCAGCGTTTATTTCTACTGTATTATCCCTCTTGCGGCCCAATAGATCACGCCCGCGAGCATGACGGTGATTAACAAAACACCGATGATGTAATTCCGCAGCCCGTGTTCGTCCTCTAACAAAGGATCCTGTGGCGTCCCGTCCTCGTCCACAAAATTCATGCCCGCATACCCAGACGCGACGGTGGCGGGGAGCGCAATCGCGGTGATGATCGTGAGCACTGTCAACAACTTGTTTAAGCTCGCGTCCACGTACGCCTGCCGTTCCGCTTTCAGAGATTCGCACTCCCTTTGGAAGGTATTCAGCCTTTCCTGCCACTCGTTCAGCGTGTCTTGCACGTCCTCCAGATACCCCCTCACTTCCGGTGGCACGGTGTTCTCCTGCGTGACCAGGGATTTCAGAATCCGGTCCATCGGCTTAATCTGGGTCTCGAACCAGTCCAAGTGACGCTCTATCAAATACAAATTCTTCACTTCGTTCCAGGGCAGCGCGTGCTCGTGCTCGTGGAGCCGGGCCGCGGTAATCGCGAGCTGCAGTTCGAACGCGTGCGCGATCGGGAGCATTTCATCCAACGAGCTGTCCAAAATCGCGTAGACCAGCCACATCGCGTCGCCGGTCCGCACCATCGAACTGTCTTTGCTGATCAAGGACTTCACGTGTCTCAAGACCGAGGAAAGCTGCGTCTTCGAGGGGTCGCTCAAATGCTTCCGCTGGCTCATCCGCGGCACGGCGCGCCCGAGATCGGCGGTGCCGGAGTTTTGCAGTTCTTGCGAGGAAGGGTCTACTTGACCGCCGTTTTTACTTCTTGCTATGATTCCCACGTCCGCTGACATGTTGGCTATTCCCCCTGCTTCAGTCGCACCCATACCTCCTACGTGCGAGGAATTTTCTCCCAGGCTGGCGTCTTCCTCATCCTGCAGGTCGTCTTGATTTTGCTCTTGCCTCGTTATCCGCACCTCCTCCATGACCCCCTCGGGCATCTTTTCCAGCACTTCCACCGCCCTCGGCAGGGGTTTAGTATTTCCATAACTTTGTTCCTGGTTTTGTTCGTCCAGCTGCCCCCCCGCATTGGTGGACTCCGACCCGGACGAGTCATCGTCCGAGAGGCGGATCAGGATGGACCCCACGTCGCCCTCGTTGAGGTGAACCATGTCCGTGGGCATTCTTTGCAGGAAGGCCTGCTTATCCAACAGAAAAAAGCTGGCAGGTCACAGACATTTGTAATGCAAAAATAAATACACAAAAAAATCTGTATTGCGTATCCTAAGCAGCATGCTATGAGGCCGCCCATGACAGATTTTTCTGCGTACTTATTTTTCCATTACAAATATGCCCTGCCAGCTTTTTTCTGTGGGATACTGCTGTCCACCCTCCTTCCCGTACTTTTCCAGGTTCTGCTGCGCGAGTTGCATGGCCTCGTTCACGCCCGCGTCGCAGAGGTTCACTCTCGTGGGGTGCCTATCAAGTAAAAAAATGTGGTCTGGGTCTGGAAGATTGTAGACTTGTCATGCAGATTTTCCATGACCCCTGAGGTCTGGAATGCGGGACTTAGCATGACAGACTTTGCGAGGTCTCTGCCATGCCTATTCTGCATGAGAAACTCCGCTCCAACTTGGTCAAAAGCGGACAGCTTTTCGCACTCATGCAACACAGATTTTTGCATGCTTCAGATTTACCATGACAAGTTGCAATCTTCCAGACCCAGACATTTTTGCAATTCATAGTGCCACGCGGTGGACAAGGACAGTAAAAAATTCGCCTCGGGCTTCACCCCGATCACCATGCCCATCTTCTTGCTCTCCACCGCGATGCCCAAATTCGGGATCAGCCCCGTGTCCAGCACCTGCTCCCCCTCTTTCACACTGTGCCGCAGGTTGGATAAAGAAACGGCCTTCCGCAAGGTGGCAAACATTTTGCCCCCGTGGCCCCGATGCTCCTTGCTGCCCGACTTCTTCATCTCGGTAGTGCCTCCGTGCCGCGCCTGCGACCTCGCCGCCTCAATCGTGGGATGCTGATGGCCGTGGATTCTTTCCAGGGCCCGGATGGCGGAGTGCACGCGGTGTCGCGCGTTATGCTCTAACCGGAACAAGGGGATGGACAGAAACCAATGCTCCCCACTCGTGTCTTCCGACGAGGCGGGAACCAATGGGTTGTTTGGGTCGAAGTAACTCTCGGCCGACTGAATACTTGCGTGACTCGCGGGGGACCCCCTGTCAACATCATGCGGATAATTGTCGTTCTTCGTGTAATTCATCCCCTGCTGCTCCTCATCTCCGTTCGCGACTACAGCCCCGACCGCCTGTTTCGCCTCCGTCAACGCCGTTTTCTGCAGTTCTGCTTGCAAACTTTTGTGCGCGGGGGTGGACACCAAATCGGAAATCGCGTTGCCGTACTTCGTTATCCTCCCCGACGGTGCCTCCTCGATGATCGACAGCGCGTCCTCCACGGCGAGCGGGTGGATCCGGTACTTTACCGCCAATTGCAGCAACGTCGCGTTGCCCGCTCGCCCCTTCGCCAAGTCGTAGCAGATCCACCGCATTTGCTTCGAGCTGTAGGACCGGAACAACGGGATGGGGGACATCATGAAATCCGCGACCCGTTTCACGTCTAAACGTTGCTCCACCTGTCCGACGTTGCTCGGGGCGAACCCGGTTTTCGGGTTGCACTCGGGGTAGACCTGGGCTATCCTGAGTAAAAACGTCCCCAAAGCAGAGTCAAGATGGGCAGTCTGCTACACAAATCAACCAGCTTTTGCTGTTGCGCATGACAGGTTTGGCCCCGCAGTGTAATCCTGTTTACTTAGCTCACCAGCATCACAAATCTAGCATATCGTGCCGATTGGAGCATGACAAATTCCGAAACACGACTAGAAAATGCTTCTCATGGGGCTCCGGATGAGAAACATCTTCAGCGTGCAGAATTGCATTACAACTATGGGGTGGGGACGTTTTTACAAACGATATGGGTCTCCGCAAACTTATCCGAGGTGTAGTCCATCACCGCGAAGCCCTGCTCCGCGTTAATCAGGTTACCTGTTCAGGTGTATTTTTCGACTTCAAAAGTAGCTAAAATATGAAGAGAATCCATCGGCGATAGGCGCGCTCGCTTCACTCAATGATGTAGCGTCGACTGCCGGCGCGAGTTAGTGACTAATGCAAAATGAAAACGAAAGAAAATCTTCAAGAAAACCAGAAAGAAGCCTCATAACAGCGAGGAAAAAACCTGTCGAATCCCGGCTGGACGCCTGCCCCCGCCTCTTCCGCGCGAGCAACAACCCCCGCAAAAACACGAACCGCAACACGTCGCCCATTTTCGGCACGGGCAGCATGATCAAGTGCTTCTCCGCATCCGTCAGAAACGGCACCACAAACGCTTGCCACAGTGCGTACACGGATCTCACCATGTTCCGCAGCGCTTTCTCGTCGGTTTTGCCCGTCGCTTGGATCCCGGTCCAGTACCAATCTACGACCACCTCGTGCTCGGTTCTCTCTCCGTCTATCGAGTAATTCGTGGTCTCCCGACTCTCCTGGGCCGCGATCAGCATCGCTGCACTGCTCATTTTCGGCTTCAGAAACTCCGCGGCGGGCGGAACCGTTTTTGGCAAAACCGGCTTCCGGCAATCCACGGGGTCGAACGTTTCGAACCTCCGTCTCGCCGCACACCAGTGGTAAAACGGCCACCGGGACCGGTCCTTCGCATCCGGGCACTGGACCGATACATCCTCGAATTTCTGCAGATCCAGAACGCCCAATCGCTGCAACAGCTGCGCAAACGCCCACGGGCTTAACGCCGCCGACCCCTTGCTCGGGTCGTACTCCTCACTGTGGAGGATGTAATATAACCGAGAGCAGCGGAAGGGACTCACGTCGAACAGGGATGATAAGCCATCGTTATCCAGGGATTCCAAAAATTCGTTGAAATCAACCAAAACCCGCTCCGCTTCGTCCACCGCCCATTCCGGCTCCACTTTTTTCGGCCGGATCAAATGCGCCGGGGGTTTGTGAAAGAAGCTGTCGGAGCTGAGCCGGCGCTGCTGGACAAAAAGGGCGTTGCCCACGGCGGAAGAGGTTCTGGATTTATTCCGGCTGTTTTCAGTTTGAAGTTGTAAAGTGGAAGCGCGCTTGGGCACGACATTGCTGTCCTCCCGCAGATAGTCAAGCTCGTGGTCCATGGTGCTTTCTGAGTTGTGGGAAGAACGGGGTAGAAAGTGAAGTGAGTGGCAGTTTCACACTAGTTCATAATTCTCGGCACAAGAACTACATTTTTCTATTGCGTATATAACGTTGGCGACGTCGCTCTGTGTTGTTCACGAAATTCATTCACATCTATTCTGAATCTCAACTGGAACGCGTCGTATAGCTAATGAAAGGAGGAAAGACAAAGACAAATACTTACGCCGTTGTCATGTTTCTTCTACAGTACAACCATAACTATTCACCTAAGGGGTTTTGCAATATTAAAGGCAAACATGAAATTCTCAGGGACGGGAGGACCTGCAAACGCAAACCGAAACCTGTTGAAACGAAAGGATAATGCGACTAAGTAGCAAAACTGTGAGGAGAAAGAGAATGAGAAAGCAACAACAGTACGAACGAGACGACCTTTGACGAAAGAACGAGGGCAGCCGCACGAGTACTTGGCACGACAGATGAGGGACGAACAAATCGGTACGAATTTGTAGAAGAGACCGAACGATAAAGCAGTTGCAAGCAGAAGCAAAAACCGAACGAGCAAAGCATTGCTTCTGCTTTTTTACACGCATACCGATAAAAAAATACCTTGTATGCAACAGCAACAGACACAGAAACGGTTTTGAAAATGTCGACACGTCAAAGGACGCACACTGCCGAAGCTTCAACTCTGTACTTAATTCACAAGGTCTAGGCGCTGGCGCAGCAGCGTCGTTCTCTACAGAGCATATTCTTGGCACTTTCTTACTGTTCTTTTTCAGACGCAACTTCTATCAATTTCCCATTTCCGAGATGTTCTTGCGTAACAGAAAAACTAGCTTTTCATTCTCATTCGTAAATTTTGACTCTCACACCTTAGCAGTTAATTTTCCACGGCAATCAAACCTTACATTACCTTTTCCTGTACAGGCAAACGGATGTGCCGCTGGTCTTCCGCTAGTTTACGTAGTCGAAAAGAACTCCGAGGAGCTTACTCCCCGGAGATGGTTTTGAACATACGGAAGGGGGGTCAGTCTTCGGGCCTTCTGTACAAGGGTAGTTCTTCTACTGGAAATTTAGTATTCACAATCATGCAACAAAGCTGCTGAAACCCTAATCTGTATTCTCGTTTAGTTTTGTATCCTGGTGATGTTCCTTTTATTTTTCTGTCACAAATGCAAATTTCTTTGAAACAAGTCCCACAAGGGTACTCTATCTGCACAGAACGTCTCTGCTTGCCTTGCCGCGCGAGTAAACTGAGTCGTGCTAATCATAATTTTCAGCTACGACAAATATTCCGCAAACAAAAACAAGATTCCGACGACGGCAACTAGGCTCGGAAACAAGTACAACTGCACTAAATTTTCCCCAAGAACCGGTTTCGGCCTATTCTGCTCCATGCGAGACCCAAACGGATACGTGCCCCAGCCGGTCTTCACACCGAGGAAGGTGAGGAAGGAGAAAACCATGCAGGCGCCAACAATGTAGTTGCGGAACAGAATGGAGTTGTAGTAAGTTTTCGAGGACGAGGACGCACTACCACCCGTTTGTCCACTAGGAAGTTGCACAACCTGCGGCTCCCCTCCGGGCAACAGCGTTCGCTTCCACCAGTTGCCGCTGCTGCTGTAATCGAATTCGTACTCGTAGAAACTGGCGCGAAACTGTGTTGGGGGCAGCTTCTTGCCGTCACTGCCGTCGGGGTAGAACAGGTCGGATTCGGGGGTCTGGAACAGGCGGGCGGCGTTAGGGTCGCCATATCCTATGGAAAAACGCCCCCGCCACATAGCTGTCGCGCAATTCTGCATACTGAAAACGTTTCTCATGCGGAGCCCCACAAAAAGCATTTTCTAGTCGCGTTTTGAAACTTGTGATGCTCCAATCAGCGCGATAAGCTTGATCTGTGACGCTGCTGAACTAGCTCAAAGGGATTACACTGCGAGGCCAAACTTGTCATGCACAACAGCCAAAGCTGGTTGATTTGTGTAGCAGATTTCCCATCTTGACTATGGGGTGGAGACATTTTTACATGGGATACGCCGGCCTGGATTTTGATCAGCGCGAGCTTCACGAAATCGGGGACCGGGTCGCCGCCTGGAGGATTGTAGTGGAAAAACAAGTCGCGCATGATTCTACATGGATCTGATAACGTGGTTGCTCCCGTGTTGTAACAACATAGAAGTACCACTCAGACTCAGCTGATGCATTCTTTGTCATGCGAAAAACAGGAAAAACCGGACCACGAGTATCTATACCTCCAAACATCCCCCCACCCCTCGGTACTTCCGCCTTCACCTTACTCACGTCCGGCGTCACTTTGTTTGCCATGCCGTCTTCGCCCCCGCACGTGACTTCAATCCAGGTCAGCCAGTCGAGCCGCACGTGGTACGGAGCGATGAACACCGGGCGGCGATCCACAGAACCCGGGAGGCCAATGAATTCTAGAGGTTTCCACTGCCCATTTTGTTCCGCCGCAGCTTTAGTACTGGACGACGATGTCGCTGCAAGAACTCCTCCTGCTGTGGGCGGCGAATCCGCAGCTCCGTGCACACCACCGGACTCCTCCTCAGACGCAGCAGGACTTGCGCCGGTCCGGATTTCGTAGGTGACAACCTGGAGAAACTGGTCGCTTCTCCCATTGTCATTGTCTCCATCGCCGACGTGGAGAAAAGAAGTTTTTTGTGGTTCTTCTGATTTACTTTCTGCAGCAGCACTTGCACCCCCAGCTTGTTCTCTACCAGTATTTTCAACCTGTTCTCGTCCAGAAGATTTGTTCGCAGATAATAATTCTCCGTGCGTGTATTCCAACACGAGTTGCGTTCTCCGGTAATTGATCAGGCCAAACAAGCCGTGGCTGTTCACCAAGTACAGCGGGTCGTAGTCTTTTATCCATGGTTATGCATTGCAAATATGTCTGGGTCTGGAAACTTGTAATGCTGAGCTGGAAATAGTGAGTGCCCTGTAATGCACAGCCAAGCATGAGAAGTATTTTCGTGCCTACATTTTCCGGCTTCCGCATGACAAACTGCGTTTCTGCACGACAAGAACATGGGTCTCTTCTTGGACACGCATCACAAACTCTTCCAAAATGCCAGACAAGCATGGCAAACTCTGCACCCTTCCAGACCCAGACATCTTTGCATTTGATAATGGCCTCGGCCCCATCAGCTCCCGGAACACGTTCCCAGAGAACAGCACGTATCAAAATGAAAAATCCCCCCTCCCCATATCAAAGCGGAAATTTGTGATGCTGATTTGTGGCCACAAATCAGCTTTGTATTGCACAGAGGCACTGGGTCTGGTGGCGTATGGGTCTAGTAGGGGCGTATGGGTCTAGTTGTTCAGCATGGCAAACGGCTCCCCTTTAAGCCTAACAGCATGACAAACCGCTTCCATAATGGGGCGGAAGCTTCTGCCCTTGTCTTCTTGCAAGACAGATGTGATTTGTGACCTCAAATCCGCAACGCAAATTTTTGGAAACATACCTTTTCAATATGGGGAGGGGGGATTTTTCCTCTCAATAGCACGAAGATCAAAAAGACCAGCCAAGCGGACAACTTGTTGCAAATCCCGAGCACGGGAAGGGCGCGCTGGTGCGCGCGGGGGTTGCGGAACAGGGAAGGGATTTGCGGTGGTCCTTGTGGTTGTACTTGCAGTTCTCCATCGCGACTGGTACTGGTTCCCGCTCCACCAGCACGAGTCGCTATTGCCGTGGTTTGTTGATCATGTTGCGCGTGATCAACATCATCATCTCCGCTTGTGACTGCTACAGGTTTCGACTCTACTGCTTCGCCTGCTCGAAGAACGCGATCCACTGCCGTCGCGTTTTTCCAGGTCTCGTTGTGCTTCTGGAAGGAAAACATTTTCAGCTGGTAGACCAGAAACTGGTCGTCGAACATCGCTAGTACCGGCACAAACGCGATGTAGTTCACGACCGCGTAGCTGCCGGTCAAGATCAGCATTAGCTGGAAAAAAAGCTCCGCGACCCCGGAGAAAATCCTTAGCGTCCGGAAGGGCGAGAGGAAGAACGCCGGTAAAACGAGTTGCTCGAAAAACACAGTCACACCCTCGATTTTGTGCATGAATTCCGGTAAATGCTCGAAGTAGTAAGCGAAGGGGGTTGGTAGCCCCTGTGTGTGGTAGTGGGTGCTGGTGTATCAACTGCAAATATGTCTGGGTCTGGAAGGTGGCAACTTGTTATGGCAAATCTGAAGCATGCAAAAATCTGTGTTGCATGAGTGCCAAAAGCTCTCCACTTTTGGCCAAGTTGGAAGGGAATTTCTCATGCAGGATAGGCATGGCAGAGACCTCGCAGAGTCTGTCATGCTAAGTCCCGCATTCCAGGCCTCATGAGTCATGGAAACATTCTGCATGACAAGTTTACACTTTTCCAGACCCAGACATATTTGCAATGCATATTGTGCACGTGAAGTTCCACCAGCAAGCGGAGGAGATCCCAGGAGTTAACTTGCTCATGCCCGCACCGAGTAAGAATTTAAACGTCTGGAACCGCATCAAGAAGATGAGCAACACCGACGGGCCTAGCACCTGGTACTTCGGCGTCGCGGTTAACGAGTCGGCGAGCAGACTACAGCCCCTGCTCGAGGAGGTTCTTCCGGAGGTGGACCACAGGAGGTTCAAGGGCGGACTGCACAAAAATAGCAAAATAAATCCAAACGACACCACGTCCCATTCCCAGCCGAAGCCCGCGACCATGCGGGTCTCGAGATTCACAATGGACAAATACCCCAAGTAGCAGTACAATGCTGGGTAGAAAACGTAGGTTTGGTCCGCGATGAGCAACCAAAAGGACGCTAGGAACCCCGTCCAGGAGATGAATTCCAGCTGCAGATCCCCGTACCCGAAGAGGGTAAAAAGTGGCGTCGGCCCGTGCTTGTCCTTCGGGGTGTTCTCCGCGGATAACGAGAGGGGAAACGGCGCGCCGACGGATTTTTCCCACTGCGGCTCCAAGCCGTATTTCCCAAAAATGGTCCGGTGTTGCACCGCGGAGGTCAAAAACCCGAAGAGGTAAACGACACCCATCAGCCGCACCATCAGAGTCCGGACAAATTCAAACGTGTAGCGGTCCTCGAAGCCCGTGTCGAGGTTGAACAAGGGGACGTAGGGGGATTTTTCTTCCTTCGTCCCAACTGTTTGCTTGCGTGGCACCGGCTGGATTTCGGAAGAGTCCGCGTCGGCGTTCACTTCCTGAAGAACGTCGGACGTGTTTGTCCTCGAATTATCGCCACTAGTTGCAGCTCCGTTTAAGACACTTTTCTTCCGTCTCGCACTGCAGGCAGAACACGGAATCCGCACCAAGTAGGACACCACCAACAAAAACATGGACCACCTTGGTAGCTCGTACAGGTTCTGGTACATCTTGATCGCGTGCTCCGGTAATTCGATTCGCAGCTCCCTCGCCCAGTCCGGCACCCAGTCGCTCCCGTGAAATAATTGCGACTGTTTAAACCCCTCGTAGCATTTGGAAACGAACCAGGAAAGTTCCGTGAAAATTGTATTGTCGAACGCCTTTCCCTGCTTGTTCAGGCTGCCGAAAAGGATCTGTTGCAGGATCTGGGCAATGAAAAAACCAATCACACCCGCGACGATCCACGGCGCGGACTGCACATCCATGGCAGAGCTGAAAGCTTCCGTGTACTCCCGAAAGGAAAATTCCGCGGTCGTCGGGTGCGAGTGAAGTCTACTTTTTTTCGCTTTTTGTTTATTCCGACTTTTAGAAGACGAGGAAGCCGCCGTGCCGTCCTTGGTTTTGTCCTCGTCGACATTTGACAGCAATCCGTCATCGTCTGCAACATGATCCGTTTCGGAATCGTCATCTTCCTCCCTTTCCAACACAGATCCCGGTGTGGGTGAAACCACCGTCTCGTCCCGTTTCGGGTTAAACGCGCAGGTTTATCAAAAGGAAAAATCCCCCTTCCCCATGTTGACAAGGCACGTTTTCGAAAATTTGCGTTGCTGATTTTTGACCACAAAGCGTCTCTGTGTTGCATGAAGGCAACTCCACAGGCTCCGCCGCATTCTCGAGGCGGTTTGTCATGCTCATGCTCCTACAGCATAGACGTCTGTCATGCCAAGCGCCTAGGCAAAAACCTGTCTTCTCAGGCTTGATATGCAATATGGGCCTGCAGTCCTCGCCAGCAAGACAAATCTGATTTGTGTACGCAAATCCAGCATCAGAAACTTCGTTTTGATATGGAGAGGGGGGATTTTTCATTCTGATAAGGTTTCCGTCGACACCGGCCCCGCGTCCGCCTTCAATTCCGCGTAAAGGTACTGCCGGTTACTGACCTTGATCTCCACGTCCCCGTGCAAAAACATCCCGGCATACTGCTTCTCGACCGCATTTTTGACCGCGCCCGCTTGCCCCGCTTCCACGTCGTTGTTGACCGCGGGGGAGAGACCCGCGCCGACAATCGCACTCTGCATGAACTTGCTCGCGAGGTACACCAGATAGTGCGTGTCCCCGTGCTTCCGGTTCTCTGAGACCGTTTCGTAGTGAATAGCCCGCTCGCTTTTCGGCACGAACGCGCCCGTGCCGAAGTTCCCAAGGTACTTGTAAAAGCCCTTCATCAACTGCAGGCCCCGCGCGGCCGCCATCGCGCCGCGCAGGATGTTGTTGTCCTCGAGTAGGATCACCCGGTACACCGCGTCTTTATAGCTGATCTTCAATTTCTCCTCCAAAAGCCACAGGGTAAACGGGTGCTGGACGTAGAGATAGTTGATCTTCGCGGGCGCTTCGCACTTCAGGAAATGCAGCGTCGCGGCTTGGTGGCAGAAGCCGCAGCGACCATCCCAAATAATCGTTGGGCCCTGTATTGCTACGTTCGCCAGCCGGTTCCTCTCCGCATCGTCCATGGTGTCAAACGTGGAGGGAGGAGCGGGTGACTCGGTCATTGACGCGGCCATGGTTCTTTCTAGTTTGTTTGCAGCTTCTTTTGTTTCTTACGTGAGAACAAGAGGCCAACGAATTATAGAACTGCGTTTTGCAAGCGCGCAAATGCGAAAATCGTCCAGAGGCTGGCGCAGTGAAGAACCTAGCGAATCTCGGCTGAGCTACTTGCGCAGAGAAGAAAACGCCTATTGTATGTATGACTTCAGAAGTAAAAAGCACATTGATGTTGATGGTGTTGCCAACCTCCAGGCACCTTCCGAAGATGATAGAAGAATCCGCGTATTTTTTCTCTCACCCCGTTTGTAGACGATGGTTTTGTGTAAGAGGAGCTAGTACGAGAAAATGATCCATGACGACCCAACAGATAGCATCACCATGCTTCGACGACGAAATTGCAGACGGTGGATGTGAACACCTTTTTGTACCTCCCGACCAGACGTCCATGCGAAGACTTCGCCGACGATTCTCACCCGGCTGCTCTCTTGATATCTTACTCGATTGCGCGGTCGATGGGAAAACAACGCTTTGCGGTGTAGTTGTCATGTGGGTAGACTCAGTCTGGGTCATGGTCCTCGAAGAGACTGATGTTTCTCTTAGGGTCTATGGTGAAGAAAAAATGTCGCCACAGATGAGGGATTTTTCTTGGAAGTGGATGTGGCACTGAATGATTTGCTAAAAAGCGTAGCCAAACGTCGTGCCTCCGCTTTTCATCTACTTCGCACCATTGATGCAACACTTCACTTCCCGCTCTGTTTTTGAAATTCCAGCAAAAATTCGTACGTCTGTTTCGACCTGGGATTCGCAAACCCGTTCTTGGAATTCTTTTTCTTCTCGATCGCGCCCTGCGCCAAGTGCTTGATGTGCCCAAGCACCGCGTCGCTGGCGATCAGATTGCACACCGCGGTCATGGCGCGAAACTCGGAATCCGGGTCGGCCGTTTCCCACGCGACCAAATCTAGCAAATAGGAGAACTGCTCGGTGACGGAAATCATTTTGCAGATCGAATCGTCCTCCGTCAACTGCGCGAGGCAGCCGGAGGCGGCGATTAACAACCTTCGGTCGTTGTCGGAGAGCGTTTCCAAGGGTACTTGCTTCTTCAAAGGATTCCCGTCCTTGAAGATCTTCCGGAGTTCCGCCGTGGGGCCGGTTTCGGCGTCTTGTTCCTGTTTTTTCTTCAAATCTTCCTGCTCCTTCTTTTTCTTCTCGTCAAACTTTTTCTTTCTCCCCGGCCAGTCCTCCAGCTCGTCGTCACTGCTCTTGTTCGCCAGGGCCTCCTCACGCTCAATGCGATCCACCTCGGCCTGGTCGCGGGTCACAATGGCGCAGAAAGCGAGCATCACCTGTTGGTTTTAATTATTTGTGCGTTCGAGAATACTGTGCATCTTGGGTGCGTACCATGAGTTGTAACAGCTGCAGTTGCTGCGGGTAGCGCTACGGCTACTTCAAAAGTAGCAATGCAAATAAAAATATACAACTAGAGGCAGAAAGTAAGATTTTTCTATACCTTGATTTCCGCCGGCGCGTTGTCGACTCCTTTCCCTTCCAAGTACAAGTTGCACTTCTTCGCCAGCTTCTCCACGATGCTGCCCTCGGTGCACAAGTTGCACATGACCTCCAGTCCGACCCGCTGGACCCGCTCGTTCGCGGAAAACAGCAACTCCATCGAGATTTCCCACCCGTTCGCGTTCAGAATGACGTCGCGGATGTTTTTGGACGAAGCCAGGTTCGTGATCGCCATGGCGCCCTCGAATTGGTGGAGCTCGTGTCTTATGGATTGCAAATATGTCTGGGTCTGGAAAGTGGTAACTTGTCATGGTAAAACTGAAGCATACACAAATCTGTGCTGCATGAGTGCCAAAAGCTGTCCACTTTCGACCAAGTTGCGAGGGAGTTTCTCATGCAGGATAGGCATGGCGGAGACCTCGCAGAGTCTGTCATGCTACGTCCCGCATTTCAGACCTCATGGGTCATGGAAAATCTGCATGACAAGTTTACACGCTTCCAGACCCAGACATTTTTGCACTTGATATGTCTTGACTCCTTCATCATCGTCAACAAGGGCACGACCATGTCCGCGGCGTCTTGGTACTGGTAGAGCTCCGGATTCGTCACGATCGCGATATGGGCTAACGCTTGCCGGCAGGCGTCCACCGCCTTCTCGTTCTCCTTGATCGCGTTGTTTTTGAGCAGCTGCGTGTGGAGTCGGAGCAGAACGGGAACCGCACCCGTTTTCATCAAAACCCTGCGCCAGGTCAAATCCTCCTGGTTCTGGGTTAAAAAGTTGTAGAGCAGCGCCAACGACATCTGCCCCTGAAGTGTCAAAGCGGAGCTGTAGGAACACTGGTGGAGTTTCTCCAGGCAATGCTCGTGCTCCATCACAAATTTTCGGTACTTGAACGCCAGGGCCGCATCGCCGGCGTCGACCGCACCGTTCTGCGCCGCTCTGGACTGCGCCGGCATCTTTTGGTAGAACTGCTCTAACGCTTCGATCTGGTCGTCGTCCATCTCGTTGTACGGGTACTCCTGCCTTCTGGGGCGGATCTTGTCTTCGTTCGACCGGAAAAAGTTGAATAATATGGTCGTGTAGTAAAAACCAACAATACTATCCGCGGTGATGTCGTCCATTTGCACGAAGTTGCAGAGGAACTCCGTGACCAACTTGTCGTTTTGGATAAATTCCGCCTTGAAGTCTTTGTGGAGCGAAAGATACACGAACGCCTCGAGGAACGCTTTTTTCAGTTTCAGTAGATTGTCGAACTCGAGGGAGCGGAGCAGCTCCTTCTCGCCCAAGTTCTCGTTCTGCAAAGAAATCAACCGCTCGTCGGGAAGACTGGTAAACGGGTTCTTCTGTTGCTGGAGGGTACTAGAGGACTTATTTGAGGCCGTCGCACTGTAGTTCTGGTTTTTCTTACTATTTTCCGCTGGTCGGCTCTGCAACGCATCGGATTTGGTTGCGGGTGTCCTATCGCTGTTGTCTTTATTCCTACTTGCGGCCGAAAAGCCAGTCGCGTTTTTCTTGATGTCGGTCTCTAGCCTTTTCCTGGTCTCCGCAACTTGGACCGACAATTCCTTCACATACGCGAACGCCTCTTCCAATGCTTTCAAGAAGTCGGTGAACTCAAAGATCTGACAGGCGATTTCGTCCGAGTGCGCCGCCATCAGGGCCAAAACACACACCAGCTTCGCTTTTAACAGCCTGGTTTGGTCCGCTTGCAAACTGGTTTGCCGCAATTGAATCGACCCCAAGCCCTTGAAGATGCCCGTGACCATCTCCACCCCGCCCGCCTGGATGATCTGCGACCGCGTGGTCAAGTCCCGCATGCACTGCACCAGCACGTCGGACGCGTAGATCTGCGCTAACCGCGTGTCCGCCGCTTGAATGTCGTGCACGGCGTAGCAGAGCTTCAAAATCACGTTCAGGACCTTTCCGCACTCGTGGTGTAAGCAGGACGACGCCGCTTCCGAGTTGACGAAAAACATGGTCGTTAGCGAGAGAAACCCGTTCGCCAACAGCGTGTGGTCGTCCTTCGCGTCGCCGACAAAGGGAAGAATCATCTTCGTGCTCACCTCCCCTAAATCGATCGCGTCCTTCTTCGGCCGCTCTTTGTCGGCTAGTAAAAACCAGAGCTGCGCAAGGCAGGACCGGAGCTGCTCGGAGCAGGGCGGGCTCGTGTGGAGCAAGGACTCGACCAATTTGTAAAATTGTTGGTTCGGCACGTACGCCTTCGCGAGTTGACCCATCCGTCTGCGCTCATCCGCGATTTGGGACGTGACGGCGATCGCGGAGCTGTTCGCGAACGTTTGCAACCGGTCGTGCAAGTCGGACAGCGTTTCGAGAAGAGTCTGGTCCTCCAACTTTCCCTTGATCCCGTGGTAGGTCTGGGTGATGTTCGGACTGTAGAAAAACAGGACTTTCACGGCGTTCTCCAGCAGAAACTCGTTGTTCAACAGGTTCGTGGCGTCAAATCTGAAGGTACTTGTTGTACTTGTAGGTGAGCTTGCGCTTGTTTGATGTTCCGCGTCTTGTTCTTCCTTGGGAAGCAGAGTTGTAGTTTCTTTTTTCGTGATCTCCACGGCCGCTGCGACCTCCGCAGCAGGCTTGTCGGATGATGCCCCCGCAGCTGTTCCTGCAGTTATAATTTTGCTGTCATCCAGGACCTTGCTCCTGCCGCAGCGTAGCAACTGCCGCAGCTCGTGCAGCGGCAAGTTCGTGCGGATCAGCTCTTGCGCCGTTTTGCTCTCCTCATCTATTGGTAAGGGCTTGTCGGCCGCGTGTTTATCCAGCATGTCGTCCTCTGTCCACGTGTAGTTGCCCATGAAGTGCAAAAACTGAAACGCCCTGCCAAGGATGGTCGCGAAATTCTCCTCTTCCTTCGGATCTAACAGCGATTTATTCGGTGACAAATTTGAAGCAGGTTTGCTCCGATTTTGATTTTCACCTGCAACTACAGCCTGCTCTACGGTATTATTTTCAAATCTGTCCCGTAGGAACTTGACCAGACCGCTTGCTTCGATCACCTCCTCCTCGTTCGTCTCCACATCTAAGACCGTCCCGCCCTGCTCGAGGCTGAGGATCGTCTTGATCGCCTTGCAGATTAATTCCACGGACTCTAACTGGAGCAACGATTTCTTGCTCGCAGTGCTGTTGACTAAGCTCCTGGTCAGACTGTTGATCGCCGGGGCCACGTCGTGGGAGTCAAAGATCCTTTTGAAATTCAAGTGCTGTTCTGATGTCTCCTCTGCCTTATTTGTACTTCCTACCGGGGACATCAAAAGTTTGTCCTTCACGATCTGCAAAGCCTGGCTGCTGGACAACTGATTCTGCAAAACCGCGTTCCTCTCCACTTGCCTGTGTTCGTAGAACGCCCGCGCGTCCTTCTGCAACTTCTGCACCAGTGGTGGGCCGAGCTTCTTGTCGAGTTTTGCAAACAGCACCGCGTCGGAGAGCGCACGGGAGTAGTTCTGCAATTGCTCGAGCGCCAATGCCCTTCGGTAGAGCGCTTTCGGATACTGGTCCAGGAGTTTGAGACAGCTTGTGCAGTCGTCCACCGTCTTCTGCCACTGCTCCTGCTTGAAGAAGCACAGCGCGCGGTTGTTGTACATTTGGCCCAATGACTGTCGCTCCTCCGCTTTCTGCTTGTTTTTTTCCGGCGTGAAATTCGCCGCATCCTGAACATGATCCTGCTGCTGTGGTCGTGCACAAGAACTTCCTGTTGTGGTACCACTGTTGCACAAAGCTGCGAGTTTACTTATCCCGTCGGAGTACTTCTCTATCGCGGGTTGCAGATCTCCCTTCTGGAAAAAGTCGTTGCCCTCCTGCTTCAGCTCCTGCCACGTGGAAGTACTACTTCCGCATGTTGACTGGCTGTCTTCCTGCGTGGTGCAGGTAGTACTGCTTTCCGCGGTCTTTTGTGCCTGCATGGTGTCGTCAACAGGGGTTTGGTCGGCTACCATTGTTTGCTTTCCTACACAGGTGATGATTACCACAATATCAGGATATGATACACTTCTACTTTATCACGATATCTTCACATTCATGAGGTACAAGCGAGGACAAAATTTCTGTCTAAAGAGTCTTCAAAATAGAACATGGAGCGCCGCTACAAGCTCGTGGGACAATTAATTTCTTGGCCTCAAATAGAGAACGACGTTCGTGATTTGTGCGTTCACTCAAACAGAAAAAGGGTGGGCCGAGGTCTTCGTTGGGGAGCTATCAAGTCAGATCTCTTGACGAATTTGCGTTCGTGTATGTAAGATCAAATTTCTCCTGAAACTGACTGTTGTTTTCGATTGGGGTTGTAGCAATAATTTCGAAAAACATCATGCACCAAAAAAAAGAAATCGCGAGATGATCAGCGTACAACAGATAGATGGCACGAGACTACAGCTGGTCCGTTCAGAAGCACGAATGACGAAGACCGAACCGACCGCATCGTTGAGTGTGTGTCTGTGATGATCACGGTTCTAATTTGTATGTACGAAAACAACAAGACTAGTACGAACGGAATTTGAACGAGAGCACGTGGAACGAAACCGATTCTGTAGCTCAAGTCGCTACAACACAGGAGGCCAACAGCGTCTAATGACTCGTGTTGGTAGCTTTTGTTCTTCCTGATGTTGTTCCTGCGCAAATAGCATTATTACGATCACATGCAGGTCGTATGCCGCTTGCATCTCGTTTCTACTAAAAGTCGTCATACTTGACCACAGTTGGTGTCCGATCGACAAAGGCCTGGCCCATGTAGTTTTTGTTCGTTTCTTTCTTAAACTGAATCAAACGGACGGCCTCCCTGATGTCCTCCTCGTCGTATTCCCGGTGCACATCGTACGTCAGCGCGAATTCCAATCTTATCTCCTTCGCGTACGTGCACGCCTTTTCCACGAGCTCCGGCGTGCAAGCGAAATGCGTTTCATACTGCCACTTCACGTATCAACTGCAAATATGTCTGGGTCTGGAAACTTGTAATGCTGCGTTGGGAATAGTGAATGCTCTGTAATGCACAGGCAAGCATGAGAAATGTCTGCGCTTCTTTGTGTTGCGTTTTTCGAATGACAAACTGCGTTTTTGCATGACAGGCAAAAGGGTCTCTTCTTGGACACGCATCACAAACTTTTTGGTCATGCCAGACAAGCATGACAAATCTCGCAATCTTCCAGACCCAGACATTTTTGCATTTGATATCACGGGCAGGAGCATGGGCAACACGAACTCCTCGCGGTAGCAGTAGGTCACCGTGGTGACCTATCCTGAGTAAAAGCGTACCCAAACCAGAGTTGTAATGCAGATTTGCAAAGACAGGAAGACTTGTATTGCGCATCCCCATGAGAGCCATTTTCAGCCGTGTTTTGGAATTTGTGATGCTGTGAACAGGATGAGCAGATGAATCTGTGACGCGGCTGCACTTGCTAACCAGCACTACACTGCGGAGTGCAATTTGTCATGCGTGACTCCCAAAACTCCTAGGTTTGTGTTGCAAAATCCCCATCCTGACTCTGGTGTGGGGACGTTTTTACACAGGATATGACCGAGCTCGCGTCGGAGATCCGCTCGACCTCGACTACTTTTATCGTGAAATGGTCGTCTACCGCGGAGGTAAACAGGGAAAGCTCGCGGGCGGTCAGGCCTGGGTTTTCAATTTGATGCGTTGATGAAAACAGTCTCCATTGCATACCATCTCCTGAATCCCTGCAAACTTGCGAGAGAACAACAAAACCCAAAATTATAACTGTCAACCGAATTTTTACGGTGTGAAGACAATCAACGACGAAGAAACGCGGGCGGTGTGAACACTGGCCATCTTGCATGTCAAGCAGAATCTAGGTGGGATTCAGTGTTTCTTAGTCGCAATCAATCTATGGTGACTATCGTCACAGCCTGTGGGGAAAAATTTAGGGTTCCAAACAACACACAATTTCTGACGTCTCAGTCAAGGGGGTAAACATGAAAGTTCAAATTTGTTCTAATCACCCTAAATTTATGAGAAATCCGATCAACCATCGTTGATCATCACTAGCTTACAGTGTGGGTTTAGAATGAACTTCATTTTTGGTTCATTTGTATGAACATGCTGATTTCACATTGGATCCAAATTTGAACGACAAATTTAGAGCCTGATTTCAATGAGCATTCAATTTAGGTCGTAGGGAATTTGCTTGGCTTATGATCCTGGTGGATTTCATATCTTGCCTAACATTCCCCCTTCCGAATGAACATTAAATCATCGAAGTGAATCAGATGAGATGACTTTGTGTGAAATTCGCATCAATCAATCCTAGAGATTATTGAAGTCAACAAAGTGGGCTTTCGCAAATACTTCATTAGCTTTTCGTGCGGGAGCTTTGAAGATTTGGATATACTTCTCTCCTGGAAGTGGTTTGGTCAATCCATCCGCTAGATTGATATCCGTGTTTACATAGCACAAGTCTTTTACGTAGTCTCGTACTAGGTGTAGTCGAAGACTCATGTGCTTGGATCTTTTCGTGGCTACGGTTGTCTGACTCAACGCAAGCGCGGACTTGTTGTCGTTGAAGATCAACGGTAGAGATCCTGACTCTTGTTCTGAAAACCAGTTCAAATATCCTTGGTCCATAGTCATCCTTACACAGTCATACATCGCGCAATACTCGGCTTCCATTGTTGACGTAGCTCGAATCGATTGACGTTTCGACTTCCAACAGATGGGAACTCCGCGTCGATATAGGATTGTTCCTGACGTGGATCGAAAACTTACAGAACATCCTGCAAAATCTGCATCGCAGAAAGCAATAGTGTCTCTGTATTCCTTGTTTTCTAGCTCTGCGGCTTTTGTGTAGATTTCTTTGAACTTTTTCTCTTGCTGCTTGCTGTATTCCAATCCTTGCGATTTGGTTCCTTTCAAATACGCCAGAATACGCTTAGCATCTTTTACCGTTTGGTCGGTTGGACTAGCTACCTGCGTCGCTACTCTTTGTACTGCGAATGCGATATCAGGCCGGGCAACGCAACTGATATACAACATTCCGCCTACTAGCGATCTTATCGGAAATGTGGAATTCGACGGCGAGTCCAAGTCTGCGTGGGAATTTGGTAAACATGGGGAAACTACTGCGCGGCAGTCCTTCATGTGAAATTTCTCAAGCAGCTTATCAATTGCGTCTTCGCAAGTGATTTTCATGACTCTCTTTTTCGCGTTGAAGGTCAACTTTGCGCCGAGAAGGTCGCGGATCTCATTGCCTTCCTTGTCATATTCTGCGAGAATTTCTTTTCCTGGGAACTCTGCTAAAATTGCATTCATTTCTGCAGCGACAAGGTCATCATCTTCGCCTGAGATAATGTTGTCATCTACGTAAACTGCTAGCCAGAGCTCTTGCTCTTTTCCCTGTTTGTCTTTTGCAAACTTCTTGAACAAACCTGGTTCGTGTTCGGATACAACCCAGCCTAACTTCTTGAGTCTGCCGGAATATTCGTCATACCAGCGGCGTGGGCTGATCTTCAGACCGTATAACGACTTTAACAGCCTGACAACATCGCCTTTTTCTTTGTTCTTGCTCCAGCTGTTGTGCTTGGGCAGGCGACATAACGCGATCTCGTCACCTAGAGCTGCACGCACAAACGCATTTGAAATATCGAACTGTCTAACTTTCCATCCGCGTGCTGCTGCTTCAACAAGTAAATACCTGTTAGCGGCATGGCTCACAGTTGGGCTGTATATTTCTCCTTGAAGAGATAGCTTTTGCCTGTTTCCTAGTGCTACGAGACGACACTTGTAGCGTCCGTCTCTCTTCTTCGTGTAGATGCATACCGTCGGGATAATCTCTAACTTATCACCCATCTCTTTGATGTCTTCTGCGGTTGCATGCCTCCACGTTTTTGCTTCTTCTAGCGCTAGGCGTTCTTTCGTATCTGACTCGATCCATTTGATTGCGTCAGGACTTTCCAGACACTTGGCCCAAGTGTGCTGCAAGCCAAAGAGGTAAGGAGTTTCGTCCTCCTCTAATTCATGACGAATCTGGAATATAGCTTCTGCTTCTTTTTCAAATTCCATCGGAAGATCTTTCAAAAGGTCAGATGACGACACAAGATTGACTTTCTGCCTTTTCTTTGCTCGAGGGCCACGACTTTGGCCTTTGTCGTTGCGTTCTTTGCGCTTTTTCTTGTCATGCCCTCGGCCCTTCTTGCGAAGTTTCTTTCGTGTAGGTCCTTCAACGAGGATCCTAGGCGCTTCTTGTGTCTCGTTCTCTTTTTCATCAGCATCAACTGTATTAGACTTTCTTTTTCGATTTCCATTCTCAGCTTTCTTTTTCTGCTTCGGGGATTTTTCAGGCGCCTCCTCTGAAAACAAATCGAGCCAATCCTGATTAGGGTTTTGATTTTCCTCGCCCCCTTCCTCAGGTTGCTCACCCCCTTCGAAACTCTTGCCCTCGTCGTTTTCGACGGTTTCTTTTTCCTTCGAACTGCGTTTGTCCGCATCTTCTTCATCTTTCGAACGATCGGTCCTCGGAGCGTCCTGACCACGACTGCTTTGATCATGATCTACAGCGGGCACATTCGGCTCTACGAGCTGCGAACTATCACCCAGACGCGCCGGATTCGGAAAATCAATTAACAACTTGTCAGCGTCCGGCTTCAGATCATCTATCTTGCTGACCAGCACTGATTCATCAAACTTACAACACTTCACCTCGTGGACTCCGAAGCGGATTTTGGAGCTTTTCTTACATCGACCATCTGCGGACCACATGCCTACCAGGTATGTAGAATTTTCTTGGGCGTAGCCTAGAAAGATTCCACGGGTAAACCGGTCTTCAAGCTTCGACTTCTGTGAGTGATCCTTCGCGTATACCAAGCATCCGAAACGTCGGAAATACTTGATGGAAGGTTTTCTTTTGAAGCGTTTTTCAAATGGCGACTCGCCTCCTTTGGCTGTAGGGGTTCGGGCGAATATGTGGGAGAAAGTGCGTGCTGCATAACTCCACATACGCTTATCGACTCCGACCATCATTGCCCTCACTCCGTTCTGGTGAGTTTGATTGTATCTTTCAACTTTTCCATTTTCTTGTGGTTCGTATGGAGCTGAGTAGTCAGTATGAATCGGCGGGGACTGTTTCTGTGCTGTCTTTTTCCAAGTGCTACCTGGTTCCTTGAACTCTTTGGCATTGTCGGATCTCACTCTTTTCGGTGGTCCCTCTTCATTTATCCAGACCTGCAGCTTTGCGCCTGCTTCTGCTTTGCTTTTGCAGATGAAAGAACGAGGCCAGCTGGTTGCTTGATCGATGGCATTTAGCACCCATCTTTGCGACCAGTAGTCAGGTTCCCACGGTCCAGTAAAGTCAAAATCAACTTGGTCATTGAATTTTTCAACTTTGTAGCATTCTTTCTTCGCTTTTGCATGTTGCGCGCCTTTGCTTTTCGCGAGATCGCAGGCAGGACATCGGACTACTATTCCTGGTAGACTACGATGTCCAGCACGCTGATGATCAAGAAGCATTTTCTCAGCCTTTGTCATCATAGTGGACTCTGTCTCGATCTCTTCGCACAACAAACCCTTTTCACCTGGATCTTCGTTGAACCCAAGTGCCACGGCCGGCAGCTTGGTTCCGATCCCTTTGTGAAGAAAAATTCTCTTTCCTGTCTTCCTACTTTGCAAGTAGTTGCCCCCTTCGTCGAAAACAACTCTATAGCCTTCTTTCTTCAGTTGCTCGACACTGAGGAGGGTCTGTGGAAGGAATGGATGGAATATTGCACGCTTGCAACCAAGTGCGTTTGGTTTCAATGTGCCAAAATATCCAGGGCCATCCAACTCTTTTCCGTCTGCTACAGTTATTCGCACTGGATTACTGTCGTCCCAAGATTCGAAAATCTCTGGTCGGCCCGACATGTGACTTGTTGCGCCACTGTCGCAAATTGCATCATCGACACAATTAAAAGCTGTTTCATGATTTCGGTGCTGCTCGTCCTTTTTATTCCGATGAGCATCGTTCGCCTCGCGCACCTTCCTCAATGCTGATTCGCGAACGCTGTAGAGGTGTGCTAGCTTTCTTGCTGTGTACTCGGGCGAATGATTTTGCTCGCTTTCTTTTGCTACGATTGAAAATACTGCATCTTGTGACAGATTGCATTTCTCAACTCGTTCGGCTTTGGACGCATCCGAAACATGAGATCGAGGAAATAAAATCTTACGGATTTCGCGATCGGTCGACTCAAGAGCCTGGACTTGTTGTGTCATATTTGCCATCTCTGGGGTTGCAAATTGCTCAGCAAGCTCCAGCTCTGCTCTTTTTCGTTTTCCTTTCAGCTGTCTCGTTGGACCAGCTGCATCATTGGTACAAATTTCATCTTCATTCTTATCGAGATTCGAGAATAAATCATCCATATCGATTAATGATGAAGAATCTGGATTGAAGATGTCAAGCTTGCTGTCGAACACACATTCATCTTCTTCAAAATGACTTGTAGTCACTGGTGGTTCATCACCAGGTGGTTGTTCTTTTTGTGGGGGGTTCTTTTGGGGGGGTATTTTTGTTAAAAATTTAGTTGAAAAACATCGCGAATAATTTGTATTATAACATCGAGTTTTCGTCAGCCGTAAGAATAGTTTTCTTACTTTTTGTAGTTTGTGTAACAAGCTACTTTTCTTCGAAACACCATCTAAGACTCAGTATTTCCTACCCTTCTTTCCTTTTCCTTTCTTACCTCCACCCTTCGGCTTGTCGTTGCCCTTGCGAACAGTATTCGTGTTGTTACCCTTACCGGAATTCTTATTGGAAGACTTGTTATTGACCTTATTGCCGTTTTTGTACCAGCAATCCTTGGTGTTGTGGGATTCCGAATTGCAATTCGAACACCACTTGGAATCTCCTGCGTAATTGGCCGCATGACTGTCGTCATTGCTACCAGCAGTGTGATTCTGGGTCAAGTTCGGATTTTGCGCGATCAGATTCGCAGCGGCTTGCTGGATCAGACTCGGCATCTCTTTCTTCAACATATTGGAGAACATCTGCTTCTCACGGTTCTTCTGAACGTGATCCGGGCGCGGGCCATGCTGGTTGCGAGAATTCTTGTTGCGGACCAGATTAGCTTTGTGCTTCGTGGTCTCTCCGTTGCTAGACAGAGCGCGTTCTTCCTCGACCATATGATTCTTGGTTTCTTCGAAACTGAATCCATTAGCCAAGGCACGCTTGTTGCACTCATCGAATTCCTCGCGCATGTTCCCGAAGATACAGTGATAGCGTAACTCTTCGGCCGTAACTTTAGCGCCCAGTTTGAAATTCCAGAAGTTCTTCAGTTTGTCAATATGTTCTTCCACGGTTTCATCTTCACCCTGCTTGCTGTTGAAATATTCCTTGATCAACATGCGGCGGGCACCGGCGGTCTGCGGGTTAGCCTTTTCCTTGATCTGAAGCATCAACCAGACTACACACGCGTCAGCCCCGGGCTCTTCCTGAATGTCCTGAGCTTTGGCTCGGGCCTTTCCGGTTAAGGATTTGAATACTGTACCATACAACTTCGCGTAAGCTGAGCGCACTTCGGTTGTGTAGGTGGGCCAGAAGTCGTTTTCGTGTTTGCCGTCAGCAACCCACTGGTCGCAGGCTAACTGATCGACCTCATCCCACTTGTCCATGCAGACTTTTCCTTCTAAGTCCTCTTTGAACTGGGGACCGATGTTCAACGAGAACGCCTGAGCGATCACGCTACCCTTGAACGTCTGGAAGTCCTTTCCAGTTTCTCCCTCGTGTTCCGCGTCGTACAGCATTCCGACGGTGCCGGAAGTGCTCGGACGATGGTCATCACCCGGCGCCCCCATCTTTTCACGATGAGCACGCGCGTCGCGGTTGTGTCGTCTGTTGTACTCGGTACACGCGTAGGCGGCTACCTGTACAAGAAATTTGCAATCGAATTCAGATGGTATTCAGCATTTCAAATGCGATCATCTTGTTGAATTCACGATGCAATTACAGACAAAATCAGAATTACGCTTAGACTTCTATTTTCAAAAACCGATGTAATTCAGTACCTTTTTCGTGGCCTGCTGTCGGGTCCTTGCTCTTGTACCGGCCTGCTGCTCGGTACGTTAAATCCGCCGCCCAAAACTGTAATAGTTTTTGTTGGGGAGGATTAACATGCGATTTTTGTGCTCTTGCCATGTGTGCTCGCATTCAAAATTTCCAATGATTTTAGAAAACAGACCGAAAATAAGTACAATTTTAGTACCTGTCTTGTTCCTCGCTCGATGCTTCGGCAAAGGTTACGGGCTTCGTAGCGCGCACCTTTGGTCGCTTTGTCTCTCTTGCACCTGTGTAGGTGTATGATTACAAATTCTCTCTTACTTTCAAACAGCCTCTGACCGTGTATCAGCAATTGATATCACGGCAGCAAATCACCACTGTTGGTTGATTTGAACTCGGTGGCTGGGGGTTATTTTGCCTAAATTTTTAGTTCAAATTCAAACAAAAATTCTATTCAAAAACACTACCAAAAATTCAAAATTTTCTTTATTTTTCTTCGTGCTTTTAGTACCTTCCTGCGGGTCTTGGTGTGGTTGGTGGTTTGGTTCTGGTCCTGGCTTGGTAGGTGTTGTCGTGTTGCGGGGGGACCAGGCTTGGTAGTTGTTGTCGTGTTGGCACTGGTCGTGTCTTGGTGTCAGCGCTCAAGGCTGTGCCGTTAGAATGTCAACCGAATTTTCACGGTGTGAAGACAATCAACGACGAAGAAACGCGGGCGGTGTGAACACTGGCCATCTTGCATGTCAAGCAGAATCTAGGTGGGATTCAGTGTTTCTTAGTCGCAATCAATCTATGGTGACTATCGTCGCAGCCTGTGGGGAAAAATTTAGCGTTCCAAACAACACACAAATTTTGAGTTCTCAGTCAAGGGGGTAAAACATGAAAGTTCAAATTTGTTCTAATCACCCTAAATTTATGAAAAATATCAGATCAACAATCGTTGATCGTCACTAGTATACAGTGCGGGATTAGAGTGAACTTCATTTTTGTTCCTTCTCATGAACATCGTGATTTGCATGAGACCTCATTTTGAATCATCATCGTAGCATCGTGATTTACATCGTGATTTCAATTTAGTCAATTCAGATCGGGATGCTTGTCAAGAACAAACTCTTGATCATGCTTACAATAACCTCTATACCATTCACCATCTGCCCAAGCACGACCTGATCCTCCGGTGACGGGCTGGTGAACGGCACGTACACCGGCGATAACGCGCATTCGTTGGTGTCTCGTATGCTGTACGGCCCGTAGACGTTTTCTGATAGTAACAGCGCCATTTCCTTGTCTGGAACCCGGTCGAGCAGCGCGCGGAAAACGTCGTTGTTCTGCCACGCACCGTACACAAAAAAAGTCCCGTTTGCGTAGGCGGTCCGAATTTTAAACGCTTCCAGGTCCTTGCCTTTCAGTACCTTCGGCTCCGACTGCCGCCCGCTCTGGTTCGAGGTGCTGGCCTTTGTCCCCGTCGACTTGCTGGAAGACGGCCGCGAACTGCCCCGGGATTGGAGATCGCGACTACTCATTTTGTTTGCAGCAGTTGTCTACATTGTAAGTTGGAATTTATTTTCGCTACTCCTGTCTTCGAGGCGCAGCTAGGAGGTTTTTGGGCAAAAGACAACATTCTTGGAACAAAAACATTCTGATGCGCGACATTGCGAAAAGGACCTGCGCTCTCTTAGAACAAAACCAGAGGTGAGCCGCGCTTTCGGTCGGCACGACTGTGCCGCTGCTCGTGCTGCAGCAATGGATCATGACCATGATTATCTCCCTGCAAAAGATATCGTCTTTGCAGCGCTGTCCCTGTCTGAACCTTGGTCCTTGAGAAAATCATTTGACCAAAACCAAAATGAAAATCCGGCGCTGCATGATACATTGATTCACAAGCTGTAATTAGCACTGCTACCTCGTACTAAATGTTCACTTTATCTCCGCCCCATCAGGGAACGTCTTCCCTTTTACAAGGTCCTCCAAGCCCTCCCCAGAATAGGAGACCAACGGCGACACCTCCACCGAACCCTCGCACTTCCCGCCCGCGGCCTCGACCCAGGATTTGTGCAATTTTGATATCATGTCCCACGTATCAAGTGCAAAAATGTCTGGGTCTGGAAGACTCGGAGCTTGTCATGCACATTTTGCATGAGCCATGATGTCTGTGATGCATGCCCTAGCGTCACTGATTTTTTGATGGCATCTTGATGCCTGCTCAGCATGACAAATCCCCTCTCCACGTAGCAAAAATCGACTCCCTTTGCTGCTCATGCAATACAGATTTTTTTGGATTCCAAAAATAGCATCACAAGTTGCATTCTTCCAGACCCAGACATTTTTGCATTTGATACCACGCCGTCGCGGGTGAGTCCGTGCCCTCCGCGTTTTTGATCGGCGCGAACTCTTCGTCGCGTTTGCATTCCAAAATCGCCATTCTGTCCGTCAAGGGGAACACGTCGAACACAAAGGTTTCCAGTTTTATCCCGTTGTTCTTCTCCGGCTTTTTCGACGTTTTCCCCTCGTTTCCATCGTCCGCGACCGGTATTTTCTTTTCCGCCACGTGGTAGCTGTTCTCCATGTTGGGCAAAACCGTTTGCTCCAAAAAATCCAACTTGAACAAGTGGTTGCAGATGTTACCCGCGCCGAACAACAGTGCGTTGCTGTTTTCGTCCCGGAGATTCTTGTGCTTCCCGGAGAGTTCGCTGTACTCCACGACGCAGTACTTGTCCGCTCTCTTCGCGATCACCCCGACCTTCTCCTCCGGATCGGCCTTCCACACGTATCAAATGCAAAAATGTCTGGGTCTGGAAACTTGTGATGCAAGACAGTCAATAACAAATGCATCGTAATGCGCCGCCAAGCATGACAAGCTTTTTCGTGCTTCCCTGCTGCGTCTTCCGCGTGAGAAACTGTGTTTTTGCATGACAGGCGAGAGAGGCTGTTTGTGGCCACGTTCGTTCGTTGTGGATCGGCTCTGCCGACCGGGTAACCCAACGCCTCGCATACAAGTGACCGACTTAGGCGAACCTCCCCGTTGCGGGACATACAAATGGCCGTACGGAAGGGCCCTAAGCGCTACATACACAGATTTAAGGGCCATGCCAGATCAGCATGACAAGTCTCGCAATCTTCCAGACCCAGACATTTTTGCAATTCATAACACGGACTTGTTCCCCACTTCCGCCTTCTGGTCGATCAGGTAGCCGATAAACCGGGGGTCCGCGGTATCCTAAGTAAAAACGTCCCCACACCAGAGTCAAGTCCGCTAGACAAATTAGCCGTCTTTGGTTGTTTCGCATGGCAAGTTTGTCCTTGTAGTATAATCCTCTTTTGGTAGTTCAGAAGCATCACAGATCTAGCATATTTTGCTGATTATAGCATCACAAATTCCAAAACACGACCAGAAAATGCTTCTCATGGGGCTCCGCATGAGAGACTTTTTTGGCATGCAGAATTGGATGACAACTATGGGGTGGGGACGTTTTCACAAATGATACGCGGGGCGGACGAGGATGTTGTCGACGCCGAAGAGGTGCAGGTAGTCGATCCCGAAGGACTTCAACTTGGACAGCACCCCGGATCTCTCCAAGGCCGGGTAAACACCGCCGTTCCCGTCGGGGCTGAGGGAAATGGTCGACCGCGTTTCTAACAGGATTTTCCCTTCGTAGTCGAACGCGGGGAGCGTGCCCTGCGGGAAGAACAAACACTCGTTTGGTGGCAGTCCGAAGTAGGAGTTTTCGGCGAAAAATTTCGTGGTCGCCTTGTGGTTCAGCGGGCTGGTCATGATGACAAACGGGAGGGTGGTCGCGTTGCAGAGCTTTTTCAATCGTTTGATCCTCTCGGCGAAGAGCTGGAACAGACATTTTCTGGAGGGAAGCTGCGGTAGGTGGAAAAGGCCCTTTGGCCCGTCGATCCCCAACCGGGTGCCAGCGCCGCCGCCGAGACAGAGGGCCGCAACTTTGCCGCCGGAAATGGCAGTGCGACCTGGAAGTGGGTTGGATGAAACCAATGAATCTGCAAAGGATGAGGATCTGGACAATGGGAAGATCATACTGTTTTTAGAAGCTTGCTCGCGTTGCATGAAAACTGCAACACGTCGAATACTACCATGTACTATGCAGCCCTGCAGTTTCACAAGAAAAACAATGTGGAGCAAACTTTCCCAAGAAAAACACCTCACCTAGCCCCTCGAGGCGTTTGACTTCAGCTGGATCCAGGGTTTCCAGCGTTTGCACTTTTGTCGGAGGCGAGAGTTCATCTTCCTCGGGTAGTAATGAGCCTCGTTCCTCATCCTTTATTCCCGTTCCAAAGTGCTTCTTCGTGGCGGTTAGAAACAGCGCGTTGAGCTGCTTCAGATCGAGCGCGGAAATCTGCTCCTGCAGCGATTGTTTTTCCTCCGCACTGAGCTTGTCCTTGTACGCCCACAGCTGCGCCTGCCCCGCATCGCTGGTGGTCGCGGCGTCAGCGCTCAGTTCCTTTTCCACCGCCATGAGTTTTCTTTTCTTCAGCATATGACAATTGAGCGAATGCTACTTTTTTCCACAATACGCAACCATTGTTTTTTTTAGGAGGGCAAGCGGCGGAACTCAAACTCGATCCAGCAGGTTGTTTTTCTTTTACTGCAGTGGGGAACGAAAGGTAGGATCGTAAGGTCTAGGTCAACGAAAATTACTGAGAAGATCTAAGGGACCACAACAAAGGATCTTCAGAAACGAACACCCACTGCCTTTCTACATTTCCCCAAAGCAGCGTACAAGCGGAACCAGCCTGAGTAACAGCTCGTTTTCCTGCCCTGCAAGATGTCGTAGTATCCGTCGCACGGCACCCAGACCGCCTCAGTTAAGGTGGAGCACTCGCAATCTTGGTACCACTTCTGCTCGATAAATTGCTGCACCAAATCCGCATCTGGAATAGCAACGCAGATTTCTTGTATCACATCAGTACTTTGGAAACTACCCGACCTAATACCGGCGCTGAGGAGAGTTCCCTGTTCTAAGTCGAGGTTGTTCATTACCACATCATGATCATTTTTCTTTTCCGAGCTGACCATCTGGATACCTTCTAACTGAGGTTTATCGCCCATGGTGTTCAGTGCTGGCGGTGCTCCCTGATCTGGTGTTATTTTCACTGAAGATGCTGTTGCACCAGCCTCTCCCCCGCGAGGTGATGGAAGCAAATGTGCGTGTGCGATTTTCCTTTCTTGCCACGCCTGCCGCTCGACCGCCGAAATGTTGACGCGTAGGAACAGAAACTCGTGTTTTTTGCGCGGTGGTGTCGGAGACTGTCCTGAATGATAATGGTTCCTGTCCGGAACTGGAAGAACTTTCTTCCCTGAAAAAACCGCATGTGTCAACAGCTCCACTCGCCTGGATGCCTGCTGCACCAACAGTGCAACAGCCGCGGGACAGCAACTCCCGAGTTGATGATGCCCACCGAAAATCGGACAGCCAGTGTATAGCCAGCTGCGGTAGAACCAAAACGGGCTGTCGGTGAATGTTTTCCAAAGGCCTTTTTTCGTATGTAGTTTCGGCAGCGTTCTATCGTCCATCCCCAGATCTTGACCAGAACAATCCACTGCTGCGTCAGTTTTCTTGCGCCCTCCAACAAGACTACAGCAACACTTCCCGCCGCAGGTGTCAAACGACTGTCGCACGTCGACACTCAGAATCGCCGTGTAGGGAATCCGGATCAGGAACAAGCACACGGGAAACGGGCCGAGGTGAAGAACAATCCGGTCTTGGAGCAGGATCACGTGCCGCGTCGTCGTCGTGGCAATTAGCAAGCAGAGGAGTAAGAGCACATGCTGCCTCGCGCCGAGAAAAACGTAACTGTTGGACAGTTCGTGGTGGAGAAGCAGGTCAACTCGCGGCGGGAGGTCTGGATCTCCTGTTGCCGAAGCAGTATCAGAAGAAGTGGTGCTTGTTGTACTTCCAGGGCTGTTGTCGCTCTGCTGTTGAGGATGATCCGACTCGGTTGTACTACTGGCGCTGTTATTTCCCTGGTCCGCTTTATCTTCCGAGAAAAATCTTCGCCATGGGGCGAGGAGGACGAAAATGATGAGTAGTACCCAGATAGCCAGCACATGCCGCTGCGTGGTCTGGAACGGAATGGTTCTCAACTTCTTGTGTCGTGAAGTGGGAAACAATGCTGGCCCCGAAGACAACTGATGTCCAACGGCTCCTTCAGGTGGTGCTCCTCGGTGCCGCTGCGTTTCCACGTGGGCGGCCAACATAGTATCCCCGTGATGCACGGCGGCAGATGTTGAGCCAGAGGATGACATATCGAAAGGAAAAACTCTCCCTCCCCATATTGAAACGGTATGTTTCCGAAAATTTGCGTTGCTGATTTGAGGCCACAAATCACATTTGTGCTGCAAGAAGACAAAGGCGGAAGCTGCCGCGCCATTATGGACGCCGTTTGTCATGCTGTTTGGCCTAAAGGGGAGCTGTTTGCCATGCTGAACAACTAGACCCAGACGCCTCTGCCTAGGCTGGGTATCTGGCCACAGTGCCTTCCTGCAATACAGAGCGCATTTGTGTACACAGATCCAGCATCAGAAATTCCGTTTTGATATGGGGAGGGGGGATTTTTCATTTTGATATGACATAACCAGCGCCTCCGGGACGGCAAGACCCCCAACGGGGAAGTTCTGGTGATTCGCATTGTGGGCGCCAGGACTGCTACTCTCGGCGCTGCGCTCCACCCAGGTAATCATGTTTACTTTCTTCTGCAGAATATGATCTTCTTCACGTGTCGTGTGTCTGCTTTTTATTCCTGATCACAACTATCCGTTGTACTCCTCGTTTCATCTTCTTTGCTAAATTTTAAATTTGATCCATGCCAGCTGGGCGCGCTAGTTACAAAAGGCAACACGTGGTGGTCAGAGACGACAGCGACACCAGAAAAAATAAGATCGATGTATGCCTCTGAGAACGCGAAGCTGAAAATTCAAAAAGCACAAAAGCTTTGGACACAAAAGTTCGGAACAAACTTGGGTTTGCGTATGGGAAGAACCACTGCGGACTTCGTTTCGCGCAGGTGAAAGATCTAAAGACCGAACTAGTTCTGTTTGTTTCTTTGAAACGACCTCGCGTCACTTCCCGCTAGAAAAGTTCTGCAAGTAGTTCCCATCGTGTTCTTTGTGTTTCTTATAAGGCTGATAGTTGTTGAAACTACTAGATTGTGACAACCAGCTCTGTCAAACTTTCCAAACTTCAAAACCGTTTCTCCCTGTGGTGCCGCCTTATCTTCATCCCTGTAAGTAGTGAATTGACGAGCATTTTTTTTTTTTTCATGCAGACACTAGAGCCACCGTGCAAGAACGGAGGTGATGCAGATGGATTTCTTCGTTTATCATCCGAAAATAAGTGCGACCAAACAAATCGAGAAATAAAAGGACTACCGCCGCCGCAGCCGGTTCCGCGGGTGGTGCATCGCCTGCTTTTTCCGCTGGTGTCTCCGCTGCTGCACTTTCCTCTGCTTTCTCCCCAGGGGCGCCTCCTCCTTCCGCCTTTGCTTCCCCCGCACCACCTTCCGCTGCGGGCGCCGCACTACCCTCCGCTTCTTCTTTTTTCTCGTCTTTCGTCTCTGCGCCACCCTCTCCCGCGGGCTTCCCCTCCACATTATCGTCGTTCTTCCCCGCGGCCTCGTCAGCTTCTGCCGCCCCATCTACTTCCGAAACTGCTGCCGCATCACCCCGCATGAGGAACACGGTGACTCCCGCGCCCAGCAGTACCACCGCCCCCACAACAGCCAAAATGATCATCAATTTGTTGTTGTCCTTTTTCCGGGCCTCCTCGACCGCGGCGCTCGGACAGACGAAATCTCCCGCGGGCAACGGCGGAATCGTGAAGCTGCTGTCGCAGAGGTCGGAGATCACGTCGTAGCCGGGGAGCTGGTCGTTGTGCACGGTGACGATGAGCTCGTCGTAAAACAAGTTCTTCGGCGGCTCCTTGCAGGCTGGGTTGTTGCGGTAGTCCTTGGCCCGGCACAGACACTCCGCCGACATAAAAGGGCAGATGGTGAACGGCTCGTCCGGGTTCCACCACGACCCGTAGGGTGCATCGAGTTGGGCATCCTCCGTGACCGACCAACAGAAGCTGTTCACCTCCACGCACTCCGCGCGGCAGTCCTCGTTCTCCTCCATCCCGCACTCACTGTTGATCGTCGGCGTGGGCACGTTGCTCGCGCCGCAGACGGTCAGGGCCATGTTTTCCGTGAGCATCTTGGACGCGCCGTTCAGTTTGGTTTCGTCGTCGAGACAGGTGGTGTGCCACTCTTCCCCCCGCGTGTTGCACGCTGCGGACTCCAGGGTGCAAGTTGGCAGGTTCGTCGCCGTGTCGAAGGTTTCCGCCGGGCCGCTCAACCCAGTGCACTCTGCGAACACCTGCACGCACTTGGATTGGCAGTCCGTGTCGACGACCGCCGCGTCGGCGGCAGACTCCGACGCCGCGTCGCACCACTCGCCCACCGAGATCGTGGTGTTCGATGCACTTCTGGAAGTGGTGCTTGCAGCAGCACCGAGACGCAGCTTCTGCAGCAGGTCGGAAAAGTTCTTCGCTTCCATGCGGTGAAAAGGATTTCTTTTCGCGACGAGCATCATGCTTTCGCCCAAGTCCGATGCTGCACTGGCAGAGGAAAAGGACGACATCCTCCTATCTCCTTTCGTGCGCCTCGCCTTCGCGGTAGTAGTTGTTGTAGCGTCGGGGTGGAGGGGCGAAACATTTTCATTAACCTTCTTGGCCCCTGCTGTCCTGCGCAAGTGCTGCTTCTTCGAAAGCGACTGCTGGTCGTACTGCTGTTCGCTACGCAACAGACGCTGTTCTTCAGCTGCATGATAGACCGACCGATGACGATGCCGTGCCTGCTCCTGCTGGAACGCGTAAGCCGTGGTAGGCTTCTGCGCGTGCTGGTGGTCATGACGCGGCGTGACACGTTGCTTCTTGTGGTAAGGATGGCCGTGGTGGTGCGCGTGTTTCTTCGTGTTTTCGCTCTTCATCGTACGACCCAAATTACCATCATAATCCTCCGTCGCAGCAAGAGTAGAAAACGATAGAGCGTCCGCATCCAGCATGATCTGCTGTTGCGTCGACCGGGTCACAGGAAGATGATCGGAAGCTGCGTCATAGCGGGTGTGGTCCAGTGCGGTGACCAGAAGACGCCACTGGAGGGTAGTTGCACAGAGCCACGAAGACAAGCTTAGTAAAAGCATGTTTGTTTTAACCGACATGGTTTTCGTTTTGCTTTTCTTCGAAATCTCGATAACCATAAACTTCTTATTTGCTTTGCTTTTGCTAACTTTATTACAAGCGCCTATATTCTCTTTGAATAGCATAGAAATGATTCTCCAACTTGCAAAGCACCGACAAAAATCGACAAACACGAAGCTGACACGAGAATACGATGTTGACGATTCCGACGAAGGCGATATTCTTACAGTTTCGTACTCACTCCTAGGCGACTGCTTCGATACAAGGAAGGAACGCGATCAAGAAGACAAGAACAGAAGCCGTACGTTGCTGCAGGCGATGCGAGTGCAGTCCAAGGAAGCGAGAAAAACGAAAATCAAAACATGCGATTTACTGCGAATCCGACACTAAAGCGATATTATGATGAACACGTTACGCTGAAAGAATACTCTGCGTGGCTGTACATGATCCGCCGAAGCACGAACAGATTCATTTTTTTCAGAGGTATTGAGAAACGATTGATCGTACAAAGGAAAAGTATTTCGCGGTCTGGTACAACATATTTCTATCGCTATTCTACAGGAGAAGCACTGGCTTTTTTTTCTTCTTTTACTACTTCCATATTTTATACATTTTGTTTCGTCAGTTTGATACACGTTATCTTCATTCGGGTTTATTTATTGCAACGAGGAGCTGCTGCATTTTAATATCTCCGGGGAAGTACAAACGTCTCTCGGCACTCCTGCTCTTCAATAATTTTCTTCGTTGTGATACAGTTGCCTTGGTAAACAGTGTTTGTGTTAGCGAATCGGCAATGCTACAACAAGTTTAACATCAAATGGAGTCTGCAATATCTCGTAAATTAATTCTTTGAGCGATTCGGTATTGTCTCGGTGCATTTGGTATTCGATACGTCTCCTGAAACTGGTTTCTGATTCTGAGGAACAAGAAGGTGCATATAAAATTCGTAAATCGCTTCATCAAAATCGTGAGAGTGAACGCTTTCCTCCTCCACCCTCCTGCGTCATCAAAGACTCGATCGCGGAGCCACCGCCTCAGCCCTCGGCCTGTTTTGTTGATTTCGTCCATGGTGTGCATGAATGCAGTTTTTGATTTTGTAGCGGAAGAAGAAGGACACCTTACGAAAGCTTCCGAATTCCATATCCATACAAATTCGCAGCACGACTAATAAATTATTATAACATACCCCCTCCTCAGCCCCTTCCCCACCACCCTCCATGTACTCCTCCTCCGCGGCTTCGCCCTCACCCTCCACGCCCGCCGCCCCGTCCGCCGGCTTTTGATGCATCATGACGAAGCCCCCGACACCGCCGAGCAACACCACGACTGCGACGATTCCGCCGATCATCGCCATGTTGGTCCCGCCCTCGCCTTCCCCCGCCGGCGCGGCCGTAGTGGCGGCCGGATATCGAAGTGCAAATAGTTCTCCCCATCTTCGTCCCAAAATCCAAAAGTAAATTTCTACATGCTGTATTGCCACGTAAGAACTGACAACAGATACGGATTCTAGTGCTGTCAGGCACGCAAAAGTGTATGTGGTTGCAAGCACACAGCATGACAGGACTCCAGATAGATACACTGCACTGCCCGATGTAGTTGTACCAGGACACGTCGCTAGCAAAGTGGGCCTCTGCTGTGTCTCTACTTCGCCTTCTTCTTCTTCATCGAGCACAGACACAAGTTGATTTGTGTACTCACAATGAAATCGCGCATGAGAAATGGAAACCTTCGTTCGAATACAACGAACTATGGGAACGTCGAGGATGGATTTTACCTGACAATATCGAACACTCCATGTTTTCCAGCTTCATGTCCGCGGGGAAGGTGTGGCTCGTGCACATCGCGGCGACCACTTTGAACCCCTCGGCGCCACCCGGGTATCAACTGCAACGAGCTGCGTCTGGGTCTGGAAGGATCATGCAAACTTGTGATGCTAAAATGACCGGCCCGACCGGCCATTCTTTTTTTTTCGTAGCTCCAACCGGTTACGCAGTTCTGATGGTCGCTCCGAGTATCCATTGGCAGCAAGCCACCGGAGGACCCCGAGCGGCGTTGTAGAGCAAGCCCCCGCAGGACCAGATGCAAACTTGTCATGCGCATTGTACTAGAGCACGCACAAGTCCGTCATCATACATGGACAGAAACAGCGCCCGACTTCTTGCCATTCAAGTTCGGGATTTCTCATGCGGGCATAAGCAGCAGTAGGACACCTCCTCAAACCAATAATGCTGTTGGTTGCAAGCTAGAGCTTCTGGGTCTTCATGCAAAAGGCGTATTACAAACATCGGCATTCATCCGGACCGAGACACAGTTGCATTTGATACCGGCTCCATCCCTTTGTAGAACATTTCGATAAAATCGAACAGGTGCCCCTTCGGCGGTTCGGTGCAGGCCGCGTTGTCCTTGTATGCTTTGGCTTTGCAGTAGCACTCCTGCGACCTCGTAGTCACTCCTGCCGCGCCACACACACCCTATCCAAGACAACGACTGTTTTAGTGCAACTTTGTCTTTGTAGGATGAGCAGCAAAGCGAAAGCACCACAATATGAAACTAGACTATGTCGCACATCCAGAATGAGAAGTGTGACGCTCTTGCCTCGCTCGTAACACAAATTTACACTTACACAGTTTTTTTCTTGCATATCTCCTCCGCGGACGCCTCCGCTCCTGCTTCGGCTGCTTGACCAGCATTGACTACTTGTCCCACCGGCATGTCCTTCTGCGCATCCGTATTATCGCAAGAAAAAACTGCTTCACTGTTGTAAAATTGTCATGCATTTTGTCCTGCCAGGAAGGCAAAACTCAATCTTCTGCTAGTGGTGTTTTCCCTGCGAAACACGCCCCGAAGACTTTCTTTGTTCGCATGTCATGCCAAGTATATCCTCCAAATTGGCGGTGAAGCAGTTTTTTCGTGCGATAGTCCTTGACCGCCATGCAGTGGGTCCAGGCCTCCGTACACTCCGTTTGGCAGGCTTCGACGGTCTTCCATCCTGTGTAAAATAGACGCACTCATCCCAGCACGTCTGTCATGCTACAGAAAATGCAGCACACATTCTTGCCTACCCGTACTTGACATCCATTCAATGTCAGGCACGGGCATGCGGATACGCATTTCGAGCATGCGGAACGGTAAAAAGTCCGCATGCCCGGAATGCGTATCACGCATTTATCATTCCGGAGGCTGTAGCTAGTCACGACTACGCGTAGAGATGCAGCCAAGTTGTCATGCAAGACCGATAAAGCTTCTGGCCTTGTGTAAGTAGCACAACTCTAATCTTCACTACTGGGTTGTTGGTACGTCTTTACACGGGATATCTCCATTTCGGTGCAAATCTTGTTAATCGACACGTCGAAGTCCGGCGGCTTATGCATTGCAAATACGTTGGGGTCCGGAATAGCTATTGTTTGACTGGAGTGCTGACTGTTTGTAGATCTAGACCACTCGTTTGCGATGAATTTATAAAATATTGTTCTTGCGCAATTGCGCGAGCGCCACTTGCTCGGGGTGCTGCAGAAATATGATTTTGCATGCGAAATACGTGACACAGGGTCGCCAGAGAAGTTGTTATGGTTCGCTGACTAAAAATGTACTCTGTTCGTGGTGTACTTTCACTATTTTGCACGACAAGTTTCCAACCCCGGACGACACATATTTGCACGGGATATGGCATCCCGCCCCTGTAGTTTGTGTTTGCTTTGTATCAGTTGTAGTCTCATTCCGCATTGGGTAGAAAAAGAAATCAAGTCGCTTGCAAGGTTCTACAATAGTACAAACATTATACATTAGGCTCCGCGGAACAGGATTTGCCGCAACTTTGCCTCTACACAAAATTCAAACCTCCGCGAGAAACGTGGTAAGAGAATGAGAAGCACCAACGAACAAGAAGGGTACTTAGCATGCAACTGGCCCGCGGTGCAAAAAGTTAATAGTTACGTATTTGTCATGCGGGATTTAACAATTGATTTTACCTCCCAGCATCAGCGTCGAAGATGGCTTGCGCTTGTTGCTCGATCGCCGCCTTAATGGTGTCCTTATCAGCCGCGGAATTCGGAGGAAAAATCCCCCCTTCCCATACTAAAGAGGATAATTTGTGCCGCAGACTTATGACCACGAATCAGCCTTGTCTTGCAAGAAGGCAAGCGCCGAGGCTTTCTTCCCCCTAAGAAGCGGTATACCATGCTGCTGGGCCTACCGGGTAGCAGTTTCCCATTCGGAACAAATGTACGCAAACGCCCCTGGCCAGGCTGAAGATCTGGCTGCAATCCCTCAAAACAAGACTGTGTACGCAGATCCAGCATCAGAAATTTCGTTTTGAATATGGGGAGGGAAAGTTTTCAATTTTGATAAGCAGCGTCCCCGGCATCGGCGACAGCGGCCTTAGCTACCGTTTTGATAGCAGGCGTGATCGTGGTAACGCCATCGGTGGTAAGATGGCCCTCAGCGAAGGTTCCCTCGAGATTGGTCATCTGCGCATCCACCGCGGCGTCCACGTCATCATCGCTGTCACTTGTCTTGTTATCGATAATAGCGTCAGCAACCTCTTTGGCTTTTGTGGCAAAGGGCTCCGGGTCAGAACCGCTCGAAGAAGTGTGTGCTACGTATCACATAGAAAAAAAAACTATTAGTGCCGCTAATGCAGAATTGTATATCAAGTGAATTAAAGTAGTCACAGTTGCATCGATTAAGCTGCATGCTATCAGAGCTCCCATGATCATTGACCATCGACTTTCGTTTCTGGCCAAGCTATCTTTGCATTATACAACACACATGGTATGCTAGTTTTTTTCTGCGAGATATTCCACGGCTTTTGGTGATCTGAAGCAGGTGCAGCTTCGCGGCCAGGTGCGCGCCATGCTGCGACGGCTTCTTGTGCTGATGGTGATTCCGCCCCGAATGGCCGACGCGGTGCTGCTGGAGACTGTGCTTCCTCTTCGCCGCGGCGGGACTAAGCCGCGTCTGCTTGTGGTGGTGCTGTGAGGTAGAAGTTTTCATCATGTTTCTGCCGTGCGCAAATGGCTCGCTCCGCAGCAGCTTCTCGTCTTCGTGAGAATGCTGCGGCGATTCTTGGGCAGTATCCGCGGGAACAAAGGCATCCGCATCCAGCACCACGTGCCGGTGGCTGGGGTGGCTTTTCGTTTTCCCCGCATGCTGCTCTGCGTGAGATGTGCGCGAGCTCTGATCCAACGCAGTGCTACCGCGCAGCTGCTCGGATGCCGTGGCGGCGGCGAGCAGGTAGAACACCTTCATCTTTGCTCCTTTTGGAGTTTGGTTCTTTATTCGAACGAATGTGGAAGAACCTCTTCCGCAGAAAACCTCGTACGGAAGGACAACTAAACCTCTCGACGTCCGGCTTGATATTCTACTTTCAGATTTCTAAATTTGGAACCTTTTGCGACGTTTTTTCTCGAGAACCATGATAAATATACTTCTGGCGCATCGATTTTGTCAGGTAATAGCGAACTCAAACTTGACGTGCTCAGCAGGAACACTACCAAAGAATGACGCCGAAACCAACACCCTCTTCGCTCCACCAACACGAAAGAACTCGAAGAAGATCAAGCTAGTCTTATCTTCTTCACTCGCTCACTTCATCGTGGCTATGCTGGCCATCGAAGCTATTCTATCTCTCTTTTGATCGCATCATTCTTTTTTTCCAATTTACTCATGTTGATGTCGAGTCGGTAGTTGTATTCACCCTCACACTGAAGGTATCCGATCACGATCTCGCACTCACTCGCTTTCGAATTCAGTAGCGTCTTCGCAGACGATTTGGCGAGCGGTGGACAAAGATGAACAAAGGTGCTAAGGCAATGAGGTGGCTTTTCTTTTTCACGTTCCTCAGTGACGTCGATCAGTCGCTCGTAATACTATGCCTCAACTGGCCATACCGACTTCCTCGTACTGAAGCACATTTTACTAAACTAACCCCATTCCTGAAGTCACAAACTCATGTTTGCAGGTTTTATTTTCAAGGGTTGCGCGTCGCCCATGTGTATGGCATACCGGTTTGCTTCCGGATCGTACCCTAAAACGATGCCGTAGCTATCGTTCCACACTTTTCCCTTCTCGCTTTGCAAACCATGCACCCGCACCGCCTGGCCTTTCGAGAGTTGGCACTGTTTCCCGTCCAGCGTCGCTGTGGTGGTGTCGGGGGTACTTGTTGCGTCGCTGGAGGAGGATGCCGGCGCCGCTGCTCTTTTCACTCGAAACACTGCATCCTGCAACGATTCCACCAGGTGAGACTCGGGCCGTGCTCCGGCTGGGTCGCTTGATGTCGCTAGCGTAGAAGAAGTACTACTATCAGGAGAGGGGCTTGGGCTATTTGAAGGTCCTTCTATATCCGCAAATCGGGCTGCTGCGGAGGAAGACATGTCAACCACGTCGTAGGGGACAGAAATAGGTGCCGCAGGACCACTTGGACTACTACTACTCGTCGTTTCTGTTGCATTACTAGCACCAGGCTCTGACTGTCCTGCCCCTGTACCATCCCCGGATGAAGTAGATGCTCCACTAAACAGCACCACTTTCGCTTTGGTCTGGACGAAATTGCTGGGCTTCAGAGATAGAGGTTGGTCCACGCCGGGTATGCTTCCGACCATGTAGCGCTGTTTTGCTTCGTCAAACGCGAGGATTTTTCCGACTTTCCCGTTTTCCGCGGGCCGGGACTTCAAGCCTTGAATCCGCACCTCCGTATTCTGTTTCAGGATGAGGTGCTTGAAGCCAGACGTCGGGTGGGTGGAGGGGGTGACGGTCTGATGGCCCCCTCCGCCGGAGGAGGAGGCGGAGGGGGTTGCGGGGGACGGACCACCTCCGGCGGCGTTCAGCATCTGGCTCATGGGGTCAGTACCCGAACTGTCGTCGTTGAGAAAGCTGCCGAGCATGTTGTCCACCATCCCCGCGTATCAAATGCAAAAATGTCTGGGTCTGGAAGATTGCGAGATTTGTCATGCAGATTTTGCATGACCCAGGAGGTCTGGAATGCAGGACCTAGCATGACAGATTCTGTGCGATCTCTCTCATGCCTATCCTGCATGAGAACCTCCCTCCCAACTTGGTCAAAACTGGACGACTTTTGTTAATCATGCAACACAGATTTTTGCATGCTTCAGATTTAGCATGACAAGTTGTATTCTTCCAGACCCAGACATATTTGCAATTCATACCGCGGGCATCTTGCCCATCCCCATAGATTCCATCATCTGTTCCACCATGCCTCCCATTCCGCCCATTCCTGAGAGAAAAGATTTTGTACGTGTTGATCGCAAGAAGATGAAGATTACTATCTAAACTGCAGCAACTGGTCAAAAATGCAGGCGAGGGGTATGTTCGGGGGTATGTTCGGGGGTGTGTCAGGGGTATGCAAATGGCCGTCAATCACGGGCGGATTACAATTTTTTGGCGAAAAAGCAACAGGCGGGGTATAAACATACCCCAGACACACCCCAGACACACCCCAGACATACCCCAGACAGACCCCCGAACACACCCCAGGCAAAAAGTCCGAACATACCCCAGACACACCCCGGGCAGACTTTCCGACACACCCCGGGCAGACTTTCGGACACACCCCGGACACATTTCGGGACCTCGCCACGCGAGATGTGCAATGGCGGACTCCAGTTTGTCACGCTCACGAGAGCCGCCAGCCTGTCGAGCTTCCCGGGCCCCGTCGGCAAGGCCCAGGGACGAAAGGCGCCCTCGGTCAGCGCGGGGACCCGGTCCCCGCGTCATGACCTGGGGGCCAGCTTTGGGCGCTTCCCGGACACCGTACGGCCCAGGGGCGAAAGCCCTAGGTCAGCGCGGGGACTCGGTCCCCGCGTCATGACCTAGGGGCCAGCTATGGGCGCTTACATCCCGGAAAGCAACCGCACGGCCCAGGAGCAAAAGCCCTAGGTCAGCGCGGGGACTCGGTCCCCGCGTCATGACCTAGGGGCCAGCTTTGGGCGCTTCCCGGAAACTAGCCGCACGGCCCACGGGCAAAAGCCCTAGGGCAGCGCGGGGACTCGGTCCCCGCGGCATGACCTAGGGGCCAGCTTTGGGGTCTTCCCGGAAACTAGCCGCACGGCCCAGGGGCAAAAGCCCTAGGCCAGCGTGGGGACTCGGCCCCCGCGTCATGACCTAGGGGCCAGCTTTGGGCGCTTCCCGGAAACTAACCGCATGGCCGAGGCGCAAAAGCCCTAGGTCAGCGCGGGGACTCGGTCCCCGCGTCATGACCTAGGGGCCAGCTTTGGGCGCTTCCCGGAAACTAACCGCATGGCCGAGGCGCCAAAGCCCTAGGTCAGCGCGGGGACTCGGTCCCCGCGTCATGTCCTAGGGGCCAGCTTTGGGCGTTTCCCGCTCGGAAACTAACCGCACGGCCCAGGAGCAAAAGCCCTAGGTCAGCGCGGGGACTCGGTCCCCGCGTCATGACCTAGGGGCCAGCTTTGGGCGCTTCCCGGAAACCAACCGCACGGCCCAGGGGCAAAAGCCCTAGGTCTGACCTAGGGGCCAGCTTTGGGCGTTTCCCGGAAACTAACCGCACGGCCCACGGGCAAAAGCCCTAGGGCAGCGCGGGGACTCGGTCCCCGCGGCATGACCTAGGGGCCAGCTTTGGGCGTTTCCCGGAAACTAACCGCACGGCCCAGGGGCAAAAGCCCTAGGTCAGCGCGGGGACTCGGTCCCCGCGTCATGACCTAGGGGCCAGCTTTGGGCGCTTCCCGGAAACTAACCGCACGGCCCAGGGGCAAAAGCCCTAGGTCAGCGCGGGGACTCGGTCCCCGCGTCATGACCTGGGGGCCAGCTTTGGGCGCTTCGTTCCCGGAAACTAGCCGCATGGCCCAGGGGCAAAAGCCCTAGGTCAGCGTGGGGACTCGGTCCCCGCGTCATGACCTAGGGGCCAGCTTTGGGCGCTTCCCGGAAGCCAACCGCATGGCCGAGGCGCAAAAGCCCTAGGTCAGCGCGGGGGCCCGGTCCCCGCGTCATGACCTAGGGGCCAGCTTTGGGCGCTTCCCGGAAACTAACCTACCGCACGGCCCAGGGGCAAAAGCCCTAGGTCAGCGCGGGGACCCGGTCCCCGCGCCATGGCCTAGGGGCCAGCTTTGGGCGCTTCCATCCCGGGAACTAGCCGCACGGCCCAGGGGCAAAAGCCCTAGGTCAGCGCGGGGACTCGGTCCCCGCGTCATGACCTAGGGGCCAGCTTTGGGCGTTTCCCGGAAACTAGCCGCAGAGCCCAGGCGGGGCAAAAGCCCTAGGTCAGCGCGGGGACTCGGTCCCCGCGTCATGGCCTCGGGGCCAACTTTGGGCGCTTCCCGGAAACTAGCCGCACGGCCCAGGGACAAAAGCCCTAGGTCAGCCCAGGGGCTCGGTCCCCGTGTCATGACCTAGGGGCCAGCTTTGGGCGCTTCCCGGAAACTAACCGCACGGCCCAGGGGCAAGGCCCCTAGGTCAGCGCGGGGACTCGGTCCCCGCCCGCGTCATGACCTGGAGGCCAGCTCTGGGCGCTTCCCCGAAACTAGCCGCACGGCCCAGGGGCAAAGCCCTAGGTCAGCGCGGGGACTCGGTCCCCGCGTCATGACCTAGGGGCCAGCTTTGGGCGTTTCCCGGAAACTAGCCGCGCGGCCCAGGGGCAAAAGCCCCAGGTCAGCGTGGGGACTCGGTCCCCGCGCCATGACCTAGGGGCCAGCTGCAGATCCGGCGCCAGCTTCTTCCTTTCTGTTCTCTTTGTTCGCGGTAGGTTAACGGGTCTAGTGTGGGCAAGCAGAGGGGCTCCGTCCGCAGATCTGTCGCGGATCAGGGGACGCAGGCCACACAGAAACACCGGGCTGCAGGGGTCTGCCTGCCCAGTGCCACCACAACCCCCGAACTCGTCCCAGACAAATGCCGGAAGGTCGCCGCACGGGGACTCTGTCCCCGTGCTCGGACCTTGTTTTGAATGCAAAACTTTACTAAATCAAAACTTCATCATGAAAGATCTTCCAGAAAATAATTGCGAAAAGAATTTACACAGCAGCCGAAGCTGCAAAGTTTTTTTTCTATCTGAATTTATACCTCCCAGCATGGTCTTCATTTGTTTCTTCATGTCCGGCGTCATCATTTTGCGCATGTTCTGCATCATGGCCATGGGGTTGTTGAAGTCCACCATGCCCCCCATTTTCGACACCATTTCCGCTATCCTCGTGTGTTCCGTGAACAGGTGCTGCAGTTCCATGTCGGTGCGCAAGCCCGCGCCCCTCTGGATCCGTTTTCTCCGGGACGTGTTCGTCTTCACGTCCACCAGGCCGTCCAACTCTTGGTCGGTCATGCTGTCCATGATCACGATCAACTTCCGCATCCGCTGCTGCGCCTGCTTCTTGTCCATGTTCGGCGGAAGCATGCCGGCCATGCCGCCGGGCAGCATGTTCATCAGGTTGCCCATCGGCCCCATGCTGCTGAACATCTCGTACAGGTTCCGCAGGGTGAATTTCCCGGCCATTATGTTCCCGAACAGATTCTTGTGCTCCCCCTTGAAGAACTTACTCGGGTCCGCGGGGTTGCTGCATGCTGTGGAAAAACGTCTTCATCCCCAACTAGTACTAAGTACCCAGAGCTTTGCTTTTGTGCGGATTTGCACGCTTTGGAGTTTTGTTTTTCTAACATGCGGGGGGGCTCTCCATGAGAAACTTTTTCTAGTCGCGTTGTTTGTCATGCTCGAAATAGGATGAGCGAGCGGCCAAATCTTTATATGCCAATCATGACTAAGCCGCAGGCCCAAGACAAGTTTGGCATGCATGAGTCTCAATTCTTCCAGGACCTGTCTTGCAGAACTCCCATTTATAATTTGCGTATGGGGCGAGAGGACGTTTTCACACAGGATATTCCCTCTTGGATATTCTTCAGCTCGTCCATGTCGAGGAAGTTGTTCGAAATTTCGTTGAACAAGCCCTTCTATGAACTGCAAAAGCATCGCACTCGTATAAATGCATGACAAATTTCCTCAGCATGAGAAATACAATTTGTAATGCGGATTTACCTTGAGAAAAAAATTTGTAATGCATGACTGCAATACGAGTACGATAATTTTACACAGGATACTTTCATGTCGCCTAGCCCGAGGAGTTTGGACACGAACCCCTCGGCGTCAAACTTTTCGAAGTCCTCAAAATGCTCGCCGGTACCGAGGAAAATGACCGGCGCGCCGGTGGCGGCGACCGCGGAAAGGGCTCCGCCGCCCTTGTTCTTCGTGCCGGAACTATCGTCCATCTTGGTCAGGATAACCTTTGGTTTCGTTCATATCTTCTTTCGAGAATAAGTACTTAATTTCTGTTGCGCAGCTTTGCATAAAGCGTTCGACTGCTCCTTTTGGCATCACGCAGCTAAGAAGTATTTTTAAACTACTCTTCTCTGTACCGATCCGATGTCGACGCAGTTGGAAAAGGACTCGGCTTGTCTGAACCCCGCCTGGCCGATGTGGGAGTCCATCACGAGGATGACCGCCGAGGGCTCGATCGCCGTGTGGAGCTGGTCCATTTCGTCGAACAACGCTTGCTCCTGCTTGTGTCTGCCCGAGCCGTTATCCAGTGCAAATATGTCTGGGTCTGGAAGGTTGTAATGCCAAAAATCAGCCATAGGCGCACTACAATACGCAGCCCCGCATGACAAATTTTTGAGCTGCTCATGGGTAGCGTATTCCGCATGGCAAACTGCGATTTTGCATGACAGGCCAGAGCCAAAGGACCTTATTTTCGTGCCCGTGCATCACAGATTCTCGAGTCATGCCGGACTAGCATGACAAGCCTAGCAATTTTCCAGACCCAGATGACACATTTGCATTTGATAGCTGTCCACGAGAATGAGGTCGTACCGGTCCCGGCCGTTCTGGAACTTCTCGACCCCCTTATTACAGTGAAAAGTGCCCCCCACCCCCAAAGTTGCAAAAATTTGTGATGCGAAGTTTCCAAATGAAAACCTTTTGTCATGCATGAAAGGAATATGAATCTTTCTGATGCAGATTCTAGTGGTGTTTCGCATTGCTTGCATGACAAGCACCGCTCTTGCTGCGATCTTTTGCAATACAAATTTTTCCTATTCACGATCGGAAATCTGTGATGCTGATACATGCAAGAGGGCGAATGTTTCATTTGGAAAGGTTTGCAATACAAATGCTTTCAAGTTCGGGGGTGGGGGCATTTTTCTTTACGATACCCCTCCTCCGCGATGGCGACCGGGTCCGTTTCCGTGTAGCTGCCGAAAAACGGGCAGTGGATCTTCGACGCGTTCTGCTTTAACTGGTCGAACGCCCCCGCGCGAAACGTGTCTGCGCAGACCAGGGCCACGCGGAAGCCTGTCGTGGGAAAAAAAACGAATATTAAAACGAATGATTGCATAGATACGACGTCAGACAAAAGTTTCTTTTCATATTGCACAACCAGCTTGATCATCCGAAGAGGACTAAGGTATGAACAAACATCAAAAAGCACATGAATAGCTGAACCGCGCACTGAATCTTCTCTTACCTTTCATCTTGTAGTAATGCGCGTATTTGGTTATTGTCGTGGTTTTTCCGCTCCCTTGCAAGCCCACAAACAGCACCACTTGCGTGTCGCCCTTCTTCGGCGTGAAGCCTGGTCGATCGCCCGCGAGCAGCTCCGCCAGGTGTCGGACGATGGCCTTCTGAAGGATCCGCTGCTTCTGCTGCGTGCCGCAGTTCGTGAAGCCGCCGGAAACGCCGCACTGCTTTTGGATCTCCTGCTCATCCAAAACCTCATTTCTGATTTGCTGTTTCAGGTCCTGCACGTAGGGCACCGAAACGTCCGCGTTTAACAACGCATCGCCTATCTCGTCGAGTAAGGCATCCACCTCCGCGGTCTGCTGTGCGCTTTGCCGAGCTCCGAACTTGCGGATGCTCTGCGTAAGCGACTTCCCCAGCTCAGAAAGCACCATGATCCGATGGCCTTGTGGTGATGTGAGTAAAGTCGTATTAGGGACCAGGTAGCAATTCGTACCCAAAGCGTGTTCTTCCCGTCTTGTAGTTACCACGTGCTCCGGCGACACCGGTCTTGTCCGACAGTGTCCTCGCTTGTACCCGTCACTCACGCGCTGTATTCACCAATCCGAGCTCGCAGACGAGCTCGCTGCGGCTTGATCGTGATTGCGGTTGTTGAAAATGCCATGGCTTTTTTTTTCAAGAATTAGTAAGCGAGTTTGAACATAGTTCACAGCGAATATTAAAACCGAGCAAGTAAGTCCAACAAGCTTTTGAAAAAGTCAATGTGCGTAGCGAGGCTTTCGGATCGGAATCGTCCTGAGGATAACAAATAACTGCGTGGTCAAAGGCACAGCGGAGTAGATGAAAGTGATTCTGAAAACCTGCTACTTTTAAAGTACTAACAGGGTAGACAAAGTTGTGTGGGATCAGGATTTAGGCTGTTCGAGGAAAAAATAATTGGGCCCATGTTTTCTGATTCGATGAATGTCAGGCGATGTTCCGTTGAAGATCTGAGAGACTTTTTCTGCAGCGTTGAAAGAGTCACAATTGCAAAAAGCAAAATAAGGAAAGGCACACAAAAAGAGTCCGATCGATACGTACTTCTAATAATTCGCTTTCGTCGAAACTTTCAATTCACGACCGATTTAAAACGACAGTGATTTCCGATCGCGAGCGCGGTGCCAAAACGATCCATCTTCGCGTTTGGCTGCAAAACAGAAACCTTCCTAGCGACCTGTCAGCAACCCAGCACCAGAACACGCAGTCCGGCATACTATGTAGCAAAAAAAGTTTTTAGCGGCTCCAAATCAGATGGAATTTGCTTACAAGCGCTGCATGCCATGCTCCATCGATGTACCGCGAACCGTTTTTGCTCTTTTTGCGGTTGCCTCGCTCGTTCAAATCTGTTAGGCCCTCCTATCGAAACAAGACAGACATCCTACACTGAATTGCAATTGCTCAAAAATTTGGTGCATTTTGAAACGGGACGACGTTCTTTCCACATCATTTTTGCCAAATCAGATACAATATCTTGGGTGTAACTTTTCCATGACAAATTGCCTAATCAAAAAGATCAACTGTGTTTACACCTACTTTCCCGGTCTTTTCTCCGTGCTTCCAGCCCTTGACTCTTCCTCGTCTTCCTCCTCCCGCCGGACCAAGCTGAGATTCCGACGAAAGGGGTATTCCTGGAACACCTCTAATGGTGAGGGGAGCAAAGCTTCGTTCACAGACGGAGCGAATAGTACCCTAGTAGGCTGTTGATCTTGCTCAGAACCAGGCGATTGCAACGAGGCGCCAGCGTTGTCGCTGGTGTGGCCGTGGTCTTCTTGCACCTCCTCACTACTACCGGTAGAAGAAGTTGCAGCGGCACTACTACTTTTCGCGAACACTCCGCAGCAAGGTTCCTTGGCACCGGTGGTGTAGTTCGTCCTTTGTGCAGATGAGGTTTTTGGCTCCGGAAGCTGGTGTAGTTGCACGACTATCGTCGACGGAACTTGCTGCTGTTCCTGTCGGGAGAGCAGAAGAACCTCCTTTCCTTCATCAATTGTCGCGCACGCTAATGGCAAAAAGTCCCCTTGCACGCGGCCATCGTCATGAATTTCCCCTTTGCCCTTGCCGTCCATGACTTTACTCTTTCCCGTCTCCTGCATTGTAATTGTAGTACCGCTAGACGTACAACCACTCGATCCGTTCCCCCCGTCGCGGATATTGTTCATGCTGGAGGACGACGAAGACCCGTTCTCCGCTTCATGCTGCCCCGTCGTGCTTTCGGTTAACTGTCCACTGGGTGTTCCTTCGACGGACTTGATCTCGCTGGTGGAGTTACTGGCTTTCGTCGTTTGATGAAGATGCTGCTGTTGCTCGCCTGCAGTTTGCTGGGAACTACAAGTGGACGTTATCCGCAAATTGTGCTCTCCGAGGTTGCTTATTTGGTCGTCGGAATTTTGATTTTCGACGTCTATCACAATCTCGAGCTTCTCGACGCCCAGAGCAGCCGAGTCTTTTGCACAGTCCTGCGCTGGTGCACCAGAAGCGGCACACCTATTGCTGACCACCCCACCTCCTCTGCTCAACCGTGGCAATGGCTGGTCCGGATTCGTCTCTGATAAAGCCCCTGGACTGCTCGGTCGCAGCGAAAGCGTTTCTCGCTTATCCAACACAATCGACGCCGTGCCGGCGAACAGGGACGACGAGGCCCGCATCTGGGCGACGAAGAGGAGATACAAACCGAGGATGATGAGAAGGATGCAGGCGTAGAAGCCGATCGGGTTGAACCAGCTCCCTCGGTCGAAGTCCCGCATGATGACCGTACCGCAAAGACAGCCGGAAACGATGATGCTACCTTTGGAGAGGATTTACATTCAGGTTTGATGAAGTTCAGCATACATAACACCACACTAAGTGGAATGTTCAAAGAGCATGACAAAAAAATGGCTCTTTGCCGAGACCAATCACTTTCTACTCACCTTCATACAGCGTCACCATGTACAGCGCTTCGAACTCCCGCATGCCCTCGGCCATGAACTTGATGTTCGAAACCGAGAACAGGACCGTCCCAAACAGCAGCGCGCACACCAGCAGCGCGTCCTCCTCAAACCACTGGCCGAACCGTTCGAAAAACGACTCGGACGAAGCGGAGTCCTGGATGATTTCCCCGATCAGTTTCACGCAAAACATGTTCCCGGCTAACGATCCCCCGGTGATCCCCAGTGAGAGTCCCCGACGATTGTCTCCCTTCGGGTATCTCCTCTGGACTCGCAAATTGTAGCCGATGAAGCAGCCGAATAGGATTAAGTAGACGAACGTTCGCCAGGAGAACACCACTTCGCGCATGTAGTCCGACGTGTACTCCGGCTCCTCCATGTGGACAAAAGCCAAGGTGCTGAACACCCCGGCGGCCACCGTCAAGATCGCGATCAATTTCCGCTTCGTCAGGGTCTCCCCTAACGTGAAAGGGGCCAGCGCCGTGTTCCAGGCGACATCCAGGCCGTTGAAGGGTGCGATCATGGATTGCGGGGCGAAGGTGTAGGCCGCGAGGTCGAGGATTGGGCCGATGAGGGTAGTAAGCAAGAGCCCGGTGTACTGGAAAAGTTTTTCGATGTACTGGGATTTTTTCGCCACCGCCCCGTGGCGGATCATCTGCTTACCAATCGTGCCGACAATGCTGGCGCAGACCTCCATAGAGACCCCCAGCCACACGAGGGACGACATCGTCGTGGTCGGGGGTTCGACTTTTTTGTGCGGGGTTTCGCAACGGTGTTCTTGCGTGCAGTGAAGTAGTCGCGTGGGCGATGTTTTGCTAATATCTACTTCCGTGGGGGTTCTAGTGGACGGCAAGTAGCGCTGCGGCCGGGCTGCACGTTCGCATACTCTATTTTCAACCCTAACAGCCTGCGCTTGTCGCACACGTTTGAGTTGGAGGTGTTGCGCGCAAGGGTGTCGCAAACATCTTCCGGTTCATTCTGAAGGATCTTTTTTGCTCTCCTAAGAAAAGACTACGAACAGAAAGAAATCTTGCACGAAGGAGCGCGCTGAGCGCCGCTATGTGCACTGGTAGCGCAGCTGCTGCAGTATCTTGTCTCAGATATTTTGTGTCGACACGGAAAATTTGTCTTACGACAGGTTTGCTGCATACGGTTTGTGTCGGTGTAGCGATTTTCCCTTCGTCTGTTCAAAAATCCTAAGCGTGGTTAAGGTGTGTTTCAACAAAAAGTGGATGATGTTGTTGGCAAAAAAATAAATTTCTTGGAAGTAGCTCGTGGTGCTTGGGAGATGTTGCAAAAAACTTTCCAGCTGTAGTACTTGCTGTAGCAATCATGTTTGTATTCGCTGTAGTACTTGCGTAGAATGCCTGTGTCGTCGTAATGTAAATGTTTTTCTCTAAAAATTAGAAGATAAATTCTGATTCTGCTGTGCCAGCATGCCTGTGCGAAATCTAGCAAAAAAGTCCGAGCCCGTCAACGTCCATCCCCTGCCGGTCTAGTCGATCTTCGCCCGCGTCATCTCCAAAGCCTCTTGAGCGACGTCGTCCAAATTCTTCAACGTGATCCGGATTGCTTCCCAGTAAGGTAAGCTCTTGTACTCCTTACCGTGCTTTTCAAACACCGCGCGGACCCGGGGCGAAACCTCGGGAAAACGAAACTGCGGCATCTGCGGCCACAGGTGGTGCTCGATCTGAGTCGTTTGTAGTTGTTGATGCCATCAAACAATAAATTACCATTCGCACATAATTTCCGTCAAGAAGAAGAAAATCGATTTTTAGTCCTTGCAAGAAACTCGGTATCGGTTTTGATAAACATTTTTCTACCTGAAAGTTCAAGAAGCTCATCCACCAGTTGGTCAAGAAGTGATTGTCACAGTTCATGGTGTGGTCCGCTGCGTACTCCGCCCAGTTCCGGTGGTCGGTCTCGGGAACCACGTCCAAGTGCGTGTGGGACACCGCGAAGTTCGTGAAGATGTAGCTGCTCCCGAGTTGAACGTACGCGACGTAGAAGACCACACTCCCGAACACCGACCACTGCAGGGTGGAGAGCAAAAACGCGAACGTGCAGCCGTACCGGCAGGCCATCCAGACCAGCTCCATGTAGTTCTGCGTGCGCATCGCGTGCCGCGGGTGCAGGTACAGCTGCCAGAACAGCGCGACCAGGAGGCAGATGAGCGGGGAAAAAAGGTACGCCTGGTTTTTCAGCCAGTAGTTCGCCCAAGCGGTCAGCTGCTGCTCCACCTGCTTCGACGATTTCTTATTCCTCGTCCCTGCGGCGAGCTTCTGCCCGGCTTTCGTGTCCGTTACCGCACCGGTGTGGAAGGCGACCAGCGGCAGGGTGTTCAAATCCACATCGTAACCGATTTTCTGCGGCGTCGCGTGGTGCTTGTTGTGCTGGTTGGAGAAGTATCCTTTGTGAAAGGATCGCACAATCGCACAAATTCATTGCGCCCGCACAGCTTCAAAACAATTCTAGAAAGATCTATCTTTTTACCTCTGTTAGCATATAAAAATTTGATTTTTGTTCCTACTGAGAAACCGCATTAGCATTTGCGATGAAAGTCAGAGTAATGCGATGCTTTCTTCTAGCATACCCACCAGGACGCAGCCATTCCGCAACCGAACCCGTAGATGCACTGCTGCAGCCGCTTGTCGAGCTTCATGTAGCCGGTCAGCGAGTAGTGCCCGCCCTCGTGCTGCAGCCACCCGCAGCGGCCTTGCGCGACGCCGAGCGTGACCAGGCCGAGGAAGAGAAAAAACGTCGAAAAAGCCGTGGTCGCGACCGTCGACAAAGCAGTGGCCGTGCGGGAAAAGTTGTCTTGACCAATCTCTTCACTTTTCCCCGCGGCAAACAAAAAGACCAGCCCGACCAGGTGCATAACCACGATTTCCGCAACCCGGTAAGCCGCGTGCCGCGGCGAGGGTTTGAAGTACCCTTCGGCGTCCAACTCCGCCTCGAGCGCCCGCACGTCCGCGAGCAGTGCCTGGTTCCCCACGTTGACAAACGCCCGCTTTTCCGCCTCGTCCACCGGGTCCCGCTGCGGGAGCTTCGCCAAAATCTTGGCCGCTTTCTCCGACCGGTGGTGGAACTGCGCGAACGCGTCCGTCCCGTCGGTCCCCGCCATGAACTCCAAAATCCGCCCGCCCGGGTGCTTCTTCGCGTAGCTGGTCGCGTCGACAATCTTACCGTCGATGAAGATCTCCACCTTCTGCGGGCGGGCAGAGCCCTGCTGCGACGTGGCGTTGTCCAAGGGGCTGGAGGTGCCGTTGATGCCGGAAGATTCTTTCTTCGTCGTGTGACGCTGATGTTCCGGCTCCGTCAAAAGCATTGCGGCGGGAGTCCCAGCCCCGCCGGACGTCGCGGACAAGTCGCCGGGATGAAACACCATGATGGACGACTACAAGCGTTTGCTCTCTTATTTCGTAGCGGACTAACGCACTTCCGGTGCGCGTTTGATTTTCTGTTTTTCGCAACACGGTCGATTGTTTTTTATGTGAACGACATCAAGACTACTTTTGTGGAGATAAAAACCGCAGCATCTTTGCAACCGAATAAAACTGGCTTGCCCTTTTGCAGCGTTTTGACAAATTTGTTGTTCCACTTCTTCTCTCGCCAGTTTTCTACTTTTCGCACACAAACGCTCACGCCTTTTTATTTCGACAAGAGCTTCGCTCACACGGCACTTGCTTTTTGCTGTTTAGACACTCCTTGTTGTTCTGAATGATGATTGAAATCTGTTCGGCTCTAAGCCTTAGATTGTCCCAGTTCGACCCCTATTCGTTTACGTCCCTGGATTCTCATTATCGCCTGAATAGGAAGATGCACAAAACGCGACCCGTTTGTAGTAGCACAGCTCCAGTAGGGTATGCCTCCATATCACAATCCGGTGACTTCCTGCCACGCGAGCATATTCGATATCGAGACTGATGTTTGCCGAATCCCTTGTGCCGCTGTTGAATTTTTTCTAGTCGATTCCTCCTAAGCCGAGAAAGAAAACCAACTGGCTGCGCGGGGTACTGTTCCTTAGATTTCGTAGGACGAATTCCTCACGCCCTAAGCTCAACCGCGTTGCTCAACCTCTCTCCCCCGTTCTCTCCCGAAATGTACTCCACCCGCATCTTCTCGTCCTCCCCGCGGTATTGCATCGACCCGTGGTTCCATGCCTCCTTCTCTCCGGTCGGCGGCTCGATGCTTCCACTCCGGAGAAAGTACGGCAGGACGGTTTTGTCCGACGCGTGCTGAAAACTCCACTGGCAGAAGAACTCGTTGCTATCGGACTTCTCCCCGCGCACGGCGGTAAACGCGCAAACGAGGTCGGGGCTCTGCTCGTGAACCCATCGCTTTCCCGGCCGGTCGTACACGTAGTTCCCGTTGAAAATCGGGGACAGCGATGCGCCCGACACGCGCAGCCGGCTGTTCTCGTGCTTGCCTTCATCCAAGGCCTTCTGCGCCCAGCTGTGCGCGGTGAAATCCGCCAGCGATGGGAAGCGGAGGCACATCTTGATGACGTCCCGCTGTTTTTTTTTCACGTACGAAGCGGCTTGTAAGGTGTCGTAGCAAGACGGCGCGATGGGCCGTCCTAATGGACCGAACGACGGCACGAAAGGCGGGGCGCCCGCGACACATCGAAGCCGCCGGGGGAATTGACCCGGTGTGATCTCGGCCGCGCCGATGCCCCGGCCCGGCCGCGCGCCCGTACCACAGGCGGGCGCCGCGCTTCTACCTGCCCGAAGGGGAAGGCGGAGGGGGGCGCCGCGCAATTTGCCTTCCGCGGCGTTCTCTTTGCTTCAAGCCGGACCCCGGCAGGCCCACCCGGGCGGTTTGCGGCCCTAACTCCGCAAGCAATAAAAGGTGCGGCGGCGGCCCGCGAAAATAAAACCGCGGGGCGCGCCCTATCTACAGCGCTGCGCCGTCTTGTGGCCCGCTTGGCATCCTGGGCAACGCATCGCCTCGGACTCTGGCTCGGGTCAAGAATACCTTGGAAGGCTGTTCTGCGTCTGCTCTTCCGCCCTTCCTAGGGCGGCGGGGACCGATGAGACCCACCGAACGGGCATCCGGCGGGGGGGCGGGGGGGCGGGGGCGGGGAGGGGGAGAAGGCAGGTGGGGCGCATGGTATCCCAGGCCGCGCTGCTTTGGTCCTTTGTGTCCCTTCTACATTGCCACGGGCTGACTACATGCAAGGTGACGCCATCTGGTCTGGCTGTGAAGGAAGAGCCAGGAGACCTACAGGCCCCAGCCCGACGATCCCGAGTTTTATTTGCGTGCTGTCCTTACTACTACGGTGTTTACAGCTAACTAGTAGCGCTGGTTACTGAGTACGACCTCTTGTCCCATGCGCAATCGCGATGCGCGGGAGCTGTACGAAGCTCAGCTGCAGCGCTCGGGCTGCCATACGATCACGGATCGTGCACACGAGCACGAGAACGAGAACGACGAGGTGCGTGTGGCCCGCTCAACGCATACGAAGGATGCCACACAAATAGATCTGAAACAACATGCAACGAGACGATCACGTGAGCTTCGAGAACAAACAGCTCCTGCACAGAGCGATCAGAATGTGCGTCGCGATAGAACAAGGAGTCTTGCTATCGACGCACCGCAGGTCGTGCTCAGACGCCAACGCACTGCACAACTTCTTCACATCCTTTTCCAATACACAACTCGGTATACATTTTGCCAAAAAAACATGTTCACTTTTTTCCAATTACAAGTCTACTTCTTCATCTGAAGAAAGCACATCACACACTGTGAGGCTCTTCACTACATTGCCACGCAAGCACTCTGCATCTGCTAAGGTGGCTGCAAGGTCTTCCACTCCTTTGGAGACTTTGCCCAACAACAACTTTTGTACATAGTCACTCATGCCGAAACCATCTACGATTTCTTTGAACAAATTGGGATACACTTTATTCAACACTTGCATTTTTTCATCCCTGGTCGGGAAGTCCGCCAGGTTAAATCCTGACGGCACCCGCGTGCTCCACGGCTTCATGCCGCACGCTGTGGCGATGGTCCAGAACTCCGCTGTGAGCCTGGCGTAAATCCACTTCTGCTTTTCCTTGCTGGATCCCTGCGCCAGCAGTGCCTCCTGTGCGCACTTGTTGTCGATGCCGTGGTCGAACCTTTTCTGCGACAGCTGCTCCTTGAAGTAGACCAACGCCAACGGTGCTACGACCGTTTCCAGCACGTTGATGGGAAACCGTGCGCAATCGCTGTGCAGCTGCGACGCCGTTACTGACTCCCGCACGCAGAAAAACTCTCCATTCTGGACCAGCACCGCCGCAAGCACACCGCTGCGGTTGCTCCACTGTGCGTCTGTGTGCAGCAGCGTGCTCAACACGCCATCTTCTTCGAACTGCGCACTCCTCTTCAATTCCATCCCCATGATGTGCCTGACTGCTTTCAACGCGTTGCCTACCGCTACGGCTATCCTGGTTTCCTCTTTTGACAAGTGCTGCCTGAGCGGCTTCAGCACGGGGCTCAGCGCGCGATCCGCCGCAGCCCCTAACACGAACGTCAACCGCCCCAACAACTCGTTGGTGTCCGCTGGACTCAGCGCCATGGCAGCCAGCGCTGCATCGCAGCACTCCGTGATCTGCTTCTTCCTGGCTGCTGTGACCGCGATCGTGGGCGACTCCGCTGTGACGTCGAAGAACAAGCCCAACACTTCGATCATCCTGGCAACAGCCACCTTGTCGCGCATGGCCGGTAACCCCAGCATCTCCAGCAGCTCCAACGTGAGCTCTTTGATGAGCTCCCCAAGCCCCAGCTTCACGAAGTTGGGGCAGTCGTCCACGTAGTCCTCACTGTTGAGGAGGTAGTGCTTGCGTAGCACTGACCTCAACAACTTCCCCGGCCGGCACCAGCCGGCCACCGAGTGCCTGCTGCCAAAAATGGCAGACACTCCGACGAACCTGCTGCACCTCTTCTCCTCCGGATTGAACACCAGGATAGTGTTGCACTTTCTGTCCGACACGCGTATAGTGAGGCTGTTGTAGCACTTCGCTATGTCCAGCAGCACCGCCTCGATGTCGTTTAACAACTCGCTTTGCACCCTCCTGACTTTCCTGTTGCTGCCGGACTTGAAAACCGGGCCTTTCTCGATCGGCGTTGCTGCTTTGCCTTTCTTCAGCAGCTTCTCGTCGAGCTTTTCCCTGTCTCCGCTTACGTACTGCGCAAACTCCTTTTCGTACTGCTTTTCCGCCTTGCGGCACTTCTGCAGGACCCTCTTGGTGTGCCGTGTCACCTCCTTCCCGGCGGTGTGTGGCTGCCTTGCCACTGTGGCATTTACTAACACGTCCAAGGCGGACGGGATCGGTACCCTTTTCGGCAGTGGGCTGCACTTGTTGGCGGAGACGGCGGGGTCGATCAGACGATCTTTCCTGGCCTGGTGCCTCACAAACCTCCTGTACCCGTAGTACACCATCTCCCGCTGCTCCGCATCGTCTACCACGGAATCAGGGACCGGAAACGGCCCTTTCAGCAGCGCGTACCCCAACTCCGGGACTTCCTTGGTCTCTTTGAGACTCTTCTGCCAGATCAGATCGATGTCCGCCTGCGGCCATCGCGGTGGGATGTGCTTTCCTTCCAGGATGCTTTGCACTACCTTGCTGGGCTGGTAGTCTTCTTCCTTGCCATCCATCTTGTCCCTCCTGGCCCTCGGGCTCCAGGACGGGTCGACCTTGCACGGGCCGATCATGCGTAACCCGTCGCGCCACACATCCCACGCTTCCGGGTCGGTGGGATGATATTCCAATCCCAGCTTCTCCCAGAATCCCAGCACTTTGCATGTGCGCGGCAGCCGAATCTCTGGGTCTATACCGCTGTAGATCTCCAGAGACCGCTTCTCCGTCTCCTTGAGCCACCTCTTCGTGGTCTCGTGTCGCTCCCGCAGCAACTCCTCGCTGAGCTGCTGCGGGTTTGGTAACCACTGCGCTCTGTCGAAGGGATGCTCCCGGAGCATGTCCACTTCGACCCTTTTAAGTACATTCCTGCACTCTTTTTCTGTCGGCAGTGGCATTCTACCCACCAGCCGCTCTTAGTCAGACGCAAACAAACTGCGCTGTGCTTTCAGACCGTATATCACAACGTAATCACGATGAGCCGAGTAGCAATACTAACCGCTAATGCTGCATTTGCGCGTCTTTGTGATTAATTTTACTCTCTAACCCAGTTTTTTGCCATTGTCCCCGTGATATCACGACCGACTCTTTTTGCAATTACGCGACACTTTGCTGCCTTGTGGTAGCTTGTTTTTTTATTTCAACCGACTGCGCATCTACCGAGGCTTATCTTGACCGTTTGCGCTGTGACATTCTGAATTTCACAAGCCTGTTTGCACGCTCGCAAAGCCTTACTCTTTTCTTCACAAGAGCAACCGAATTTCTTGACATGTGTACACGGGCTTTGTGAAATCTTCACGAACACAGGGCAGCTTATGCTGGCTGCTCAACGAGTAGTCTGTGCTTTTACTACCTCTTTCTGGTATCTATCATCACATGGTGATTTTGTTTTCCATTTATTTCCATTGGAAAAACAAAAACGCGTTTTCATTTCAGTAAGTTCACAAACACAAGTGTGCAGTCTGGTGGGCAAACATTTGCCAAGCTCCTCTTTTCATACAGTACTGAAGACTTGCTGTGATCATTACTGTGCCGTAGGATGGCAATAAAAAATCAGTAAAATTGAAATTTTTAACAATAAACCAACACGCGACAGCCCAAAAAACTACAGTTGATAAAACCTAAACGCACTTCCTTGGGAAGGCTTCTTCAAAACAATGAGCGCGCGCGTTTTTTTGTGTTAAATCTTACACAAAGCTGCCACGTGTTGGCCCCTTCATGGGGAAACGAAACGGGAAAAGCAGTCAAGTGCTCTTCCTATTTACGCCTCCGCAGTGACTTCCTTGCGCCACGACTCGAGCGTCACACTCTTCAGCTTGTCGGAGAAGCGGGAGTCGTTCTTGAGGGTGTTGAACTCCGCCTCTGCCAGCTCTCCCTTTTTCGGGTGCTTGAACTTGCATCCCGCGACGTCGCAGTTACCGTTCAAGTAGCGGAAGCACACCGGGGTGGTCTTGGACTGCTTTCCCTTCTTTCCCTTACCTTAGGAAGAGGTGTGGACGTCTGATTTTACGATTACAAAGCCGGAGCACAAGCTTTTACTTAAAGGCTTCTACTTCTGGCGCCACACTTGGCACTTGTTGCAATACCAAAACTTAGAAATGCTTTTTCCGCTGCGCTCGTCGCGCCTGGCGGAATACAAAAGACTACTGCGCAAGTCCTTCTTAGGTGCGCTACCTTTCTTTCCACTCTTCCCCTTGGTAGTGTGCCAGTCCGGTCCGTACCCGGACCAGCTCTCCTTCTTCAACTCATTGATCTGCTCCATCAACTGCTTCTTTTCCAAGTCGAGCAACTCCTTGGCCAGGCGGGAAGACTCTTCCGCGGCATCCTTAATCTGCTTGATCTTGGACAATTCGGAGTTCCAAAACGCGTTCCAGCGGTTGGCCTCTGTGATGTGACGATTTTGTTTGTGGCATTGATGCATGAGACTATGCCCGTAACTTTCTATTTACCAACAGTTTCCACTTCTCTTTACTTACACGCCTTTCCGTCCTAGCCCTTCACTCGCTACTGTGCACAAAAACAAAACAAGCCAATTAGTACGGAAAAACGCCGTGAGGCGCTGTTCGTAGGTCGTGCCGTTGTTGGCGGGATCGGTGTCCGACGTGATGCGCTCGGTTTTGAACAAGCAGGATCCGAAGCAGCGCTTGGCCAGGTCCT